AGTATATACCAGAAAATTGTGTTTGTGCTTTGAGATGAAAGAAAATCAGGAAAACAATTGTCTTTCAAAAATGGGTTGAAGTAATTAATACATACAGAAATTATTCTGTATTTTTTTCGCATTCCATCAACTTTTTGCATCTGATACAGAATTATAGAAAAAATTTGGTGCTGTTTAGGTTTGCTAGAAAGGTATATCACTATATCTCAGTGTCGTGGGTGAAAACTGTTTCTAAATTTGATTCATTCAAGAGAGCCGTCTTTACTGACACACGCATTAAATTTTATTTCAGTATCTCAGACATCAGTTATGTACTTATGGAAACGATTTCCCTGTCTCGCATGAATATAGCTAACACGTTTGTATTCACACAAGGCTTATTCATTATTTCAACTCCACCTCTAATTTGACCATAAAAACTGTCGTCAATGTATTAGACCTAAGTACTGATCAGCATGTCCTAAATAATTTCTCAACACGCTAGAAAAAATAGTTTCACTTGTCTCAGCCATTACCGACCGACTCACAATATACTTGAGTGACGCGCAGACTGGACGACACGATCTTCACACCAAATGAATACCGGTACCAAGCAAAGCTTCTTTACTCCAGAAGTTGATGCTCTTGATTACTGCTGCACCACGAAGTGTATATCAAATTGCTTTGCCTTTCTGTCAAATATCATTAACACAGCCAGTCTCATGAGTTGACCCCCAGTTAATGCTGTATGGTGTTCCTAAGTTCCTTGATATGGCAAAAATTTAGCAAGAAGACCATGGCTAAGGGGAAAGTATTGAGGTGTTAAGGTCACGCACTGAGATCAAGGTGTCACTCGACTGTGTATGTATGTGTATATATCTACCTCTGATTCTCCGCTCTATTCTTAGGAGGGCAACAAGGTCAGTGACTTCTCTTCCACGTGTTCAAAACGATCACCTCCCTGTCATTTCCTGACTTGACTTCAACGACACATCCTGATACAGATTACTTCCATGTCACGTACTACCTCGACACATAGCTGACACATACTGCTGTGGCACACGCTAGCACATGTTTTCCTGACAACTGTTGGCTTATACCTACCTCCATGACACATGCTGAGACATGATCCATGCCCTTATTTTATTATACACATTTACCAGTGTCCATATAGTATACTCGCGCATACGTCCTTGTCATATAGTGTCACAGTATACATCCTCCGTATATACTGAAATATTACCACACACACTGACACACAACGACACACAGTGACACATAACGAAACACGCTGACACATTGCGACACACACTGACACATCACGATACACACTGGCACATTACGACACCCATTGATACAGCGACACACCCTGCCAAATACTTTCTTGACACTCTTGACAAATACCGACACATACACCTATCACAAGAGTACAACCTCTGCCTCTCACTCGTTCCATATCAGGATTATCATAGTACGGGAAGTGTGTGTGTGTGTGTGTTTGACAGACAGACAGACAAGCAGCTCCGTGGCAATCTCTCGCTGTCGTAGTCGTCAGCAAAGAATGCATTCCGAAGGTGAAGTACCCGGTGACGTCTTCAGCTAAATGTAAATATTGTCAAGGTCACAAAAGCCAAGAGTTTGAGGTGGCCGCCTTCACCATACCACTGATTCTCATTATCCTTTATATCAAATCATGCTATCGTACACGTGATTGATAAAAAGATGCTTTATCGTTGTTCTAATCAATGTAGTGTTTTCTATGTAGATGGGCGTCGCCAGAGTGCCATTCATGGACTTGGCACTTGGTTCAATTTTATGGATATTTCATTGAGGACACTGACATAACACGTCAGCCTCTCTTAGTTTTGCTTTCGTCACTGGTGACCACACAGGAAACACAACCAAGGAAGTGACTTTTTGTGCATTATTGAACCCATTCACCAATCTGTCCTCTTGGTTTATTTCCAATATAACATTTTCTCTTTCCATTTACTAAAACAATCAATTACTATCACATTAATAAAAAAAAAAAAAAAAATATATATATATATATATATATATATATATAAATTGGTCTATTTTTTTAGTTTAACAAATTTATTGGCAAAGCTTGTAGTACAGTTTGCCTATTCTGAATAATTCAGCCAGGTCTTGACAATGAGGGTGGTATCACTTCTCACTGCCACGCAGGAGAGAGGTTCATACACAAAGAGATACAACATATTCATTAACAGTATATATATATAGGTCAGATTCACGTGGGTAATGTCACTGTTCACTGCTATGCAGGACAGAGGTTCGTACACAAAGAAATACATCATATTCAGTAGCAGTAAATATAGGTCAGTGGTTCACATACATTGGACGTCATATTCTAATTGAAGACTAATCAGTGTGGGCTAGCAAATTTGGGATAAACAGCAAGAATGTCCTCAAGCACCCCCGATTCAATGTAGTAATTACAAAGTTCAAGATACAATAAGTCAGGTGGCCTGGAGTCCTTGACAGTGTCACATTCAATAATATAGTGTTCAAGTGTATGCTTTAAAGGATTATCACAAAGTTTACATGCTGAGTGTTCCGGTATGGGTACAGCGTTACTAACCTGCCAGATGTGTCTGTATCCTAGCCTAATTCTGGCCACGACTACATCACATTGTCTGTCTCTCTATGGTGCTCTTGACGTCTACCTTGCGCAGTGAGAAGTTTTATCTCACTTTGGTATATAGACGTATCTTAGAAGTGGCAGCCTCTTCATGACATCTACCTTGAAGGTGTCTTCACGTATCTTGCGTTACGCCGTTGGAGGGATTTTCGGCTTCTTTGAATGATCTTCCGAAGTCAAGTTCTTTAGTCCGAGTATCGATTTCGTCGCCCTCCTTGGAATAGTCCAGATTACGTAAATGTTTTTCATCTTCTGATGTATTAGATAGTACAGGCATACCTACCTGTACAACCGTCTGAAATTTGCTACATCAAAATGGGTAAATGAATACTGGATCAGATTCATCTTCTGGTTCACCTTTTGAATTCTATCGTGCATATGATCCATGAGGTAAACTTGCTCTCAGCTACCACTCCCAAGTATCTCCATCGTTCCTCACCCTTTTCGGAGCCTCCTCCCTCCTTCAGACACGTCTTGTGTAGATTTCTTTCATCAGACGAACTCTTCCTCTCCCACTTTATCTCCTCAGACCGTCCCATCCCCATCTTGCTTTTAAAAACTTCCCCCTCATTAACTATGTTTCTCATTTACTTGTCCTCCCGCTTCTCCAACCCATCACTTCTCTGTCCTTATCGTCTTTGTATTCTAAAGGCCATTTTGAGTCTTAATTCTTATGCTTGATTCAAACACCCACGTTACCATACAAATATTTTTTAATGCTGTTATATTTTCTGGTTTACGTTCTCCATATTTCCCCCCCAAAATACTGTATCTATATTGTTTCATATCAAGTTCTCTCTTGTTTTGTTTTTCACCTTATCCCCTCTCTTCTGGGTTTAGAACAACGTCTCTGAAATCAAAAGGTGACCTGGAATTATTGTCTCGGTAGGGTTGTCATAATCCTTTGTCGGTTGTGTTATATTGTCTCACACAAAATCGTAATGATACCTTTTGGAGTGACTGTACATACATGTGGTAGCCATTTCCTTACATACATTAGACATGTGTGAGTAGAACTATGTGAGACCTCTGGCGGTGTATTTACCATTTTTTTATTATCTTTTTCCCTCACCTCCAGTAGGTTATACCGGAGATGCAGAATGGCACCTTCGTTTTCCTATTTTCACAAAGAATAAATGCACATTCCAGCTATTCATATCTCTTAGTTATCTGTAATGCATGATGTAATTGGTATTTGCTTCAGTTGGGTGTATAGGGTTCATATCAGGGTTTCAAAGTAGACTCGATATTTTGGGGGAATGTGTGTACTGTATGTGGGTAAACCAAATATTTATAGTGATGGGTCTAAAATTAGTGTGCTGGAGATCTTAATGTCTCCCCAATACACTGACATGACATGACACTGATTTTTGTACCCACACCACAACACTATAAACACGCGCGCGCTGTACAATAACAGATTTGTGTCAACTTTAAACCCTTGATATGACACCTTAAGTAACTAAGTTGTAGACTTAAACACAAATATGTTTTTTTCAAACTTTGCGAATCTTAGTAGAGATCTTAATGAAATTTTTGTGGGGTAGTTAACAGAATAATCTACTGTCGATACCATAGATAAATTTCCATGCGAAAAAATATTGTTTTTATTAGCTGCTTACAGAATAAACAAACACAAATCACACAGGGGCATTTCATAGTCTCGAGGAAGGCAGTATTTTAAAATGGGTTATATCACGGTTATTTTGCATCACTTTGGCTTATGTCTTTATCTTCACCTGCTATCTACATTACACTTCGAAGCCTTTTCTTCTTGGTCCTCTTCGCCTCTTTTCCGAGACTTGCTGTTCTCTGTTCTCCTTTCTTACCAGACGCTCTTCCTCTCAAAACGGATTATCCTTTTTATAGCACTTCACGTCCAAATAGTTCAGGAAGTAAGCAAACCATTGTTGAGTCTTGTTGACTCAAGTTTTGCAACTGGTTGCGAGTAGATTCCACGTTGTTTTTTCGTTAAGAAAAATTATTTCTTTACATTTCTTTGCATATTGTTTAAGGCGTTTCTACTTTGAGACCAGTTAAGGTTTAATTCAATCAGATTATGCGGCGACGAGTTCCGTATGCAGGTAATGTGGGTGCAGATAGGAAACCTGGGATGTTTGGTATGTATGAACCTAAGTTATTTTCGGAACTAAAGGAACCAGCCAGGTTTGTTTGAAAAATACTAAACTGCTTTGTTTACTTAACGGGAAATATGTTATGTATTTCATATGCTAGATTTGTTTGAAAGTTGTATGTTGAAGAAAGTGTTTCCATTGCACAGTTATTCTAACATATGACGAGACAATTTTGCCTCGCGCTGCGTCTCATACCTCGAGTGATTTGGATTATGACGTCACACTTCAATGTTTGGCGCAAGCGCTCTGTGGTTATCGGTTAGCCATCCCTGTGTGCGGATCTGCCCTTGAATTCTTGTAAAGACTGGACTTTCCACTGTGATTAACATTGAAAATGGCGAAAGCGGAACAGGTGTTGATCTTAGAACCGTCCCAGGAACTCAAATTTAAAGGTAAGTATATCAAACTTGGATAAAATAACCATAATCATGTAACGTTCTGGGAGCCATCTTAGGGCAAGGGAATGTTTATCTGCCAAGTAAACTAAACATACAATAGACACGTGTGAGTTTATGAAATTCATGACCTTTGACTATCCATTTGATGACATATTGGTTATATTACGAAAATTGTGTTGCTGGGAGAAGGTAGGAAAAAGGTGTGCCAACTCCCTCTGCACCACCCCGGTCACAATCAGCTGACGACCGATACAGATGAAGCTGTCTCGAACATATTTTAGCATTATTCTTGCACTTGTGACTGATATTGCCTTGTTTATCGGGTTAAGCAGTCATTATAATGCTCTATCTTTCTGGCGCACTTTGACTCGAAGTTTTGATGACTAATTGTATTTGAAGAATAACTCCCTGGCTTGACTAGCTCATGTTCACCACAGGAACTTCAGTTATGTATATACAGATTTTTTAGTTTTGTTTTGTGTTCTCTTGAGTTTCCAAGTTCATCATTCACTATTTTCATGTTTGAAATATTTTTCAAGTACGGTTGCCAGCAATCATATTTTTGTTTTATATTTGATAAAAAAATTAAAGTGCCTAGTTATTGGCAATTTTGGATAGGTTTGCATTGTCAGTATTTAGATATTTCTTCTATTTTAAAATTTTGTCCATCACATTAGTCATTCGTTTAATTGTCTGCACATTTGGGTAATCTTTAAGGGCAGTAGCCCAAACAAAAATTCTAACTTTTTTCTTAACTCAAGACTAAAGTAATTCAGGTGGAAAATTAATTTTTCATATTCAGGTTTTGGTGCCCTGATTTTTTTGTTATATAAACATCCTCCTGTCACCCACCAGCTTCAATGACAAATGCACTGACCTACAGTATCAAACTTTCCCCATCTGAACTGTCATTTGTCAGCATGGACCTAATAGCCAAAAAGAATACCACTAGAGGTAATCCTGGAGCAGATGGCTAACACCAGAACACATTCACTTTTTCTATAGATGTTCTTTGGGTGATAGTAAATAATAAAAATTATACAACATATATTAGAACCTGACTTAACCTAACTAGCTTCTAAGCCACCCCCAGGACCCCCCCCTCCCACCACATAAAAAAGAAAGTACCGGTGCTTATTTTGATATCTGGTACCATTGAAAGCAACGTTGTTGGAGCGTCCTGGTGTAATTTCATGTTTTTTGTGGATGAGAGAGCTTGATCTGACCGAGCAGGTCGGCTGTAAATAACACAACACACACCGACAACGCCAAATTTTTGGGATTAGTAGTTACGGTAAATAATTTCTTTGTGTTCAAAGCACATTGAGGCATCATTTTAATGTCATATGATCAGTTTTCACAGTGTTTTACCCCACAATTTCCCCCATCCTTTGTATCCTGCCCATTACAGGTGATTTATGATTGTAGATAGAGCAGTACTAAAAAAAAAAATACCCTGTTCTGTACTTATTAAAATAAAAAGTTGTATAGTTTTTATTTCTTACTATCATCCAAAGAACATGTGTGGAAAAAAGGAATGAAATCAAACAACTTCTTCTGGTGTTAGCCAGTATTACCGTAATAATTTCCATCCTAGGTTAGATAGTTTATTTTGTTGGTTCGTGTGCAATGCACACTGTGCATCGTCAAATCGATACATGTATGTATTAGTACTGTACAATCTTAGGAAAATTGCAAAACCTACCTACTTAAAAATGTTTTAGGGTCGTCTCATACCCAAGATAATTGTTCCCAAAAAAGTCAACTCGTTCCCAACTCACGAGATAAGTTGTTCCCAAGATTACTTACACCCAATTCAAGAGTTAATCCATACCTATTAGTATGTATACCATGCATCTTAGCTTTATCTAAGATTACAAAAAGAAAATTATGTAAGTCTTGTAGAAAAGTGCAGTGAAATAGGGAAATGTAATGCAGGCTTTAAAATGGTTGCATATCATTACATATGTATGTTATTCCATCACACAAACATTGCACTACAAGTACATATTTCACACTACTATGTGGTTTAGAATAACTTTATTGCAATTTACAGATTTCAGGCTAATCGATTTGTCAGTTTCAATTTATAAACTGGGCGATGTAAGCGTTTAAAATGGTCTTAAGTCAACAAAACATAGACATGCATAAAAACTGATTGATTTTCCAGCTCCAGCTTTTTTGTAAACAAATCAGTTTGTGTACAGTATATAATTTGGGGCTCCTATCTGGTACTTTCCAGTATAACATACTTGTCCTACGGAGTGGCTGACATCGTGGCATCGTCAGGAATTTCTTCTTCTGACATGTCAATATCATGAATGAAATACAGTAGCAATAAGGATATAAAAGAACAAAGAGTGAGAATATTGGCCAACGCTTATACAATTGGTTATGTTATTGTGTGTTAATAATACTCTGGATAGATTTGTTTAAAAATTCATGACCACGGAAACAAGACCAGTTTGAGTAACGTAATGACTTGATTATGTCACCCAATATTCACGCTATTCATATGTTAAAATCAACCTTGTCCATGTTTCCATTGTGGATCTACATGATGTATGGGTACGAACTGTCTCTTAAATTGGGTACAAATTGTCTCGTAAATTGGGTACGAATTATCTCATAATTGGGTACGAGTTGTCCAGCACCCCTTAAAAATAAAGGTCCTTAACCTACCTTGGAATGTTTTTATTATTAATAAACATAACATTACCAGTATTGTCATTATAAAAAGATTGTAAAGTGTTTGCTGCTGTTTCTTATTACCGATAGTTAGTATGAACTGGAATATCATTATTATTATTAGTAGTATCTATGAAACACGCTGACGACAAAACATTCTGAAGTTCATGTATACAAAGATGGTGGCATCTTTCTTTATGGGGCAGAAAAACTAGGGCCAATCACCTGAATAGGATAAGTGCTATTCCTCTACCCACTTTGCTTTATTCTTGATGTAAGAAGTACCTGTAAATTTTCTTATATAGATATTTTCCATTGGGAGACTTGTTAACCTTGGCGACAGACCTTAAATATTACCCGCATTTCCAGATGACAGCACCAAGATTATGATATTTAACCACTGTCGTGCGTGTAGTAGTCTGATCTGTTTGTTTACAACTGACCTGCTTGGTCCAAGCGTACTTTCACGTCCAAAGTTGCTTTCATTGGTACCAGTTATGAAAAGTATTTTCTGTTTAATATGGCAGGGGCGAACCCCGGCAAGTATTTTAGGTAAGATTAGGTTGATTTTCTAGAAAAAATTGCACATTTTCACAAAAATGAAAGTCATATTTGACTAAAACACCAAAATACACCAGAAAAACAATGCAAATGAGAGCACAGAGAAAAAGTAGTGCTGGTGTGAACTGAGAAAGCGATATGCGGGAAGCTTGCCCGACGTCGTCACAGTTGTTGTACAGAATACTTCATTATCTTCATCATTAGTAGTAATAATCTTTATTCTTACATTATTATAAAGATTATTATTATTAACAATAATATTAAAATTGTTGATGTTGATATGACTCCGACTTTATAGTATTAATTCTAATAGAGCATGGTATGAAACCTCCAATATAAACTTAAAAACATTCATGACAGTTTGAATGTGTATGGTGTGCCCCAATATCTTTGCTTTGTAGGCGACCATGTTTTGGTCCAAATCGTCTGCTATACAGGAGCATCCTGTGTTTGTGGGTCTATTTTTCATCTGCCTTAACACTGTATAATGACTTAACATGATCAACACTGCCTGTGTTTCCTGAAAATCCATGAATGAAGAATGAGCAGGAAGTCTATCCAAAATGATTGTTGAGAATAGAATATTTCAAAAGGTTAGCCAAACACAACAGCACAGTACGGGTAGTGCCTAATGACCTAATTTGGTGATCGGTATCACCTAATGACCTCATTTATTGATTGGTAACACCCAATGACCTCACTTGGTAATTGGTACTTTCATGGTCAGGTACAAAAAAATGTGTGTGCAGTATCAGCTAATACAGTACTGCACATTCACAGTAGGGTGCAAATAATGGGTGCTGTGTCTGCATCATTAGGTGCAGGTACCCACTTCCTAGATTTAAATCCTGGGGCGGAGGTAGGAGTGTACCATATTCGGAAAGTGTTTGTGGCTTTTTAAGCTTCCGTTTAAGTATGCTATTGGTATTTGAACTAATGAGTTATCCATATGTGTCAACAAAAATTGAGGAAACAGCATAAGCTTTTTATGAAGAGGAAATTTATAGGTGTCCAAAGTTAATTCAATGACTGTACCTCTTAAAGCCTGGCTGGACAGTCTGGGGATGGCTTCGGACATCAATGAACGCAGAAAAAATGGGACAAAAATCTTCCGCAACATAATGACGTACTGTACAGTATAGGTCAAAAGGGGAAGAAAAGTCATGAGAAGGGAAACTTTTCAAAAAAAATTTACTACATGAAAATAACATACAGTATTATATTTGGTTCTGTTTGGCATTTTTTAAGATTATACATTAGGAAAAATGGCAAAACAAATTTAACAGGGCACCTGTGTCCAGTACAGTATGCATGTTCTTGTTGTACCCTTTGAACTGTAGATTACACTTTCTTTTATAATCATTGTTTCTTTATTAGAACTTTGCATAGTGCCAGTATTGAGCCAATTTTATATCATGCAATCTTGCAAATACTGTACAATATGCTGAATAATTTTTGAGCTGTTGTAAATCACCAGAAGTCGAAAAAATCACATACTGTACCTCCATTCAAGTTGCAATTTCAGGTACAGTATATACATTTACAGTAGCTAAAAAAAAGTATCTGACAGGGTGGGTCCGATGACTAACGGAATTATACGTACAACTTGTGATGTCTCGGGAGGGTTGGCATGCGTGTCTTCACCCACCATCATTCAGTATGCAACACAGGGTGAGTTGGCATATAGGAATAAAATAAACGATTAAGTGATTACTAACACATAGTATAAGTAGACAAAATGCATATCCCAATACCTATCGTCCGTGGTCTCATATTGTTTCACACAGAGTATGCACAGATAAGAACATAAGAATGGAGGAAACTGCAGTGGACCTATTGGCCCACACTGGGCAGTTCCATTTACACCCAACCCTTATTACTCATACAGTGGGGTATGCTATAACGAACGTAATTGGTTCCAGAATCTCGTTCGTTATAGGATTAATCCGTTCCAGGCCCCCAAATACAACCGCTTAACACTGAAAAAATTCTGTGGAAAATGTAAAAAATACGGTACTTTATCTTACCTTAGTGTTATTCAGCATGCAGGTACCCCTAAACACTGGCACATCACTATCACTTCCACTGGGAGTCTTGGCTTTAAGGTCCTCAAACAATTGTTTAGCCTTCTCACAAATTATAGCTTCACTAATGTTACCACCTGCCATTTCTTTCTCCTTTATCCACACTAAGAGTAAATTTTCCATCTCTTCAATCACATTACACCTTGCTTTGCTAAGTCTAAAGATTCCCTTAGCCACTTGCACAGTTTTTAACTCCTCTTTATTCTTCAAAATCGTACATATAGTCGATTTAGCCATCCCATATTCATCACTAAGTTTCGCAATGCTTCTTCCATTCTCACGTTTCTTTATAATTTCTTTCTTAGTTTCAAGGGTTATTAGCTTTCTCACTCGCTTTGGACGACTCATTGTTACAATTGTATACTTGTATAACAAAATAGTTATACAAATAACGCGAATTTCCACATCAAAAGACGAAATTTCAACAATAACAGTGGTGCACTGGCTACACAATGAGACAAAGATGGCGCCTGACGCTCTTGTTGTGGGTCGCGGTACAACAATATTCATGCGCCAGGCGAAATAGTCCGGTATTCATCCGCGTTCGTTGTAGGAGTTGCGTTTGTTATAGCATTCTCAATTTTATAGGTAAAACCGTTCGTTATAGGAATATTCGTAGTAGGATCCGTTCGTTATAGCATACCCCACTGTATATCCATCCAACCTATGTTTGAAGCTATCCAGCGTATTCGAGTTAATGATGATATTTGGTAACTTGTTCCACTCGTTCACTACTCTTTCCAAACCAATGTTTACCTATTTTGCGCCTAAATCTAAATTTGTGTAATTTAAAACCTTTGTTACAAGTTCGCTCCTGGTTGGATAGTTTGAGTACCTTGTAATGTCCCTTTTGCTTAGCCCTGACTTCCATTTATACACCTCGATCATATCGCCCCTCGCTCTACGGTTCTCGAGTGAGTGCAAATTAAGATGCTTTAACCTGTCTTTGTACTCAAGGTTCCTAATGCCTGGGATTAGTCTTGTCATTCTCCTCTGAATTCTTTCTAAGGATTCTATTTCCATTCTGTAATACGGTGACCAGACTTGAACTGCGTAATCCAAGTGAGGTCTCACAAGCGCAAGATATAGTTTTAGGATGACCTCGCTAGTCTTGTAACTAACACTCCTTTGTATGAATCCAAGACTAATGTCTTGTTTCGAGCAAATACACATTGTTTACTTCGCTTAAGATTCCTACTTATCATTACTCCTAAATCTTTCTGGCAGTCAGATAATTATTTTTTAGCTACTGTACAGTATAGGATATATCAAGCATCTAAGATTGTTTATAAATTTTCAATTTAGACACGTTTCTAATACTTTTCAGTAGTTATATTCATGTATGTACTCTGGTATGCCCTGCCACAGAAAGTTTTGCAACATTTGTAATTTTTGGGGAAAGAAATGGATTTAGATTATTGACCTCTATTCATTACTTACACTTTAAGCTAACAAATTATACATATGAAAAGCATATGGTTGGGGCAACATTTTGAAAACAAGACAACTTTGCTTGCTGTAACAGTACAAGCTGGGAAAATCCTGTCATGTCTGGCCACCTGTGTCACCTACCATGCCTCTGTGTCACCTATTATGATGATTCATTCTTTGCCTGCAGTGCTGTTAAGTGTTACTTTTTACATTTAGTATTTACATGTACACATACCTTTATATAGGTTGATAATTGTTGTATTTTTGTAGGAGGGGGAATGTGCCTCAATAAATCAGAATTTGGATAACTCGACATGGCCAGAGCCCCATATGTGTCGAGTTATTGAGGGTTTTCTGTACAGTGATAACTCCGTTAGCCGGAACAGTTGGTACAGAGCACTTCCGGGAATCTAAGATTTCCAGGTAACGAGACGACTCTCAAAGCTGGGGAAAAAATCTATCATCCCTGGAATTTTTTCAGTTAATGGAAAAATTTGACAATTGTATATTTTTTTGTTTTTGACAAGTTTTTAAAGTTTAATGACGTGATTTATGTCATAATGCGCGAGAGGGTTGATTCCTTGCAAAAAAAAACCTCTACATATAATCCATTATCTTAAGTCATCAATTTCATTGTCTATGATCACAGAGCACTTTAAAATTGCTCCTCTAACATCACTCTTTTAAAAATATATGCACCCCAGCCATATCAAACAAACATGACCCTGGACTTCTCCCAGAATGCATTGTGGTAAAACAATGACAGTTATGCTGTGGCCCTTTTGATGGGAACTTAAAAAAAAAATATTTTTTATCACCTTGAATATGCTGTCACTGTACAACAACATGTCTTCGCTGTTAGTCCTATCAGTTTAAGGCAAAGATAAGTTGATGGTTGTCTCCCACTTCAGACAAAGGATATCCCTTGTACTACAGTATACAGTAGTGTTCGCTTCCAGAAAATCCACATACGTACTCTACCTCAAACTATAAATTAGTTGTTGCAGTCTCAGCTTTTTGTCACATTAGTTTGACTTTCTGGTTCTAGCTCTGAATTTGAATGTATTTTTAAGATAAGTACAGTACAGCACATGTAAGACCACAATCAGAAAATAATCACGGGGTTCCAGTAATATTTTTTATATAATCACCCCAACATTTTTAGTTGTTACTTGCCTTTTGATTTCTATGCACAAGCCTTAGTTTAATGTGGTTTTTTCAAATTTAGGGAGGTTGCTACTCACAGAGATATATAATTTAAGTTTTCTTGTAATTTAAATTTTTACCCTTTGAGTTATAATCCTTCATTTCAAGAGAAGTTGGATTGGTTACAAAACAGGTGGTATCACCCACATTATGGAAACTCAGGTTGTGGAAATTTGTCTACAGAATTTGTAAACTATGACCACTAAATTCGGGGATACAGCCTGTAAATTCGACCTTACGGAAATGGGGTATATTTTCAAAAATTGCAATACCTGTATAGATAAAGAATCACAGACATTATAATTTATTTGGTGGGGATTTCTTGGAGTTTGCTACCATCAAGAGCGGGTTTGCAGCATACGCAAGTTGCTGGACTCTGTTTATATCTCCCAGCTTGTACGCTTGATGTCTCGACCCCAGCTCTTAGATTTAACACTTATCAGGACTGTCCAGTATACAGTACTGCATTGTCCTTATTTGGGATGAGTGGAAAGGGGCCATCAAGTGTAAGTGAAAGCAGTAATTATGTTGGATATAAAACAATGTTTTATGGAGTTTGATGTAGGGGAAATACTTAGCCAGATTGCAAAAACATAGGGTTTGCTACGTTTCCTAATAATTCCCATTGCACTGCCTCGCCTCACGCAGCACTCAACATTGCTTGTGGTGAGTAAAATTCAAGTGTTCTGTGTATTTATTATCATATTATCTCAAAATAATCAATGTATGTGCTTAAAATTTTTTACTTTTCAAGTATTAATTCATTCATAGGTGTTCATGTATTACTTCTTTTTTGCTGAAAGGGTTTCTTTAGGAACGCATAGCAAATTGTATAATGGAAGTCAATGGGAAAATGTGGTTCCGTAATCTGTGGGGTTAGTAGGGTTACTGTACACCATTTTACTGTGGTACAGTAATTCATCTCTGACATAACAAACTTTATTTGAGATCTTCACGGTTATCCTCTTTTAAAGTTTTCCATATGAAGGTTTTTGTAAAAGGGCATGAGAAACAAAGTTCCCCATCCCAAAACAACCTGTGGGGAGGTACTGGAATGACATTTATTTTTTGCAGGTGGTGTATAACTCATGTTCTTCAAGCTTAGGCCTATACAGTATATCCATTCGTATATATTACAGATATTTTATTTTTGCAGGTCCCTTTACTGATGTTGTCACATCCCAGCTGAAGCTTACCAATCCCACAGATAGGAGAGTATGTTTTAAGGTGAGTGGGAACAAACTGGATTATCATAAAATGTTGTTATTTAATGAAGGATCGAAGTTTCAGTCACTTCATGTACCAGATTGCATAAACTATATGTTCCTAGCTCCACTTTACTCTATCCCTGTCTTCTGATTTGTACTAGTACTGTACTGAAAGTGCGGGTACCTCATTTGCTTTGAATGTTTTCTCTTTAGTTTTAATGTCAGACTTTATACCACATAAAGCTTCTTTAGTTTATGAAAGTTGTGTCACCATGTATAGTAACAAGTAAACTGGATTGGTAATCCTGTAAGTAAATCCATGGTTTTTATGTTAACTGCTCTCTCCTTAGTCTTGTGTTACATCTCATTAATCTTTTGTCACAGTTCGATATTGGCAGACAACTGCCACATTTTCAGTCAAATATGCACTAGGAACTATTTTGGGTGTGGATAGACCTTATGACTGTCATAAAATTTGCAGTGAATTACAGTATTTTGGAAAAGATAGAATTATAAAATACCTGTAGCTGGAGTGTTGGAGAAACAGTTGATTGGGTTTTTAAGGTCCTTAAAATTGGGGAACCATTCTGACACTGTTGGTCCACTGTCCATTATCTAAACTTCACAGAAGACTGATACTCCTGTCGTATTATTTATATATATATATATATATATATATATATATATATATATATATATATATATATATATATATATATATATATATATATACAGTACCCTCCGTTAGAACTCAATCCGTTCCAGAAGGTCGTTCGTTAACCGAAACCATTGTTTCAATGGGTTTTTGGGTAATTGGTTCCAGCTCACCGAAAATATCCTAAATTCAACAAAAATGGTAGAAAAGTTCACTTACTTTGAGGTGTGTATGTAGAAGGCTCCTGGATGATGATGATGATGGGATTTAGAATGGGGGTGGAGGAGAAGGAAGAAGAGAAGGCATTGGGGTGGAAGAGAAGTCACCCCATGGCGCCATTTCACCCATAAAATTTTAGCTCTGGTGTAATTCAAGATTATTTTCTTTAAATCAACACTGCACTGCATTATATATTGTCAATATGTAAAATATATTTCAAAATGGCCAATAATTTGCTTGGAAACACAGAAAAAAAGCATTTAGTTGAAGAGAGTCTCAAGCAAGATGTTACCTCCAGTGAAAACAGAGAGAGACTAACTCCTGTTTGCTGTGTTAAGAGGCTGGATGCCGCGCATTAAACTAGTCACTTTACCTTCAATTATGTTCAATAATTGTTAAAATGACTAAAAAATTGAATATTGAACTTTTAAAATTATTGAATAATATAAACTTCTTGATATTTACTAAAATAGTAAGGAATTTAAGCCCTAGAACCGATTAATGTATTGGCGGACTGATACTAAAGCTGGTTGCCCGGTCACTGCAAGCGAAAACATGTTGAGGTCGGTTCGTAAGAACTTCGTTAACCGAATTGAAGATCCTTATGGAAGGCAGTTCGTTAATCGAAATTACGTTAACCGAGGTGTTCATTAAGCGGTCACTGTATATATATATATATATATATATATATATATATATATATATATATATATATATATATATATATATATATATATATATATATATATATATATATATATATATATATATATATATATATATATATATATATATATATATATATATATATATATATATATATATATATAATATTTTTTTTTTTTTATAAAATCACACGGAAAATGGAAACAACGGAGTACCTTAGCTTTCGTCTTTATTCAAGACATCTTCAGAGGCAACTGGATTACATGGACAGAGAGAGGCTTAAATATACAGGGTGACCTAAAAACATGAGGTCAGGTCAAAATGATGACATCCACTAATCCCCACACCAACACACACGTAGAGGAGCTTAAGAGAAGGGTGGTGACGTGACTAGCCAAGTCAGGTCAGAAAAAAGGGACCCACAAAATAACTATCATACATCTAGATCAAAGGTTTTCAAAGCATTTTTAACATTTGGCCACTGACAAATAAATTTATGTAACATATTATCAGTTTTGAACTGACCATCACTAAGGTTTATTGATTTTAATTCCTTAATCAAACTAGCTTCAACAAGAAGTCTTTCTGTGACACAAGATGATTTGAATACTTCTAAGCTTTTTTCCCAAGCAATGGGGTGATTATTATTCCTAACATGAACAAACAAGGCACTGCTTTCAGATGCAGTTCTGATATTATACTTATGTTGTTTGATTCTGAGCTGCAGTGTTTTTCCTGTCTGACCTACATAATTACAATTACATTTGCTACATGGAATACAATAAACACTTTCCATTTACATTCAAACTTGGGCTATTCCTTATTAACATATTGGTAATGGTGGAGTCATACTTGAAAACAACATTAATATTTAGAAGCTTGAGGGACCGAACTAACGGGACAAATTCATTACGATAGGGCAGAGTCAAAATATTCTTAAGTGTAGGAACTTGTCTGGTTTGAGAGGAATGAAAGGATTTTTTAGCCCTTTTAAAACAACTTGGGTACCCTTCTGTGTTTGTTGATCGTTGTTTAAAGTAAAAATCCTTTCATTCTCAGGCTGGGAAAAAATTTCATTGGATTTGCATGAATATATATATATATATATATATATATATATATATATATATATATATATATATATATATATATATATATATATATAATATATATATATTTATATAATATATATATATATATATATAATATATATATATATATATATATATATATATATATATATAATATATATATATATATATATATATATATATATATATATATATATATATATATATATATATATATATATATATATATATATATATATATATATATATATATATATATATATATATATATATATATATACACCAAGATAAAATAACTACCCAGTAATTGGCCACGTTAGCCAACTTACTCACTTTTACAAATAATTCTTACAATTATTTCCACATGGGTTTTCCCTCATTATACTGGCGGCAGCGTACTTAACGTAAACCCACGCCCTCCCTCATTTAGCCATTACACCTGGCACATCACCCCCTTCATTTAAATCAGTTTGAGTATTGCTTAACCATGTGTGGTAAGGAACCCCGAGTAGCGCAGCGTGAAAAGTGTCCTAGTGTGTCATCTTGGCAGCTAAAGTAAATGTTTCTCATCATGGTATGTGCTAATTGCTACTAGTGTAACACGCCCCAGAATATGTTCAGTGCTTGACATAATTTGTCAATGTCTCCAGTGATTTGTAACATTCTCAGTATCCCTAGTGCATTTTAATTGTAGGTCAGTACTACATGTACCCATTGTGTTTTAGTGATGGATGCTGTGTCTATACTAACTGTTATAACCTAACATGTCTTTTAACCTTCTCCCTGTCCTAATCCCCACCCGACCCACCCCACCCGGCGCGTCTGCCCACCTGCCGGTCTCGCCTCGACCAGTCCCACCCCACCCCGTGTGACCTCACTAATCTCCTCTAGTCTGTTTTGTCACATAAGCTATGCTTTGAAATTGATGGTTCGTGTAATTTGATATGGTGATACATGTATTTTTATGTTAGAATGATTTAGAATGTACTCATTGATATATGTTGAGAAATAGTATTAAGCCGTAGTGAGCAGAGCTACCCTCCCCGTACCAGCCTAATGAGAACATTGTCGCGATGGAACCTATAGTTGCCAAACGTTGACGTAAGGTATAAAGTAAATATCTTCTTTTTTACGGATGCACTTCCAACTAATCCATCATCCCTTTAGGATTGTCTTTCTCTGTCAAATGTCACACACAGTACTTCCCCCATGGCCAGCCGGATGTTGGAGTTAACCAGCTCAATTGGGCATGACCTGATCTCGCATGTCCAAGCTGTATACAGTGATTGGGCGGGATGACGGCGCCTTACGTCACAAGATACAAACCCTCTAACAGCAGCAGCAATCAAGAGGTGATGATGGGCCAAGCATTGACTCTAACCACAACACGTATGAGCAGAGAAGTAGCGTGATGAATGCAGCACTCCACCTTCACACACCACTTCACTTCTCTCAAGTCCTCCCGTGGTCTAGGATTAAGGAGATTTTATATTTTTCTAATTTAGGCAGTTAAGAAGTGAGGAATGCGGCCGTGAAGAGACGGACCCACCAGCACCACACATTAAACCCTGGCCAGCCAAACCAGGGAGGGGATTTCCTCTACGGGTGAGTGGGACAGAGCGGGCTGGTACCTATGCAGCTCTGGTACAGAGACTCAGTACTGGGATGCTGATCCTGCCCCACACATTGTCCAGAGTGATGGCACCCACCCCAGTGTGACCGGCTACCCCCGGCTGGATTGGCGGAAAATGATGCTCAACACGTAGAGGAAATGCAGATGGAACTAGAAAAAAATCCATCTGGAATATGTCAGAAAATGACTCTGTACAGAAGAAATGCAAATGGGGCTAGAACTCATCTGGAATATGAAAATGGTGCTGTACAGAAGAAACTCAGATGGGGCTGGAAAACCCCATCTGGAATATGAAAGAAACTGATGCAAGGGGAAATTTGCATTATAAACCAGGAGGAAGTTAGGTGTGAAGACAAAACATACAGGGTGCGGTATTGAAGAAAGAAAAACGTACAATGTGAAGAAAGAAGATATAAGACATCAGAAGTGTCGACGATCATCGAAAGGACCAACCTACCACTGCTGCTGTACTGCTAGTATCCCTGATACCAGTTGGTGGAGATTGTATCAGATTTTTTTTTTTTATATTTAAGATTAGTCACTTTTTCTATGAGTTCATTTGATCAATGTTTTGTACTACCTACTGCAATGTTGCAGCCATACTGCTGATTTGGCTAATCATTATTTTGACATGGGCTGGCAAGGCCAGGTAACACCTGTTATTGTTTGTAGAATGTGAAATTGCACATTTTTTCTCAGATGTTCTAGATGTGTAGGATCTTGAGCTCAGTAACTATTCTAGTTGAGCTCTTACTATGATCACTCATGGTGTATGTGTCTTTTTTCCTGGCATAGAAGCTTTGATCTTGGCAGGAGGTATAGTGAGTTTTGTCAGATCAAACCAAGCCAGTAGAAAAGTATAGGGTACGACCAAAGTCGGTCTCCTTAGAGTCATCAAAATATGGTTCAAAGATTATTTAATTAAGATATGTGTACCAGACTTTGGAATATTCTTCAGCTAAAATGTGTAAAAAAAAAGTCTTCAACAACAGTGAGTCACACAAATTACCACATTGACATAGTCTGTGAATGCTTTCAATAATACCTGACTTGTGTATGACTTTTTTGATGTGTATGACTTTTTTGATGAAAATAATTTGCACATCATCATCATCATTATCATCATATGCAAACTACACTTGTTGAGTAATCAATACATCTTCATAGCTCATCAATTGAGGGCAACTTAGCAAGGCTTTTAAAAGTGTGAGTTAGGAGGGATCAGTTTTATTTATAGGACATAAAGGCTTGCATATTATGGACTATTTTTCTAAATTATGGAAAGATATTTTTGGTCATTAGCAAGTAAGACAGTTTAGTACAATATACCCAAATTCTGGGAAGGATATTTGACTACTAAAGTAATTACACTCCTAACACCTACCCTTCATGTCTCTTACAGGTGAAAACCACAGCTCCTCGACGGTATTGTGTGCGTCCAAATTCTGGGTTAGTGGATTCTCATGGTTCAGTCAGTGTGGCAGTGATGCTCCAACCTTTTGACTATGACCCACATGAAAAGAACAAGCATAAGTTTATGGTGCAAAGTCTCTTTGCAGGAGAAGGAGAAGTCAACCTTGATGCTTTGGTGAGTTTGAACTGGAGATTGTCCATTTTTGTACAGTACATAGTATTTAGAAAAAATAAATAAATAATAATAATAATTTACCAGCTGCGTAAACGGACAGAGGACACCCTCATATGATAAAAGTCATTGGTTCAATCCTGGGGCACTCTCAGTCCACCCAGCTTTATGTGAATACAGTACTTAATATTATAGTTGGAGAAGTGAAGGCAGTCAAGTGCAGTACCAGCCACATGCCTCCTTGAATCGTAGAGGCTTAATATACTGTACAGTGTGCTTTATCAACACTATCTCTTAATGGACAGCCGTGTCTACAAATCATTGAAATTTTTTTTTTACCCTAAACAGGAAAATGCCTGTAGGCAACACTCCTGAACATCAGTGACTACACTTTTTGTAAATTCATCTTCATTTTGGTGTAGATTTCATGAAATGCAGCTGAAATGAGTGGATTGTATTGCTTACTAAGGAAAGGAGAAGGCAAGGCATTTGAGCATCATTTTTAACTAGGGAATGATAAAAAAACTGGTATTGAAAAGACTGCAGGGTGTTACTAAGATTACGTGTGTTTTATGTGCAAGTAATTACTATATATTGCTTTAGCAAGGTGGAAAAACCTCAACATTTGGAATGCATTAATGAGATTTCTACCTGTGTGGTGTGATTAATGCTGCTGGTGGTGCTAAAACTGGCTCAATTACAAGGATCAGAAATTTAGGATCTCTTGGTGTTACCGGTGGTAAGAAGACATTGTTTATCCTTGAAAGGAAAGTTGTATGTACCTGGTGTAAGAAGTGTGTTGTTGCATGGGAGTGTCACAGTTTGGATGGTTGGTTATGTTAGTTCAAGTTAATTGTGGATAAGTAACTAAATTTTAATTAAATTAATTTATTACAATAATATTTAATATATAATTAACTAAAGAAAATGCTGAAAACATTAACAGATTGAAATACAAAATATGAACATAAGTTTAATCTAACCTTAATAACCTAATCTAAGCTGATTCTACAATAACCATGAAACCCTGACTCAAGTTACTAATACAATCCTGGGTCAACACAAATACACAGTACTGTACTGTATAGAAGTGTTGAGGCTCGAGTGGTATGTCCACAAGTGTTTCTGTACACAACTGTAGTGGAAGAGGAGGAGTACCGGGTAGGACAGAGGCTTGCTTGACAATTACGAAGGACTGGGAACAGCTGCTACCTCCCTTCACCATGGATACTGCTGACCCTGCCACTCTGAACTTTACTTGGTGCAACTATTCATACTTCTTACCAAACCAGTGAATGAAACTGTTTTATTTATGTGACTACTGTATAGTATACAACTGCATATCATTAACGCATGACAGGGAGCAAAACATAGGCTGTTAATGAGGATGGTATACATCAAATTGAGCAGTGGCATGTCGTGAAAAAAAGGCTATGGTAAGCATATGACTCTGTTAATGACATTACTGTATACTATTATCTAATACTGCACTATGAGTCTCGTAGTCTACGAAACTGTGAAACAAAAAACATTACATAATTAATATTTATTGTTTGTCTTTAACCATTACAGTATTTATAACACTAATGAGGCATTTGTATATGGTTTTTGTTAGACAATTCGCAATCCTCATTACATTATAACTTATTTCAGATCTATTCCCAATGAAATATCTATATTTTTTAATCTTGCTTGATTGATCTGGTAATTCAGTGGTGCTGCTGGAAGCGATCTATAGGGGGTAGTAGTAAGGGTAGGGGGAGGGACAACCAGGAGTACTCTGCTCTAGCAAAAGGAATTCTACTCAATACTGATGGCAAGTATTATTGAGGGGAAATTCCAGCATCAGAAAGCTTTTCGCAGCATATTAAATTTATTTGAATCTTATTTAGATGGATTTGGCAGTGGCATGATTTTACTCTGCAAGAGGGCAGAAGGGGCTACTACAAAACGAATGTTGCTTACTCGAGGGACAAGTTTTCTAGTGGCAAATGCTCCTGTCTTACAAGTTTCAAAAGTTTGGACTCCTATTATAGCAGGTTTAAATTCACTGAGACTTAAGTAACTAAAATGCAGAATGCTATATACTGTACAATTGAATAATATGTTAACTGAACACTGAACAGAAATATTTAAATTTTGAAGGGAAGAATTTTATAGGTTAAGCAATGCTTACCTTGCTTCTTCGAAATACACGCCACTGAATTAGAGTGAGCTGAAATGAGTATGTTTAGATGGATGTGTAGTGTCATGTTGAGAGAGAATATATACCCTGTTCATAGCTAAGAGGGCAGCTGGGTATTAACACGTTATTTAATTTTGCGATGCTAAACCAGTATCAATTAGTGGTGAAACTCAAGATCTTACTGTATGCGATAGTACACTTCAAGATGAAAGCACTTATCCTAGATCTGCGTACGACAATGGACAGTGCGAGACTGTCTGCGGTTGCTTCCGCTGAAGTAAACAAACAGCCAGTCCGACCGATCGTCTTGCGAAGCAAGTTTATAAATTAAAGAAAATACCTGCAGTGTATTTAATGCCTACATTTCTAATATATTACAGTCTATTATAAAAAATATATAAACAAATAAATCAGTAAATCCATTTCAAGTAAATGGTAAAATTTTACTCGACACCAACATTAGTTCCAGTAAAATAACCGACGCCTAAGTGACGTCATTAGTGTTTACACTACACCGGCTGGTAACGTTTGATGCACATTATGGTAGGTAGTTGACAATATTTTGCCATTACTTGAGGTGAATTGGCCTTATTTTAAATAACTTAAGGCTGTGTTGCTTAACAGTGTGTTTAACAACATCACTCCACTGGTCAGTGGGTTGGTTGATAAAGGACTACTGGTGCAGTAAGCTCCCAGTGGTAAGTGTCAGATTTGTGGTAGTCTTATACAGCGAGTATAGCTCAAAACCTACGTTTTAAATGGAAATTTTGGGGGTCGTCTTATACACCCCATAAATGGTACAGGTTAGGGAAATCATCATATATCACACAAGGTACAAACAGTGCTCTCACTTAAACCAAGCACGCGGCCAACCTCCGACACACGCTCTCCTCTCTGAAGGCAGATGATCACATTTAATTTAACGTCCATTGCTATTGTTTTTCGTACCTTTTTAGCATTAGGCGCCCCAAAGGAGGCAGATGGACATTTTCCAGACATGCTCAATGGGAAAAACAGCGTTTAACACTAAAAATGTATGTGATAAAAACACAATGCACATGAGAGCACAGAGAAAGAGTAGTGCTGGAAGCTTGCTGGACGTCGTCACAGTTGTTGTACAGAATACTTCATTATCTTCATCATTAGTAGTAATAATCTTTATTCTTACATTATTAGAAAGATTATTATTATTAAAAATAATATTAAAATCTTTGATGTTGATATGACTGCGACTTTATAGCATTAATTTACAAGCTCCTCACCAGGCATCACACGCAACTCCACTGCCAGGCGAATACACGCGGCAAATTTAAACTGTCATGGGCGAGTTATTTAAAAAATAGGTGCACGTTAATTAGCCTTTGGTATTAGTTGAACAATTGCGTTATTCCAAATACGCTTAAATCAAACTGGTATAAAATGCGAGTTACCCGTGTGTGTTTGTGCATATATACAGCTACTCCTCGACTTAGGACCACACGGACATATGACTGCCCCAGTCGTACCAAATTTGTTTCAAATTACTTATTTTCGAGTTCCGACGTTAGTGATTGCGCTGTGTACTGACAAAATTTTTGCTTATAATTCCCTTTAAAATGGCTGGCGAGCTTAAAAGTGAGAGTTTTGTGGTGCTGAGAAGAAAAAGAGACAACCATTTTAGATTTTCTGTGTATTATTTAAACATTTTCGACTTACAGCCATTTCGACTTATGACCTGGATTGGAGTCCGGAGCCCTGTCGTAAGTCGAGGAGCAGCTGTGTGTGTGTGTGTGTATATATATATATATATATATATATATATATATATATATATATATATATATATATATATATATATATATATATATATATATATATATATATATATATATATATATATATATATATATATATATATATATATATATATATATATATATATATATATATATATATATATATATATATATATATATATATATATATATATATATATATATATATATATATATATATATATATATATATATATATATATATATATATATATATATATATATAGTTGTACCCCACTTAACGCGGTCAATTGAACCCAGAGGGTCCCGCGTTAAGTGAACAACAGAACATATGGGATTAATTCCAATAGAAACCGGCCCGACCCCCAAACTCCACTTTTTGAAGGCACATACCTATGTTGTAGTAAAAATAACATCTTAATTTTATGATGGTACATGCACACAATTAATACTTAAGAGAAATAGAGAAATACAGTCGCCAAGTTAATGTCCATTCAAATAATGGACTCAACTCCCTCCCCTCTCACACTACACTGCCGGCTCTTCCCTCTCAGAGAAATTTTTGGGGGAAAACCACTAAATTTTAATAAATAATACCTCAAACTAAAGTTAGGATAATACAATTGACATTGCTGGATTCCTTGTAAGACCAGGAATATTTTGAATATAAATGTCATATATTTTGCACAAAAGATAACATAGTTACCTAGAGAAAAAATTTTATCTAAAATTTGTATGTTTAATGCAAAATATATGATGTTTATATTCAAAATGATCACCAAATTATAAGAATTCCAGCAATGTAAATTATATTCTGACCGGGTAATTTGTATGAATTTTATGAGCTAAAACAAATATCTTCAGTTAATAAAAAAAAAAATAATTCTTCACGGGGTAACAGATGGTCGGTCGGTCCCTCCCTCCGCCCCACCCCCCACCAACCGTCCCAAGGAGATGTGTGGGATAACCACTAAATTTTAATAAATAATACCTCAAACTAAAGTTAGGATAATATAATTGACATTGTTGGATTCCTTGTAAGACCAGGAATATTTTGAATATAAATGTCATATATTTTGCACAAAAGATAACATAGTTACCTAGAGAAAAATTTTTATCTAAAAATTGTATGTCTTATGCAAAATATATGATGTTTATATTCAAAATGATCACCAAATTATAAGAATTCCAGCAATGTAAATTATATTCTGGCCGGGTAATTTGTATGAATTTTATGAGCTAAAACAGGCAGTCAGGCAGGGTGGCGGGTGGGGCAATCTAAAAATAGCGCCTCGAATGACACTCTCCCGTATATGTGAAAAAAAATGTTATGAAAGTTCACTTGGCAGGCACCGCGATATGATAAAACGCTATGAAACCGCTAGGCGGGTAATACTGTATATATATTTATTATTTATTTATATATATATATATATATATATATATATATATATATATATATATATATATATATATATATATATATATATATATATATATATATATATATATATATATATATATATATATATATATATATATATATATACACAGTTGTACCCCACTTAACGCGGTCAATTGAACCCAGAGGTCCCGCGTTAAGTGAAATCCGCGTTAAGTGAACAACAGAACATATGGGATTAATTCCAATAGAAACCGGCCCGACCCCCAAACTCCACTTTTTGAAGGCACATACCTATGTTGTAGTAAAAATAACATCTTAATTTTATGATGGTACATGCACACAATTAATACTTAAGAGAAATAGAGAAATACAGTCGCCAAGTTAATGTCCATTCAAATAATGGACTCAACTCCCTCCCCCTCTCACACTACACAGCCGGCTAACAGATGGTCGGTCGGTCCCTCCCTCCCCCCGCCCACCCCCCACCAACCGTCCCAAGGAGATGTGTGGGATAACCTCAAACTAAAGTTAGGAAAATATAATTGACATTGCTGGATTCCTTGTAAGACCAGGAATATTTTGAATATAAATGTCATATATTTTGGACAAAAGATAACAGTTACCTAGAGAAAAAATTTTATCTAAAAATTGTAAGTTTAAAGCAAAATATATGATGTTTATATTCAAAATGATCACCAAATTATAAGAATTCCAGCAATGTAAATTATATTCTGACCGGGTAATTTGTATGAATTTTATGAGCTAAAACAAATATCTTCAGTTAATAAAAAAAAATAATAATTCTTCACAGGGTAACAGATGGTCGGTTGGTCCCTCCCTCCCCCCCACCCCCCACCAACCGTCCCAAGGAGATGTGTGGGATAACCACTAAATTTTAATAAATAATACCTCAAACTAAAGTTAGGATAATATAATTGACATTGCTGGATTCCTTGTAAGACCAGGAATATTTTGAATATAAATGTCATATATTTTGCACAAAAGATACCATAGTTACCTAGAGAAAAATTTTATCTAAAAATTGTAAGTTTAAAGCAAAATATATGATGTTTATATTCAAAATGATCACCAAATTATAAGAATTCCAGCAATGTAAATTATATTCTGGCCTGGTAATTTGTATGAATTTTATGAGCTAAAACAGGCAGTCAGGCAGGGTGGCGGGTGGGGCAAATCTAAAAATAGCGTCTCGGACACTCACCGCGTATATGTGGAAAAAACCCGCGTTAAGTGAAAGTTCAGCTTTGGCAAGGCACCGCGTATATGCGAAAACGCGTTAAGTGAAAGCGCGTTAAGCGGGGTAAAACTGTATATATATATATATATATTTATTTATTTATTTATTCTCATATGATCAGTCTATTTTGGTGTAAGGCTCATCATAAATAATATAACGTACATTATTAAATAATAGAAAAATATACAATTTGACTTCAAAATAAATTAACAAGCTGGATCAGAAGGTACTGTACTGTAAATACGTAATCTATTCCCTGACCAGTCATCCCTCCCGCTGTAAAAGAGGGTGAGAGGTGGGCTGGCTGTGCCATGTTTGCCATTTTGTTTTTATTTATTCATTATTATATTCTCGTATGTTAATTAACTTTCTGGGTTTTCTTAAAACATTTATTAACTAAAGTAGATGTAGATTATGTGACATATGTAATTTTTGTAAGGTTAGGTTGGTTTCCCAGAGTCATTCTAGAGTAAACTTCTGGCAAGTCTAGTACAATATAGTGACTTTAACACCCGTTAAAGGGCATCGCTTTCGTAGATTTCCGATGTGCGGACGTGTACCAATATGATATACAATACTGTACCAGCGCAAAAGGAGACCCCACTATATTTATATAAATTACAATTGGGAAGATGGGTACAGGACCGAAGACTCGAATATTATACCCCCAAAAAATGCCTTTTAAGACATTTATTTAGCTAAACATTGGTAGCAACTGAGCAGTGATGAAAACTGTAGTATGTACCTGTTTTACTGAGACGCATACAAAATAAACGAACCAATAACTTAAGCAACGGTCTGGCAGACCATAGCTTGGGAACCAATGCAAGTTTAAAGGAACGGATTTATGGACCGCATCGTTTCATCACAGTACAGTCGGCCCTTAACATACGCGGGTTTAGCATACACGGATTTGCAAATACGCGGATTGCCCCGCCGGAGGAATATTCTGTACATTGAAGTAATTGAAGTACATTCAACCCGCGCGCGGCACCGAACACAGGACACCACCCGCTCCCGCAACCTCACACACACACACGCATAGCTCTCCCCCACTCGGTCAGTCTCGCTGTAACCACGCTTGTGTTGACATCAGCATTGTAGTTGCAAAAATATTACATTTCCGTGAATGTATTATGTCAAGCACAGTATGAATAGAATATCACTAGTATAACAGTATTTTAACCGAAAACTATTAAAAAAAAACGAGTAACATATCTTGAACATCAGAAGGTTAGGTAAAGTCTTTTGTTTTCATGTAGTTTATCCTAATTTACATTGAAATACATTACGTTTCAGCAAAACTACTATTTATTTCTGAGAATATGGAAATGTAATATTTTTGCTGAAATGACGTACGTAATTACAGTGGTAAGTGACGAAAGCAATGACTTTCGCTTTCTTTCGTTCAAAAGATGTTACCGTAATCACTTTTCGAATGGTTTTCAGTTAAAAAACTTGTATTACAATAATATTCTATCCTAATTCACTTGTGATGCAACAGTTTTTTAACTGAAAATCATTCAAAAAGCGATTACGGTAACATCTTTTGAACGAAAGAAAGCAAGTCATTGTTTTCGTCACGATTTTATCCCACTTTCCACAGGAATACGTACGTCATTTCAGCAAAAATATTACATTTCCGTGAATGCATTATATCAAGCACAGTATGAATAGAATATCATTGTAATATAACAGTATTTTAACCGGAAACTATTATAAAAACGAGTAACATCTCTTGAACATCGGAAGGTTAGGTAAAGTCTTTTGTTTTCGTCATGCATTTTATCCTATTTTACCTTGAAATACATCACGTTTCAGCAAAACTACTATTTATTTCTGATAATATATTCATTCGGGTGCAGTTTAGGTAAAATATACATGTGATGTAACAGTTTTTTAATTGAAAATGATTCGAAAAACACGTACCCTCTAGTCCAGTGGCCAATTAATAAAAAATTTATGGACAGGGAAGTAGAATGTAAGATGTCCACTGCCAGATTAAATATTATAGTTCACAATTTGAAGAACCAGTAGGCATTGAATATTATTGTTCATTACCATACTTCAAAGCATATATCATAGTACCAATATTAATTTTTCCCATAAAATTTTAGACTACTGACTCTCAGCATAGTGTAATATTGGGTCCCACACCTTTTGCCAGGATGGTCACATTTATGAAACGAGTCTTACTTTTCAGGTACACCAAAGCTGCTTTGGTATGAGTCATGAATGTTTGTAACATCCTTAATGGTTATATATGTTATGCATTCATGACCTGCAAACACTCCAGGGTATTAGTATTTACTTTCTTTTTTAGCTTTGTCATTAACAGATTACCACGTACAGCAGAAGTGCCATATCATCTTTACATATCATTCCCAGGTCACGTTGGACATGTCAGAAATTTAGTTCCTCGTATGCCTCATTTCTGGTGGTGGCATTGGGAGTTGAATACAGTACTAAAGTGAGGCTACAATTGTGAAGAAATTTTATTAGATATAAGTAGTCCTTGTTTGTTACATGTTTGTACATACAGTGAGCAACACTTGGGCTGCTGTGATGAACAAGAACTGCCTGCACTTACAGTATGATGATAGATGCTGAAGTATTTTATCAAACTTTGTTTTGTGACATGTAATTCTGACATTTATGTACATTTCAGTTTAAGGAGGCTGATCTGAGTCAGTTGATGGACTCAAAATTGCGGTGCGTATTTGAGTTACCGATGGATGCTTCTGCACAGGCACCACAAAACAACATTGATGCTTCCCCAGCACCACAGCCAGCGATGGAATCATGCAAGCCATCACCTAAGGTGAGACATATGAAATACCAACTAAAAATTTTTAATTTCTAGTTGTTATAAGAGTAGTAAATGGAAAGCTATAGCTTCAGCCAGAGTTGAACCTACTGCTTCAGCCAGAGTTGAACCTAATTACTTCGTCATCTGAATAAAAACTCGCACAATATTCATTGGCTGTCCTTATGTTTTAGACTTTACCACCATTGGTGAGTGGAATTTTTGTTTTACATTCGTAAATATTATTTAAAACATATATGAACAGTAAATAAATGTTGCTTTCATATTCATATGTAGAGAAATGACAATATGTTTTCACATGTATGCACTTATTGTACATACGTTGGCATTCCCAATCATTTCGCCTTATTTCTTTACCATTAGTGGTTAGCTACTTCTAGTGATCCATTTATTAACATTAAATAACATTACTTAAAACATACATACAGGTATTCAATTTTTTTAATTAAGTGCACTATGGCTATAACCAGGGTCTTATTTTTTTCAGTTTCTTATGTAGAACCATCGTCACTCACGAAAACAATGCCGTCTTGTCTCCTCTTGTGTGTTTTAATATTCTACGTATTATTAATGAATTTCATTTTTCATTTCACATATATAAACATTAATTCAATCAAATACATATTCAGTAATAAACAATAATGAATCTTTTGTACATATTCTTAAGATAAATGACTCCTTGAGTGCACACGTACTGTATACATTGGCGTTCCACTATTGGGTAGTAGGCAGCTACCAAACAGGGAGGTACTACCGCCTGCGAAGATATTGGAGGCATAATGTATTGTCTAATGGTAGACCCTGCTGCCATATGGCATCACGAAAATTGTGACAAAGTCCCAGGTTGCTGATCTGACTTTCTGCCTCATTTACATACAGTTGCAGGGTCTCAATTGTTTCTCTTACCATTGACAACACATTATACTGTACATATATTGTTTCTCACTCTTGATATTTTATTTTTTTATTTTTTATTTCTTTATGGTTCTTTCATATTGTTATTATTTAATATTATTATTTTTATTATTATTATTGTTATTATTATTATTATTATTATTATTATTATTATTATTATTATTATTACTACTACTACTACTACTACTACTACTACAGTGACCCCTCCATTAACGAACTCAATCCGTTCCAGCCGGTTGCTCGTTAACCGAAACCATTGTTTCAATGGGTTTTTGGGTAATTGGTTCCAGCTCACCGAAAATTGCCTATATTCAACAAAAAGGTAGAAAAGTACACTTACTTTGAGGTGTGTATGTAGAAGGCTCCTGGATGATGATGATGATGATGATGATGGGAATTAGAATGGGGGTGGAGGAGAAGGGAGAAGAGAAGGCATTGGGGTGGAAGAGAAGTCACCCCATGGCGCCATTTCACCCATAAAATTTTAGCTCTGGTGTAATTCAAGATTATTTTCTTTAAATCAACACTGCACTACATTATATATTGTCAATATATTTCAAAATGACCAATAATTTGCTTGGAAACAGAAAAAAAGCATTTAGTTGAAGAGAGTCTCAAGCAAGATGTTACCTCCAGTGAAAACAGAGAGAGAATAACTCCTGTTTGCTGTGTTAAGAGGCTGGATGCCGCACATTAAACTAGTCACTTTACCTTCAATTATGTTCAATAATTGTTAAAATGACTAAAAAATTGAATATTAAACTTTTAAAATTATTGAATAGTATAAACTTCTTGATATTTACTAAAATAGTAAGGAATTTAAGCCCTAGAACCGATTAATGAATTGGCGGACTGATACTAAAGCTGGTTGCCCGGTCAGTGCAAGCGAAAACATGTTGAGGTCGGTTCGTAAGAACTTCGTTAACCGAATTTTTTTTCGTTAACCGAATTGAAGATCCTTATGGAAGGCAGTTCGTTAATCGAAATTACGTTAAACGAGGGGTCACTGTACTAAATTTTAGCCCCCCAGGCCCTAATGTGGGTCAGTGACCTGTGCCCGGGTGGGCTAATCCCCGTAAAAAAAAAATTCTTTAATATCAGTGGTTACTTATACTGTACAATAAATAGCATTAATTAAAACATACATATTTTTTACATTAATTTTACTACAACAACAATCAGGGTCTTATTTTCTCCAGTTTCAGGTGGATAACTGGCATTATGGGTGTAAACACTAACAACAATGCCGTCTCTTATCCTCTTGTGTGTTTTAATATTCTACGTATTATTAATGAATTGTATTGTTCATTTCGCATATATAAAGATTAATTCAATCAAATACAAATTCAATAATAAACAATAATGAATCTTTTGTACATATTCTTAAAAAGATAAATGACGCGGTATATGTTGGCGCTCCCAATCCATCTCTTTTTTTTTTCTTCTTCTTCTTTGCCATTAGTGGTTAGCTACTTCTACTGTTCCATTTATTAACACTAAATAATGTTACTTAAAACATATATATTAATTTTTTTACATTAATTTTACTACAGCTACAACCAGGGTCTTATTTTCTTAATTTTCTCGTGCAGAACTATCGTCCCGGACTCCCGGCTGTAAACACACACGAAAACAATGGCGTCCCATCTCTTCTTGTGTGACCATATTATTATTCATTTATATTGTATAAGGTGCATTCAGAAATATTATTTAAAGAATATAGTTTCCAATTTTCATTAATTGTATTGTTTTGGGGGAAAAGAGGGTAAAAAGCCACACAAAAGATATGAAAAGGTCACACTTGGGAATGCACCTCATTATTATTGCTTTATTTTAATGGTAATTAATGATTCGCGATAAGACGATTCACCTTACACTGCAATATTGAAGGACACATTAACGTCTTTATTCGAGGCTTTACTGTATATTGTATTTACATGCACAAAATCATATGTTTTCCCTACAAAACCACTTTAAATCACTTTCAATAATTGCATGATGAAACGTACTAAAAAAAATCCTTAATATATCCTTGTAAAATAGGGGTGCGTCTTATGCGGGGGTGCTGTCTTATATGGCGGCAAATATGGTATATTCACATTTAAAGGCAGTTTGAAAACTTGCTTCATAGAACTTGTGGTCATTCTAATATACTGTATTAAATTTGCTTTCACCAAATATATTCAGAATTTCAGATAAAGTAATATTGATTGTGTTATCCCAATTTTATACATGTGAAATAGCTTGTTGTATTGATTTAAAAAATAATAATTCCTTTGATTGCTTAGGGAAAGCTTTGACAGATATACAGGTTGACAACCCTTTATCCGAAAACCGAAAGTTTTTTTTTTTTTTTTTTTTTTAAACAGATTAGCCCACCCGGGCTTAGATCACTGACTCACATCGGGGCCTGGTGGGTGAAAATGTAATAGTAGTAATAATTATAACAATAATAATTATTCATAGTAAGTAAGATTTTTAATTAAAATACTGTACACCAAAATAAAATAATGATAACAATAATAATAATAAAATAAAAAATAAAATTAATAATAATGACAATAATACTGTAATAAAATACTAATAATAATAATAAAGAAATACAAGAATGAAAAAAGATCAAAAGTGAGAAATGCGACCTAGACCTATGAATTATTATTATTATTATTATTATAATTTTTATCATATTTTTGCCCCCTGGGCCCCGATATGGGTCAGTGATCCTTGCCCAGATGGGAAAAAAAATATTTGCCACACAAAAAACTAACCATTCTGAAAACCGAAAAATTCCAAAATGCCTCTGGCCCCAAGGAAGGGATTGCCAACCTGTACTTCATGACTATCCCACCAATATATTATTAAAAAAAATTGTAGGCAAACAACAGTGATGCAGAGCTTAGGAAGGCTGGTGATGAAATCAAGCGACTTCGGGAGGAGATCAGCTCACTTCGCCAAGAGAACCTTCAGCTTAAGGTACCATACATTTATCTATTCTTATTCTGTATATCATGTTCAGCCTTTTGAACTGGTTTCTGTAACTTTTCATTTATCCCTTATATTCAACAATTCCTTCCCACATGACTTTTCTATGCAGTTTATTTGTTTGCCTGGTCCATAAGTGGCACAAGCAAATCATCCTTTTCCCCTGATAAATTACTGACAGTATAACATGTTTATCAACCTTTGTATTGAGGATGGTACCCAAATGCACATCTATGGTGTGGGTTTTTTACCAACAGGAGGACTCACTGAGGCAGCGCTCACATCCAAGCACAGGAGAGAAGAAACTAAATGTGGCGGCTAGTGTCATCCCACAGCATGAAACTCCGCAGGCAAACTCAATGATGCACGTGGTTGCTGCTGTCATCATTGCTCTTGTTGGGTTCATTCTTGGCAAGTTTTTCCTCTGAAGAAGTTCCACTGCCATCGCCCAAGATCACTAGGTAGCAATCGGCCATTTTCTACCACAAACCAACACAGACTTGTCAAACTTTTGGGGGGCATATCCATCATTTGGTGGACTTATGCTGCTAGCTGGAAACATTATTAGCTATCTTCCATAGCAATTTGCCTTTATTCCAAAATGAGATAGTATTTGGCTGTCATTGACTCCTAATACTTTTATATAAAAATTTGCTTGAGAGAAGCTACAAGATAACTAATTAGAAAGTGCTGCCTTCACTTTACCCAAGTTTTAAATGCTAATGTAAGCTTCAAACCTCTGGGTAAGTGTAACAGATATCTTGTAATTTTAAAGCAATCCAGTTAGCTTGCTTTAAGTAATTTATTTGATAAATTATGGAATAGTGATAATAAATTAAAGAAGTATGAAGACCGTGCATTTCATTTTAAAGGATTAAGCATATTTATAATTTTATATACTGTAAGGAGTATACAGAATATATAATTTTTTGCCCAGAAATAAATCGCATTTGCATTTCATGTGCATCACCTTTGCCTGTGATTAGTTATAACTCACATTTTGAAATATATCATGTGCTCTTTTAATATATATCATTTAGCAATAGGTAAAGCATTAATGTCTTCAATTAGCTTGGGGAAAAATTTACTTTACCCAAGCATTGTTTCACATTTACAAGTTAAAATGATGGATTTAAAAAAAAATGTGTTATGCCATTACAATCCCAAGACAACAATTCCAAAACAGTTGTAAGACTTGGGTGTCAGAATAGCTTCTCAAGTTCTTTCATTTTATTAAAAGAACAAAATATTTTATCAACTTCATTTAATTTAGTCCACTCTATAGACTAACCCATTTCTCATGAAAATGTCACTTTTGTAGAATTCATAGTAGATGATATTGATTTTATACCTTAAATGGAGGTTATGATTTAGTTAAATTATCTGCTGTATACCCTGATCTGGTCATTGCTAATTATTCCATTCTACTTCATATAGTCTTGGTGAAGTTTGTACAGAACTTCACTTCCTGTTCTCTAGTGCAGGATAAATGGAAGTTGGAACTGCAATTGAGATGAGCAAGAATTATCCTTATGTTGAATTCATTCAAGTTGCGGCTGATGAATCATGGTGGAAATCTTGTTTGGTGTAAGTTTCTACAGGGTTGACAAAGTAGAGGGCAGTGTAGGTGTCAGTCACTCATGTGTAGGTAGTAGCAAGGTTTGAAACATAGTCTCCAAAGACACTAGGATGAGGGACTCATATGTGCATACTGGCCCAAGAGTGAGGACTTGTGGAACTTGTCTCCAGGGCAACTCGACATTATAAAATGTAGCTAATATACATACAGTACTCTAAAACACGCAGCCCTTCATAAGGTGTGACGTGGCATGGTCTTACACTGAAACTTAACCTGACCAGTGTTAAGTCTCAACTTTGGCATTTACCAAGTTAGAATTTTCTGAGGAATTTTAGAAAATGAAGAGGCTTAGGAATCCCAGAGTAAGACTCACTAACACTGGTCAGGTCACATTCTTGTTAGTTTATTCCAGCTTGTAATAGCTACCTTTGTGAAATTATGATCTGTGTTTGGTTCAGTCAGTCCTTTTTTTTGTACATTACTGTAGTATGCAAGAGCTGTTTGTACAAAAGAAAAATCCCTTGTATATAAGTTGGTGTGGTATGTTCTTGTCTTCTATCACATTTGTATTTTTTATTCCACTTGTTTTCTTTGCTACCCCCACAAGTAGTCTATGTACATTTAATCTCTTCATTCATTGTCATTACTAGTGAACTGTGAACATGTGTGAGTAAACTTACATCTGTATCATGTATTGGTTTGGTAGATGTTAACTATCAAATTATATATATATATATACAGAGAAGTTTCTTACATATGTGAATGCCTACCAGCAAACATTTGCTCGTAAACACTTCAATTTGCACGAGACAGACAGAAATCGTTAAGGATGGAGGTCTGACAAACTCGATGCTTTGATTGGTGAAACCATTGTGTTTTAATGTTTACTGCTGCATGTCTTCAAATAACTTTGGACAGTGTAATGGAGTATAGCCAGTGTATTTTTCACACTTGTTTGTAACACCACAGTGGTCAGTCCTGGGGTTTTGTACCCATGTGTACAGTGTGCAGCGTGTCATGATAAATATGTCACACCTTAATGTATGGCTTGTTTTGATTTTTCCTTGCATATTTTGCTATATATATATATATATATATATATATATGTTATAGGCATTTACAGTAGTAAGAGTGTATCACCAGGTTACTCAATTTCACATTTTCTATATGAACTCGTAGCCCCAGCATTCTCTATCAGGTAATGATGTCAGGCAACATGGATACACCTTCAGCGTGGTGCAAACCCTGTAAGAAAATAAGGATAGAAAACAAGCAGTACAGCCTGAAAATTGAGCTGAGGTGAAAAATTCAGACATACACCCTTGCTATTCTATAAGCCTCATCTATATACTGTATATACTAACAAAATGACTAAAACCTCCAGATGAAATTATCAGGGTAATTGCATTCTATCTCAGAAACAATTTGGTTTTAAGTGAGAAGCACACTGTATGTGTAGGCATCATGCAGAAATTGGGTTGCCAACTGATTTTTTCCTTTTCAAAACTGCTTTGTATTTCTGATATGGAAAAGATATTTCATCACCATGTTTAGTTAGTTTTAGGAAGTATGATTCATATTTTGTATATATACTGATTTGGTTCAGTATAACAAAATTAATGTATTGTTAGAAATAGTGACTCGTTACTTTTTAATATTGTTTGTTACAAATGACTTTGAACGAGATTACTTACAGAATAGCATGTGTTCTATTCACATTTCCATACACACGAAGATAATATGTATAGGGCCCTTGCTTTCACATAATACAGCATTTCAAACAACAAATTCATGAGTGTGCACACATACTATACATGTACAGAAGCGATATCAATCCTAGTACAAACTTCTGTTTAATATCATTGATTACAGATGCTTTGACTTTTTGCATGAACATCTCTTTTGCTGACTTCGCATACTGTATGTATACAATTGGACATCTATTTCGTCTTCCAATGGACAATAGAAAAGTAGTGTTTGGACCATAAATTACTTTACCATGAAAAAAAAACAGGCATAAAAAACCTTATCTTGGTGGTATCTGCCACACAGGAGAGGGAGAAATGAGGCCCACTCCAGCAAAGTGGCACCTTTTTTAAGAGATTGATGGAAGTCGAGTACCAAATTTACAGTACAGTAATTATAAAAAAAAAATTATGACAATGGTTAAGTATCTTACCTAGAGGGTTAAGATGGTCAAATCATAAAGTGTCAAGTAGAAAAGATCAGTATTTTATATTAAAAAGGAGAAGGGGTACCGATTAATATTTCTTGAAGGCCAAAGACGTTAACCTCTGCCAAGGCTGCGCAAAGCTCCTCACATGGTTGCTCATGAGATTATCAATAACATAATTTTTCACTCATCACTCACTTGGAGGTTACCATATATTCAAGATACTGTATATATTTATGTTTCTCTGTAATTGTGTGTTATGTATTCATATAATATTTAAACCATTATTATATAATATGCACGGTACAATGCATAATAATATGGAAGTATGCATAGCATAATGTATGTACATTCAGTAGCTACATGTATGATATATGTGTATGCAATAAATACATGAATGAATATATTTACTGTACCTGAAAATTTTAATATTTATGACTCGTTGCCTAGGAAACAACCACTCGATTTAATTTATTCTTGCAGGGGTTTCTTGGGATGTCCTCCAACCTCACACTTCTGCAAGTCACTAAATTCTTAATTTTTGTTATCTTTCAAGTGTATTACCATCAAGGTATTACTGGCTGGAAATATATTCATCACCATAAATATCCTGGGATTTTGCCATTTTTACTACAAAACCAAAGATTGTATTAGAAACAATTTGTCAAAGTTAAGGTTCATAAAAGCACTGGCCATGCTAGTGTACATCCCACACTATTAAAAGAGTTGTGCAGCAAACTTGCATAATTGTTCTGCAGAGGCAAAAGGTCCCAGTGACTAGAAAATGGCATACAGTATGTGAATGTTGTATTCAAACAGGGTGATCGCAATTGCATGAACAATTATAGATTGGTGAATTTGACCAGCATACTGTACAAGATACCAAGATGGAATATTTATCACAAAACAACCTTGTGAATGTGTGTTTCATAAATGATATGCAAGAAACTATACACTTCTTTATGCAAATGTTTGGGTATGTTGCAAAGTTAATCGGGGAAATAAAGAACCAAACAGACTCCTGTCAGCTTCAGGAGTGGTCAAAGGAATGGGTGTTAAAATTCAATGTCATGAAATGCAGTTCATACTAACAGTAAGGAAGTGTATCGCATGTCCCAATGGGACAAATATCATTTACAGGGACCAAATGTGAAAAGGATCTGGATGTGTATGTCCACAACAAACTGAAGTTCTTGGACCATTGTGAGAAGGCAAATCAAGCAAACAAGCTAGTACTAGGTCTAATAAGAAGGGTACTCATATGCAGACAGTCCATTGCTCAAAGCTCTTGAAAAGTAATGTATTTCCCCATTGGGAGTACTGTTACATTATATGGTAGCAAAGAATTGCCAGAAACTGCCTGTTGATTGAAGATGTCCAAAGGGGGGCCACCAGACTGTTGCCTGCACTATGGCACCTCAGGTACCCAAAGAGATTAGAATGCCTGTAGTTACCTAGCTTAATGCTATAGGCAGGCAAGGAGTGACAAAACTCTTTAAACACCTCAGAGGGCATTACTCAGTCAAGTGTTCATACCTGGAACTAGCAAATGCCTGCCTTGCGGAGTTCACAGCATAAGGTTGAAGAAGTCACAAGTTCAGAAAATTGTCAAGGCATTTTTTTTTTAGAGATTTGTGATCTCGTGGAGCAACCTACACGAGACGGGGCTGGATTTAGGAAGGTGGAACCCTTTTTATAATGAAGTTTAAGAATTGTTTTTAAAATCTAAACTAATTGTCGTTTATGTGAGATTAGCAACAATTCTACAACCCAAATAGAATGCAACAGTTACAAGTCTATTTTCACAGGCTCACAACAATCAAAATGTCTTACTATACTTACTCTTATTGACATACAGTATTGGGATATTTCTTGGTATTAAATGTTAAGTGCTTACATATGGCTATAGTATACAAGTACAGTATAAAATTATAAACTGAATCGTTCATATCAATCACAAACTGAACAGCAATCAAATTGAAACATTAACCCTTAACGTTCCAGTGTCCCCCAGGGGGTCAGGACTGTAGAGCAAGTTTGTGTCCATAAGAAGTTGGGGCCATAGGGCATGTTTGTGTCTCCCAGGAGGTCAGGACTGTAAGGCATGTGTGTGTGTGTGTTCTCCAGGAGGTCAGGGGTGTGGGGCATGTGTGTGTGTGTGTCCTCCAGGATGTCAGGGGTGTGGGGCATGTGTGTGTGTGTGTGTCCCTCAGGAGGTCAGTGCTGTAGGGCATGTGTGTGTGTGTTTCCCAGGGGGTCAGGGCTGTAGGGCACATGTGTGTGTGTGTGTGTGTGTCCCCCCAGGAGGTCAGGGCTGTGGTAATATGTGTATCCCCTAGGATCAGAGTTGTAAGGGCATGTGTGTGTCCCCAGGAAGTCAGGGCTTTTTTTTATAGGGATTAGCCCTCCCGGGCTGGGTCACTGACCCACATCAGGCCTGGGGGGTGAAAATGTAATAATAAAATAATAACTAATATTAAATAAAATTTATAATAAAAATACAAAATTAACAATAAAGTAATAATTATTCATAGTAAATAAAATTTATAATACAAAATACAAAATTTAAACAAAATTATAATAATAACAATAATAACAATAATAATATTAATGATAGAGAACTGTAAAGAAATGCAAAAATGAAAAAAATCAATAGTGAGAAACAATATAGTATGTATGTTGTGTTGTCAAAATAAGAGAAACAATTGAGACCCTGCAATTGTGTGTAAGTGAGGCAGAAAGTCAGATCAGCAACTTGGGACTTGGTCACAATTTTCGTGATGCCATATAGGCAGCAGGGTCTACCATTAGACAACACATTATGCTTTCAATATCTTCCCAGGCAGTATTACCTCCCTGTTAGGGCTGTAGGGCATTTGTGTGGGTCCTCCAGGAGGCCAGGGCTGTAAGGCGTGTGTGTGTCTCTCAGGAGGTAAGGGCTGTAGGGCATGTTTGTGTTCCCCAGGAGGTCAGGGCTGTAGGGCATGTGTCCCCAGAAGGTCAGGGCTGTAGGGCATGTGTGTGTTCCCCCAGGGCTCAGGGCATGTGTGTGTGTGCACCCCAGGGGCTCAGGGCATGTGTGTCCCCCCCAGAGGCTCAGGGCATGTGTGTGTGGGGGGGGTGGGTGTGGGCACGCAGTGGCTCAGGCATGTGTGTGGCTGTGTGTCCAGGCGGTGTTCCCGGCCCAGGCAGGATCTGTGTCGCTCGGCAGGCAGGTGCCCAGATCAGGCATGTGTGTTGGAGATCAGGCATGTGTGTGTGTACGGTCAGGCTGGCGTGTGTGTGGGGTCAGGGGAGCGCCATGTTGTCCGAGGGGCTAGGGCATGTGTGTGTGTGTCCTTCAGGAGGTCAGGGCTGTAAGGCATGTGTGTGCGTGTCCTCCAGGAGGTCAGGGTTGTAGGGCATGTGTGTGTGTGTCTTCCAGGAGGACAGGGTTGAAGGGCATGTGTGTGTTCCCCCAGGGGTCAAAGCTGTAGGGGCATGTGTGTGTCCCTAGGTCAGAGCTGTAGGCCATGCCATGTGTATGTCCCTCAGAAGGTCAGGGCTGTAGGGCATGGGTGTGTGTCCTTCAGGAGGTCAGGGCTAGGGCATGTGTGTGCGTGTTCCAGGAGGTCAGGGTGAAGGGCATGTGTGTGTCCCCCAGGGGTCAGGGCTGTAGGGTATGTGTGTGTCCCCCAAGGGGTCAGGGCTGTAGGGTATGTGTGTGTCCCCCAGGGAGTCAGGACTGTAGGGTATGTGTGTGTCCCCCAGGGAGTCAGGACTGTAGGGTATGTGTGTGTCCCCCAGGGAGTCAGGACTGTAGGGTATGTGTGTGTCCCCCAGGGAGTCAGGACTGTAGGGCATGTGTGTGTCCCCCAGGGAGTCAGGACTGTAGGGTATGTGTGTGTCCCCCAGGGAGTCAGGACTGTAAGGTATGTGTGTGTGTGTGTCTCCCAGGTCAGGACTGTAGGGGTATGTGTGTGTGTCCCCCAAGGGGTCAGGGTTATGGTCATGTGTGTGTGTGTTTCCCCAGGGGTCAGGGCTGTAGGGCATGTGTGTGTGTGTGTGTGTGTGTCCTCCAGGATGTCAGGGGTGTGGGGCATGTGTGTGTGTGTCCCTCAGGAGGTCAGTGCTGTAGGGCATGTGTGTGTGTGTGTCCCTCAGGAGGTCAGTGCTGTAGGGCATGTCTCTCTCTCCCAACGGGTCAGGGCTGTAGAGCATGTGTCTCTCCCCAAGGAGGTTAGAGCTGTAGGGCATATGTGTGTGTCCCTCAGGAGGTCAGGGGTGTGGGGCATGTCTCTCTCTCCCAGGGGGTTAGAACTGTAGGGCATATGTGTGTCCTCCAGGAGGTCGGGGGTGTGGAGCATGTGTGTGTGTCTACCAGGAGGTCAGGGCTGTAGGGCATGTCTCTCTCTCCCAGGGGGTCAGGGCTGTAGAGCATGTCTCTCTCCCCAAGGAGGTCAGGGCTGTAGGGCATGTGTGCGTGTTCCCCAGGTCAGGGCTGTAGGGTGTGTGTGTGTGTCCCCAGGAGGTCAGGGCTGTAGGGCATGTGTGTGTGTATCATGCCCTCTTGTTTTCCTGCACATCATAACTTGTGTTATCCATGAATATACACTCAATTCCTGGTTCTTAAGAATTATCTGTCACTACAATACTCTTTTCTGCTTCTGCTCCTCCATTTGTGATTTTATGGCAAGTTCATCTGCAAGCAGAAGCTGCCACAACCACTAATGTACTTCTTCCCACTTCACTTTACTCCATTGTTCTGCTTGCTTCGATATATAGAATGTGGATAAGAAAGATGAGGAGTCGACATAAGTGAACAGGTCTAAATACTTGGATTCAGTGTTAAGGGTAGAAAGAGGTTATGAGAAAGAAGTGATTGGGTGAGAGATGGACATGCAAAATGGAGAGTGAAGTAGCAGATACTGTATAGTATATATAAAACAATTATAAGGCCATGTTGATATATGGATGAGATTTGGGCACTAAGGAAGAGGGCAAATTGTTGTAGGATACTGGGAGTGTCATTCAAGGAGAAATTTGGTCATATGGTATGAAAAGAAAAGGGGGAAGAAATTAAGAGCTTAGAATAAATTAATTGTAAGAAAATCAAAATGAAAAACAGAAATTAAGATGATGGGACATGGTTGAGAGAAACTGAACATGGTGGGAATGGCTAAAGAAAGGAACAGGGGCGTACCCAGGGGGGTTTATTGGTTGCCCGGAAATCCCCCTCTGGGCCACGCTGGAATCCATCATCAAGACTATTATCCTCTGTGGCCATCAGAACATTTCTCTACGAGGTCACAGAGATAATACTAAGGATGTTGCCAATGATGGGACTGCCAATCATGGCAACTTTCTGGCCCTCCTTGGTTTCCATGTGGAGGCTGGAAACAGGATTCTGGGTATGCACCTAGGCACAGCTGCCAAGAATACTCTGTACATAGCTTGGAATATCCAGAATGAGTTGATTTACATTTGTGGAGAACAGATACATGACTATATCTTTTGGAAGGTGAAGAAAAACAAGTTTTTCTCTATTATAGCTGACTGCCTGCAAGGAGCAGCTCAGCATGGTGTTGAGGTATGTGGACCCTAATGACCACATCAGAGAGGACCTGGTGGACTTTATGGAGTGTGACAATAGGGTAATTGGAAGAATTATAACAGATAAGGTGACAACCAGCATCACAGGGTATGGACTTGACATCAACAACCTTAGAGGTCAGGCCTATAACAGAGCTGGCAACATGGCTGGCAGCTCCAAGGGGGCAGCAGCTATCATAAAGGAGACCAACCCCTTGGCCCTCTACCAGCACTGCTCATCACATGCCCTCAACTTGGCTGTTGTTAAATCCATCCAGATAACAGTATCAGGAACATGATGGACACCATGGACAGGATCTCAACTTTTATGGAAGAGCATCCCATAATGTGCATATGCCTTGGAGGCAGCTGTTCTGGAGACCCAACTTGAATCAAGGAAACACAAGCTGAAAAATCTGTGCCATACACATTGGGTGCAAAGCCTAGATGCCCTAGAAACCTTTGTGGAGTTACATCCCTCGGTGGTGGCCTGCATGGAGGACATTGTGGAGGGTGGTCCTGGCAGCTGGTCTACAGAGACTGATGCCCAGGCCCTGCTGCTCGCCATTACCAGCACAGACTTCATTGTGTCCCTGGTGATCACCAACAGTGCACTAGGCTGCATGAAAGGTGTGACCACTACCCTTCAAGCACAGGCCAAGGACATAGTTGAGGCCAGCAGAGAAGTTAACTGTGTAAAAACAGCACTACAAGACATCCAAAACAACATGGATGAGGCTGTAGGTGTCACACCTTCCATGTCCAAACTCTGCAAATGCCATTTACACCGAGACAACACGTCAGTTGATGTACTAGCTAAATACTACAGGAGAACAGTGGCTATTCCACTCCTAGACCATCTCCTGGCAGAGCTGGAGATGAGGTTCACCCCCCTGCACCAGAAGGCCTTCCAGGGACTCAGTGTCATCCCATCCATATTGGTAACCCTGACACCAGCAGAGGGCAGCAGAAAAATACAAGAGCTGGTTGACCTCTACTGGGAAGACCTGCCACCTCCTGGCAGTATCAAGAGTGAGGTACACACTTGGCATGTCAGGTGGGAAAAAAGGCCAAAGAATAGGGCCTCACCAGCCTTCTAACTACACTGACCACCACCCTCTCCCAGACATCAGGTTCCATGTTCCCCAATGTGAGGGGCCTGCTCATTATTCTGTGCATCCTGCCAGTAACAACATGCTCTGCTGACATATCTTTCAGTGGACTGAAAAGAATAAAAACACCATTCAGAATAACAATGGAAAATGAGAGACTGACAGGCCTGACACTACTGCACATGCACTAAGATATACCAATGGACATAAACCAAGTAACTGACACATTTACACATAGAAATCCCAGGAAGATGAAATTTGCAAATATACTTGCTGAAAAGTAAAGATGTTCTATGTTTGTGCAAATAAAATATTTTAAGCAAATTTTGATCTTTTATCTATACAAGTACTGAATATTATAACCACTAGGATGCAAAATAATAAAAAAAGTGTTGTACAGTATACATGCATTCAGCACAGTAAATTCATGTATATTTTTTTTTGAAAATTAAATATGCCCCTGAAACCCTTCAAGTAAGAATTGTTTCTCTATCAGTAGTGTTCTGTAGTTTACCATGTTGGCTCCTCACCTAGCTCAAATATTTGGAAACCGCCCCTACTCAATTTCTGGGTGTGCCCCTGAGTAGGAGAATTAAATACAATTAATATTTATACTTTCTATTTAAACATGACATTGAAGGGTATGTTTGGCCAGTACTGGGGTTGGTATAATGTGGAGAGACGGTCAAAGGAAAGTTGGAGCGCTGTTTCCATGGCATGTATTTTTGCAGATTTTTGTCCATATAATTGCTGCATCTCACGACTCCGCACAACATCTGGGTGCTCCTGAAAAAAAAAAAATAAAATAAAAAATTATATATATATATATATATATATATATATATATATATATATATATATATATATATATATATATATATATATATATATATATGTATATATGTATGTATGTATGTATGTATGTATATATATATATATATATATATATATATATATATATATATACATACATACATACATACATACATACATACATGCATACATACATACACATACATACATACACATACATACATACATACATACATATATATATATATATATATATATATATATATATATATATATATATATATATATATATATATATATATATATATATATATATATATATATATATACAGTGACCCCTCGGTTAACGACCTCAATCCGTTCCAGAAGGTCGTTCGTTAACCGAAAAGTTCGTTAACTGAAACCATTGTTTCAATGGGTTTTTGGGTAATTGGTTCCAGCTCACCGAAAATTTCCTAAATTCAACAAAAATGGTAGAAAAGTTCACTTACTTTGAGGTTTGTATGTAGAAGGCTCCTGGATGATGATGATGATGTGCATTTGAAGTGGGAGGTGGAGGAGGAGAAGGGAGAAGAGAAGGCATTGGGGTGGAAGAGAAGTCACCCCATGGCACCATTTCACCCATAAAATTTTAGTTCTCTTGGTGTATTTCAAGATTATTTTCTTTAAATCAACACTGCACTGCATTATATATTGTCAATATGTAAAATGAATTTCAAAATGACCAATAATTTGCTTGGAAACACAGAAAAAAAGCATTTAGTTGAAGAGAGTCTCAAGCAAGATGTTACCTCCAGTGAAAACAGAGAGAGACTAATGCCTGTTTGCTGTGTTAAGAGGCTGGATGCCGCGCATTAAACTAGTCACTTTACCTTCAATTATGTTCAATAATGTTAAAATGACTAAAAAATTGAATATTAAACTTTTAAAATTATTGAATAGTATAAACTTCTTGATATTTACTAAAATAGTAAGGAATTTAAGCCCTAGAACCGATTAATGTATTGGCGGACTGATACTAAAGCTGGTTGCCCGGTCAGTGCAAGCGAAAACATGTTGAGGTCGGTTCGTAAGAAATTCGTTAACCGAATTTTTGTTCGTTAACCAAATTGAAGATCCTTATGGAAGGCAGTTCGTTAACCGAAATTTCGTTAACCGAGGCGTTCGTTAAACGAGGGGTCACTGTATATATATATATGTATGTATATATATATGTATATATATATATATGTATATATATATATATGTATATATATATATATGTATATATATATATATATATATATATATATATATATATATATATATATATATATATATATATATATATATATATATATATATATATATATATATATATATATATATATATATATATATATATATATACAGTTGTACCCCACTTAACGCGGTCAATTGAACCCAGAGGGTCCCGCGTTAAGTGAAAACCGCGTTAAGTGAATAACAGAACATATGGGATTAATTCCAATAGAACCCAGCCCGACCCCCAAACTCCACTTTTTGACGACAAATAACTATGTTGTAGTAAAAATTCTATCTTAACTTTATGGTGGCATGAAAAACAAGTAATATAGAAGAGGTTAGGTTAGGAAAGATAAAGGTTAACATAGGAAAAATAAAGAATAGGTTAAAAAACGAAAATTTTTGAGGAACACTCACGGTAGTAGAAGAGATGGGTCGGCATACGGGGATGGAGGCTGGTTCCGAGGCAGAGGGCAGATTACTGCCCCTCAGGTGAATCACCATTACTAGGTGAATCACCATTACTAGGTGAATCACCATTACTAGGTGAATCAATATCACTGTCACTTACAGTTGTTATGGCTTCCCTGACAAATCCCTCAAAATCAACTTCACTATCACTATCACTGGCTTGGGCTGGCTGTGGTGGGTTGCGGGCGAAGAACTCGGTTATGCTTTGCTGACGGCTGGCTTTGATGTTGTCATGATACACCGTGATGTACGGCTCCATAGCCTGCACCAGTCGGGTATGGAAGACGTCATGGCGTTCATCGTCAGTGTCGCGGGAAACGATGGACTTAATTTTTTCTGTTAACTCTATGAGACACTTAATATCACTATGACTTAAACTAGGTTCTTCGGAGAATGACGCACCTTCTTCCTCCTCTTCACTGGCGGGTTCTTCTTCCAACATCTCGTCGGCAGTCACTTCAGGATCTCTGATCACCTCCATGATGTCTTCGTTGGTGGTCTCGGAGAAGCCTTCAGCTGTAATACTGAGCGCAGCTTCTCTGGCAAGGTCCACTGCTACTGCAACAGTCTGAACCTGACCAGTCACAGGTTCACTCCTCCTCTCACCTGGTATGCCATGCAACACATGTCTCCATGCGTGACGAATCGTAGCAATAGACAGCAGATTCCATGCCTCCACCAAGAAGTCTACAGCTTGTTTGACGTTAAACTTCTTCCAAAATTGTTTGACGAGAAGTTCTTGAGTCGCCGCCTCTTGTTCCTTGTCCTCGTCGCTTTTACTCTCGCTGTCGGTGTCACCCAGCTTACGCAACTCATCCTTGGTGTTGGTAGAGTCGTTCAGGAGCTTGAATTTCTTTGCCGAGTATGCAGCTTTAACATTGCAGATTAACTCCTGGTCCATGGGCTGGATTAATGACGTAGTGTTGGGAGGAAGGAAGACCACTTTTACGTTGGGGTGACGATCCATAAGTAGGGGCGAGTGTCCAGGTGCGTTGTCAAGGAGCAACAAAATATTGAAAGGAACATTCTGTTGCTCGCAGAATTTCTGCACGTCAGGAACAAAACAGTTGTCAAACCAGAAGAGGGACAGAGAAGAGGACATCCACGCCTTACGTGCGGTTAGCCAGTGGACATTAAGCTTGTTCATGTCCATATTCTTGTAGGCGTGCGGCTTGCGGGCTTTGTGAATCACCGATAACTTTGGTTTACAGGTACCGGAGGCATTGGTGGTAAACAGGACGGTGATGCGTTCCTTCTGCATCTTCCGGCCCCTTACCTTGCTCGCAGACTGGACAACGAAGGTCTTGGAAGGTAACTTTTTCCAGAAAAGACCAGATTCGTCCATGTTAAACACCTGGTCGTCACTGTACTGTCCTTCCTCCATAATCTCACGTAAAAACGGAGGAAAATCTCTAGCCGCCGCACGGTCAGCACTCGCTTCCTCACCAACAATGCTGATGTTGGTGACCTTGTTCCTCCTCTTAAACCTATGCAGCCAACCATGGGAAGCATTGAAGGGTTTGGGCTCTGCAATTCCCAGTTTACGTGTCACTGCTGCGTATAGCTCACGTGCGTACTCCTGCACTGAGCGCGTGTCCACCGCCATGTTGCGTCGCGCCTGACGCACCAAATAACTCACCAGCAAAGTTTCCACTTTTGCCAGCACCCTGTTCTGGCAATACCTGATAGATGAAGCACCTGCAGACTTTGTGATCTTCATGTGCTCCTTTATCTTGGCTGCATCCTTCTTTATTGTACGAATCGTAGATTCGTTGACGCCATGCTGGCGCGCGAGATCAACTTGGCGTCTTCCTTTCTCCAAATCTTGAACAATTTGGTACTTCAGCTCGTAGCTTAATGAACGTCGTGTCTTCTTTGGTTTAGTGCCGCTGGGTCCAGGTAAGGAAAGGTTTCTCTCTGGGGGTGGTGGTCCGGCGGAAGCCATTTTACGGAACAATGGATGCGCGTTAACCCGGCGTGGCCTTGAGGGATGAAACTGCCGCGGCTAGGTCAAGCGTCGTCTCTCCTCCCTCCCTCCCTCCCCGGGGTAGTCACGTCATAATACTTTAAGCCAATTACAGCTAGCAGCAGAGGGGGGTAGGGCTGCATGGCCAATCACAGTCCGAGACGTCATATGACGTCAGTGATAACGCAACAAAGACACACACTGCGCAACCTTACCGCGCCGCTTACCCAAGCGGAGGGAGGAGGAGGGAGAGGCAGGCAGGCAGGAGGGCGGGTGGGTGGCGCGTGGCGCGTGGTCAAAATCTAAAAATAGCATCCGAGCCGGACACTCACCGCGTTGCTGTGGAAAAACCCGCGTTAAGTGAAAGTTCAGCTTTGGCAAGGCACCGCGTATATGATAAAACGCGTTAAGTGAAAGCGCGTTAAGCGGGGTAATACTGTATATATATATATATATATATATATATATATATATATATATATATATATATATATATATATATATATATATATATATATATATATATATATATATATATATATATATATATATATATATATATATATATATATATATATATATATATATATATATATATATATATATATATATATATATATATATATATATATATATATATATATATATATATATATATATATATATATATATATATATATATATATATATATATATATAACAGAGTCTAGGACTGCTTTTAGTATCCTGGTGGTCCAGCGTTAGCGTTTCCAGTCATAATCATGGGCCGTGGGTTGAATCCTGGCGGGTTGAGGTGTTGATTGTATGTAGAAGTCCGAGTGTTTATTGGGCTAATGAAATATATATATATATATATATATATATATATATATATATATATATATATATATATATATATATATATATATATATATATATATATATATATATATATATATATATATATATATTTTTTTTTTAATCTGATTATACTGTACAGTGATCCCTCGGTTAACGAGCGCCTCGGTTAACGAGATTTCTGTTTACGAATTACCTTCCATAGGATTCTTAACTTCGGTTAACGAGCATTCCCTTGATTAACGAATTCCTTACGAGCGCCCCTCAACATGTTTTCGCTTGCACACTAGCTGTTATATTAGTCCGCCAATACAGTAATCGGTTCTAGGGCTTAAATTCCTTACTATTTTAGTAAATATCAAGAAGTTTGTACTATTCAATAATTTTAAAAGTCTTGTATTAAAATTTTTAGTAATTTTAACAATTATTTAACATAATTTAAGTACAGGGAAACTAGTTTTTAGTGCGCCAAACAGCCTGTCAACACACCATACAGGCGTCAGTCTCTGTGTCTTTTCAGTGGAGGTAACTTCTTGCTTGAGACTCTCTTCAACATACACGCTTTTTTTCTGAGTTTCCAGTCAAATTATTGGTCATTTTGAAATTTATGGCGCCATGGGGTGACTTCTCTTCCACCCCAATGCCTTCTCTTCTCCCTTCTCCTCCACCCCCATTCTAATTCCCATCATCATCATCATCATCCAGGAGCCTTCTACATACACACCTCAAAGTAAGTGTACTTTTCTACCCTTTTTGTTGACTTTAGGCAATTTTCGGTGAGCTGGAACCAATTACCCAAAAACACATTGAAACAATGGTTTCGGTTAACGAATTTTTCGGTTAACGAGTAACCTTGTAGAAAGAATTGTGCTCGTTAACCGAGGGACCACTGTACTAAGCTAAGAAACCTGTTTGTAGCTTATATGATGACTGCAGATGTGACTCCAACACCATCACCCACTCTGTAAAACCTCCATCATCTCATCTACTCAAATTGATGTATCTGCTTTTATTGTTAAGTACACTGCAGTGTAGACTTGCTTTATCTATTATTTTAAAACTTATAGTGTATTGATTTGTTTTATGGTTTATTTGTATTGAAAATGGGTCTGGAACATTTTCATTTTTGGTTATGGAGCACATCCTATTTTTTCCATTTCACTAAGTACAGTATAAGATTTATGCGAGGGTTTTCAGGAGTGTATCCCCCGCATGTATCAAGGACTTACTGTGAAAAAAGTAAAAGAAATAATTGTCCTAAGGGCAAACACATAACTGGAGGAGACCGCAGAGTATAGGGGATGGGGAGCGTTGCTTGGGAATCGGCTTCCCACTGGTCTTCGTTACTATGGTAAAGCAGGGAGTGTATTCAAATGGCGACTGTGTTAAACTTTCATTTGTTTTTTATTTACTGATCTGGCAATACAGTATTTTTTGTTGTAACTTATTTATTGATATTATTTTTATTTATTTCTCACATTTCCTGGTACTGTATTTATTATTTTAAGAAAACTATGGCAACAGGAGGAAAATATGCATAATAGTTTTTTCCTAAATACTCCCTCCTAAAATGGGGGTGCATCTTATATGCCATAAAATACAGTGCAGTACTGTATTTTGGTGTTTTTTATATCATTATTTATCATTTTTATACTTCAGTACATTCACCAGAAAATATGGACAATTGGCTTTTTCAGACAGAAGTCCGGATCTTCAAAGGTTCACTGTATATGGATTTATTTGCAATATATCAATAGTAATCAAACACTATTTATGAACCAATGAGTTGCAAGGGGGTTGGGGCTTTTGCCATCAGCTAAAAATTAAATGACTATAACCAAGGAAAGAAAGAAAACGAACTTCCTCTCATTATCAAAAATGTAAAACCCAATTTCCTTTACATGTATGGCTTATATAAGGTGTCTGGTTGCAGCCTGTGTTCCTCCCTCACCACAGAAATCAATTCATGCACAGCCATCATACTTTCCATCATCATCAGAACCCCTAACCCCCAAAAGTCCTAGGGTGACAGACAAGTGGCAACAGGGACAGGCAAAGATGACTGCCAGGAGTCTCTAGTCACAACTCTGCACATAGGCAGCATAGATAAGATAGTCACTTATGCAGTGGGATCTAGGCAGTAGTGCAATCCGGTCCTGTCTGTGTGACTGAGCAGCGCTTTCCAGGAACCACTCTGCTCACCCCCACATGGGGGGGGGGGAGGGGGGGGCAGCGCACAGTTATTTTAAATTCATTCCAAATTAAAATTAATTCATTTTTGAAAACAAAACCAAAAAACACCTATGAATTAAGTCAAAATCCAAATTAACGAGGGTACAGTGTACTGCATAATTCTTTTGTCTTTATTCAAGATATCTTCAAGTCATGAGACCCATTAATTCTCCACCCTGACAGGTCAGTAATATGAGACCACTAATCCCTCACCCACGTTCACTGCATCAGGTCAGGTCAGTAACATGAGAAAATTAGGAGAAAATGACTTTTTTCCCAGAGACATAATGTTTCTAGTTTCTATTTATCCTTCAATTACTCTATTTCTTTCTCTCTGTTTTTCTTTACATGATTTCTCTTACTCTTGTACAGATAGGTGGAGGAAAGAGTGGTGGAGGAAAGAGTGGTAGAGGTAGAGTGGTGGGAGGAGGAAGGGTTGTTGCAGTAACTTTTCCCTCACCTTCCCAGAAGGGTTGCTTGTCCTTTCTCCCTTGCAACAGAGTGTTTGTGCTTTGCACACACTTTTACCATATACCGTAGGCTTTTTTTTTTAAATGGTGTTTCTAAATTAAGTAGAACTGACTTTATTGACCCCAGCACCAACAAGAGATGGCACCATGTCTAATTGTACTGGAGCTTGGGAGCAGGGGACCTGGGAAAACCATTTCATTCTTTACCAAACTTTCAGGCTTTTATTAGAATATGCTGATATTATCCACTGTAGGGTAGCGTGATTGCGAGCTTATAGGCACATGAGTTACAGTAGTTATTTTCCGAGAACCAACTGTTAGAAAGAATGAGTGGTGATACTCTCAATTTTCTAATTCAATATTTATTAACAGGAAAAGGGAATAAGATGTCAATTTAACACACTCAGACAGGACTGGACCACTTAGGGTTTACTTTACAAGTAACAAAATAGATCTTCAATTATTTGTTACAACATTCAGCAATGATTATATTATTTCCTTGGCCATACAGGTGGTTATTTCACACACTTGACATTATCCCAAATTAACATATTATTTATAACATCATGTTATTTCGGAACAAACAACATGGCACTTTTACAAGAACTCATCTGGTAGTAAATGTGAATGATGTTCACAAACCACATAAAAAATTTTATTACTGGTAATATCAATATTTATGGGTTCACTATTCAACATGGGACAACTATATTTCTGCTAGTTATCCCCAACCATGTACAACAATAATACTTTGGCCCATATAACTGTGGGGAGTACACCAGGGTGTCACACCAACAAACGAAGAGCGCTGTTAGGTCGGTTCATCTCAAGGGTGTTAGTTCCCAGGGCGCGCTATTCCCTGACTTTAATCGGGCTGAATTAAAGACATCCTGTAAGACAGCCAGTTTGTTTTTATTTTTTCATTATTATATTTTTGTATGATCGTATGATCAGCCTATTATAGTGCATGTCTCATCATAATTAATATAACACTGTAAACACTATTAAATAATAGAACAAAATATGATATATAATTTGACTTCAGAATAAGATGACACGCTAAATCAGTGTTGGTGGTGTGGCAGTACAGAGCTGACGGAAGAAGGCATGACTCAGCAGCAGGTGACGCAGTTCTCAGCAAAGTTGAAGAACTTAAGGATGCTTTAATGAGTATTGAGCCCAGCTTGCAACACAGTAATGAATTCAGTGCACAGTTAGATGGTTTGATGGAACCCTACAGGCAACATTACCAGGAGTTTATTAAATGCAGCTGCCAAGCTCTCATAACCGCCTATTTTACGCCTCAACAATGTGAAGAATATCAAAGAGAATCCAGTGATGATGACCCTGCCACTAGTAATATCTCCGTTCGGTAGAATCCCTCTTAACTGGAACTCTCCTCGGAAAATCGTTCCCGAAATTTCTGGGGATGGGGGATATTTTTCTGGGTTCAAGAGATGATGTAATGTGCAATTTCTGGAACTTTCAAGAACATTTTCCTGTTACCTGGAAAATTCCAGGGATGAGGGATTTTTTTCTGGGTTTGAGAGAGTCGTTTCATTACCCAGAAATCTCTGCACCAATTGTTCCGGCTAACGGAGATATCACTGTATATGTTATGATATCAAAGAAAGAGAAACAATTGAGACCCAGCGATTGTGTGTAAATGAGGCAGAAAGTCAGTCAGATCAGCAACCTGAGACTTGGTCATAATTTTTGTGATGCCTACCATTAGACAATACTGTCCATTATGCTCCTAATATAATCCCAGGAGGTAATACCTCCCTGTTTGATAGCTGCCTACGACCTCTAGTTATAACTAAAAACAGTTCCAGTTAAAGCCCCAAAAAAGAAGCAGCAAGACCTAAAGCTTTACACACACATATCGCCACAGCGATTGATTGCAGGAGGTGGTTACCCATGTCAAGGAAGGCAAACTGTGATGGTCAAGATTAGGTTAGTTTAAGTTCAGGTCGTTACCTGTGTCAGTGAGGGCAAACAGTGACAATCAAGGTTATACAGTACACATATACAATACCTAACCCAAGTGAAGCCGTGTAATTTTGCTAGTACAGTACAGTACTTCTATATAATGTTCTAATTAGATTTTCTAGTCTTTCTGTTGAAGCTAATTCTAGTTTATATATTTTTACTAATTTACAGTATATTTACACATCACATCCCAAATGGGGAAAACTGAATAGTCATGTTTATAATCAGATTGCAAAACATGTGCTCATGGTGGGTATGTGTGTGTATGTACTTAAATACTTAAATACCTACTGTATATCTCACTCTTTCCACAAACACCAATAAAATGAGTAATTCCTCATGTCTTACAACTGTGGTGCTCACCTTGGGTCCTGTATCAGCTCCTGGTTCTTCTGGGGAGGTTACTGGCCCACCGAAACCTTTCCTGTCTTTCCACTGCTTTCGGTGCTTTGTACTTTGCTCTAGAAATTTAAGGAAGTCCTCAGTCACCTCCATATCCTCCTCATCATCCGCATCTTCTTGAATATGCATCCCTCGACTCATCTGGGAGTGGAGTATCTCTGTATCACTAATTACTCCCTGATTGTTATGATTGGACAATGCCCTCTTTCTCCTGTTCCTCAGTTTCCTCTTCCTTTTTCGCCTATTTTTGTTGGTTCGTGTAGCATCAGCCAGGCTTTTGGTGGAACAAGTAGAGGAGTGGTACTTCCTAAACAGTGACTGATGTGACATTTCATCTTCAGGAACATTTTGTTGTAGATATACCGGTAATGATCCAAGCTGAAATATTTAGAGATTTAATGTCCATGAAGAAAACAAACTATAATTTGGTATACAGTCAAGACCTCTTCTATAAGATGTAAACATAAATAATGCTTATCTTGTAATTGAATGAAGGTAACAAGTGAAATACGGTACAGTGGTCCCTCGGTTAACGAATTACCTTCCATAAGAATATTTAATTCGGTTAACGGACAAAAATTCAGTTAATGAAACTCTTACGTAAATGTTTCGACATGCTTTGGCTTGCTCACCAGCTGGAAGATTAGTCCGCCAATACAGAAATCGGTTCTAGGGCTTACATTCGTTAAAATTGGAGTAAATATCAAGAAGGTTGTACTATTCAATAATTTTCCAAGTTTTATATTAAAATTTTTAGTCATTTTAACACTTATTTAACATAAGTGCAGTACAGGGAACTAGTTTTTGGTGCACCCAACAGCCCCTTCACTCACCCAACAAGGCCTCAATTTGTATCTCTGTTCAGTGGAGGAAACATCTTACTTGTGGGTCTCTTGAACACAGAGTATTTTTACGTTTTTACAGGACAATTATTGGTCATTCTGAAATTTATTAAACATATTGACAATATATAGTGTACTGCAGTGTTGATTTAAAGAAAATAATCTTAAATTACACCTAGTGAACTTAAAATTTTATGGGTGAAATGACAGCATCAAGCATGGGGTGATTTCTCTTCCACCCCCACTTCCTTCTCTTCTCCCTTCTCCTCCACCCCCACTTTTAATTCCCATCATCATCATCAACAACAACCAGGAGCCTTCTACATACACACCTCAAAGTAAGTGTACTTTACTGCATTTTTTTTTACTTTGAATGTAATTTTCGGTGAGCTGGAACCAATTACCCAAAATCCCATTGAAACAATGGTTTCGGTTAATGAAATTTTCGGTTAACGAAAGACCTTCTGGAACGAATTGTGTTTGTTAACCGAGGGACCACTGTATACCCTTTACAGTAATATCTCCGTTAGCTGGAATCCCTCATACCCAGAACTCTCCGATAGCTGGAATTCAAATTTTCATGGAAAATCGCCCCAAAGCCGGAATTTTCTGGAAATTCTGGCTTTGGGAACAATTTTCCGAGGGGCATATTTTCCGTAAAATTCTGAGAAAATTTTCCTGATACCCAGAAAATTCGGGGGATAGGGGAGTTTTTTCCGGGTTTGAGAGATGAAAATCAGGTGCATTTTCTGGAAATTTCAAGAAATTTTCCGTTCCCCGGAAAGTTCCGGGGATGAGGGATATTTTTCCGGGTTTGAGAGATGATGTAATGGGCAATTTCTGGAACTTTTGAGAAAAATTTCCGTTACCCGGAAAATTCCGGGGATGAGGGATTTTTTTCCAGCTTTGACAGTCGTCTCGTTACCTGGAAATCTATCATTCCCGAAAGTGCTTTGCACCAATTGTTCCGGCTAACGGGGATATCACTGTACAGTGAAGAATTGGCGAATGAAAGAAATTTACACGCTGCAATTGTACAGAAAAATGCAGTAAACTTTAAGTAAGATTTTAATTAGAAAAAGAGGTGGTGATGTCTTAGTAAAACCAATAAAACCAACTTGAGGAATGGCACATAATACCGTATATCTCGGCCTACAAGACGGAATTTGAACAAAAAAAAAATCAGCCCAAAGTTAGGGGGTCGTCTTAAGCACCAGAGATAAAATTCTTACCTCTTAAATTTTGCGGTTTAGCGTGTCAAGAGTGGTGATGGAAACATGGTAAACCACTCACAAGGTCCTACCACTAATTATTTTATACTGAAACTTACATTTGGGAAGCTGGATTAAAATGAAGATTACCGGTATATTAAAATAATAAAAATGTATTATAAACCAGTCTAACATACCATAAAAGAACAATATACCCCGGTAATAAACACAGCTGCTATCATCACCCCCCCCCCCATTTGCCAGTGACCGCCTGTGGCTATTTTTAGCCGTCCTTGTGTTCGGAGGTGGTCAGTAATGCATATCTGTATATTTACTGATCATAATACTTATCTCCTATAAATAATTAATTTAAAATTAATTTTTTTACAAAGAATATTCAGTAAATGACTGCGTTAATTCTTGAAACTACCGACAGTGGTAAATTTAGGATGAGAATGATGAAGAGAAGTCACGTCATGGATTCGGAGTTTGGTCCTTAATGATCATAAATGTCTGGTCAACTTCACCTACCAGGTATAATGGTAGCCTTCCTTTTTCGCGAAACAAGTATATAATTAAAGAAAATACTTGCAGTGTGTTTAATGTATTACAATATATTATAGCTAAATAAATAAACAAATAAATCGGCAAATCTATTTCAAGTAAATGGAAATATTTTACTCACACCAACATTAGTTCCAGTTAAATAACTGACGCTTAAGTGAGTCACTAGTGTATACCAGCGGGTAAAATTTGATGCCAATACTTGAAGTGAATTAGCATTATTTTAAATAACCAACCATAAATAAATGGAAAAAAGATCAAAGGTGAAACATTATATTGTATGTATGTTGTGTTGTCAAAGGAAGAGAAACAATTGAAACTCAGCAATTGTGTGTAAATGAGGCAGAAAGATAGATCAGCAACATAAGACTTGGTCACAATTTTCGTGATGCCATATGGAAGTAGGGTCTACCATTAGACAATACTGTACTGTACATTGTGCTTCCAATATCTTCCCAGGCGGTAGTATCTCCCTGTTTGGTAGCTGCCTAAAACTTTTAGTAATATTACTTTGATACAACATGATAAATTAGACAAACAATGAAAATAAACAAACAAAATTTATTTACCAAGACCTTCTCTCTCAGAACAGAGGGGAGATAAGACGGCTATTTATAGCCTGTCTTTGTGTAGGAAGTCGACCACACTAGAAATAATTCATTTAAAATTTATATTTTTTACATAGAATATTCAGTACATGACTGCAATTATAAAATATTGTGAATATATATATATATATATATATATATATATATATATATATATATATATATATATATATATATATATATATATATATATATATATATATATATATATATATATATATATATATATATATATATATAGAGTGAAAAAGATTACTGTACATACTTACTACATACATTTATTACACAAATATATATATATATATATATATTTGTGTAATAAATGTATGTAGTAAGTATGTACAGTAATCTTTTTCACTCAAATCCTAATGAAACACTATTGAATTAGAATACTGTAGCTCGCTGAAGCAAGCTTATAAATTAAAGAAAATACTTCCAGTGTGTTTAATATATTACAGTATGATATAAATAAACAAATAAATCGGTAAATCCATTTTAAGTAAATGAAACAATTGTATTCGACACCGACATTAGTTCAAGTTAAATAACAAACTTTTAAGTGAGTCACTAGTGTTTACACTACACCAACCGGTAAAATTTGATGCCATTACTTGAAGTGAATTGGCTTTATTTTAAAAAACCAAGGATGTGTAAACAGCACTGGTCAATGGGATGGTTGGTAAAGGACTACTGGGTCAGTAAGCTCCCAATGGTAAGTGTCACATTTGGGGTACTGGTCTTATACAGCGAATAGAGCTCAAAAACTACTTTTTAAATGGAAATTTGGGGGGGCCGTCTTATGCACCCCGGCTGCTTGGTACGAGATATATACTTGCATAGAAAGACGGTAACTTTATACAGTATGATAATAGCAAGGGGGAAAAGAATGAGTTCCTCAGTCAAATAGAATTACAGTACTGTAGCAATTTAAATTAAACTGTACATCATACTTCACAAAAACTAAGATTTGCACCACGGTAATTAAACTACAATTGAAAAACTATTTCTTAATTGAGTGTTGGTTTGAATACTGTACTACTAACAACCCACCATGCTAGAGAGTGCAGCCTTGGTGTGAGCTGCAACATATCTTGCTCTCACAATTGCATCTCTGTGAGCTGTCATCATCATAGTATTGTAGTGCTGCCAGAACTGTGCATACCGTTTATCACTGTACCAAAAGTTCTGTGTACCTTTGGTACACTCTTCCTTTTTATCATTCATCTGCAAGGATATGTGGGGATCACTGTGAACACATTAACAAAGATGCTGTAGATTCAGCTAACAAGCTCTATAGACAATTGAAAGAGGTAAATGTTCTAAAAATTAAAGCATTATAAACACAGGATGCAACAGAAGGTGACTCATTTTTGTATTACACTGACAGTATTGATAGCTACTGTACCATTATATTTTTACATCAGATACTACTGTACACCCTGGTCCAAAACATGAGCACAGGGATACTGCAGCATCATTCAGGGGGTCCCCAACTTACTTAACGGGTTAAACCTAAATTTAAATTATTTTATTTACTTGACTTATTTTTTTTTTACTGTACTTTCATTTACTGTATTTTGTCATTGTATTTCTTTCTAAATTAAGTGATTTTAGATGTACATAAGGACTTAGGATATGATATAGTGGGATTTTAAACATTGTTCTGTAAATAAAGTATTTGCATAGCATGTTTTCCGACTTACGATAATCCGATTTAGGAACGTCCTCAGGAACAGAACCGGTTCGTAACCTGGAGACCCTCTGTATTGAAGAGCTTGACATTTTTAACAGTATACTGCACAGTATCTCTACTTAAATCTCAACTGGAAAAGAAGGAGGATATTTTGGGGGGATAGGAAAGAATGAATTATATACAGGTAGTTTAAAAAGTAATAAAAAAATCTGCTAAACAATGATTAATGAAGAAATTAAGAATAAATGACAGTTAATAAAGGAGAAAATGAAACTACAGATGACTCTATTACAGTAGTGGTCATACTGATTATGAGAGGCATGGAAATATTTCTATTTAGTCAATTTTTAATTTTCTGCTGACTTGCTGAGGTTTATATCATATGTTTAACATCACTTTGTGCTGTATGCATATAAATTATGGCTACATGTGTCAAAGCTAAATGTTTTTAGCATATTACTGTGCCAAGTAACACCCAGTGGTATAGAATATTCTCGCTAAAATCTTACATTGTTTTGCTTTGCCAGGACACACACACAGCATACATAGGTACAGTAGTGGTGCAGGGGAAAAATTCTGGCAAGAGTACTTTGTGAATGCACCTTTAATAATGACAGACAAAATTTTTCAAATAAAGCTAATCTAACCAAATTAAAATGTACAGTACTGGTATACAGTATTTGAGTCACGGTACCTCATTTTTTGGCCTAAAAATGACAAAATTCATGTCCGACCTTATGAAAATTTCATTTTTATGGTTGGCTAAAATGACAAAAATTCATGTCCGGACCTTAAAAATTCTCGGGTTCGCCAAAGAGAACGACAGGTCTGGACCCAATTCATTTTATGACAAATCATGTCCATCTGAAGAAATTCTTTCCGTTCGCCGGAACGACAGGTCGGACTCTGATATTTTATTTTTGTGTTTGCCAAAATGACAAAAATGTCCGGACCTTACGAAAATTCTTGGCTGTTCGCCAAAAGTGCCGAACGACGGTCCGACCTACGAAAATTTCATTTTTGGGGTTTGCCAAAATGACAAAAATTCATGTCCGACCTTACGAAAATTTCGCCAGTTCGCCAAAAGTGCGGAGCGACAGGTCCGGACCTTTTAAAATTTCATGCGCAAAATGACAAAAATTCATCTCCGGACCTTAATAAAATTCTTTCGCTTAAAAAGCTGGAACGACAGGTCCGGACCTTACGAAAATTTCATTTTTTGCAGGTTGCTACAAATGACAAAAATTCATGTCCGGACCCTACGAAAAATGCCTTTTTGGCCGGTTCGCCAAAAGTGCCGGAACGACAGGTCCGGACCTTACGAAAATTTCATGTTTTGCGGGTTTGCCAAATATGACAAAAATTCATGTCCGGACCTTACGAAAAATTCTTTTTTGGCCGGTTCGCCAAAAGTGCCGGAACGACAGGTCCGGACCTTACGAAAATTTCATTTTTTGCGTGTGAAAAATTCTTTTTTGGCCGGTTCGCCAAAAGTGCCGAAACGACAGGTCCGGACCTTACAAAAATTTCATTTTTTGCGTGTCTGCCAAAAATGACAAAAATTCATGTCCGGACCTTACGAAAAATTCTTTTGTGGCCTGTTCGCCAAAAGTGCCGGAACGACAGGTCCGGACCTTACGAAAATTTCATTTTTTGCGTGTGAAAAATTCTTTTTTGGCCGGTTCGCCAAAAGTGCCGGAACGACAGGTCCGGACCTTACGAAAATTTCATTTTTTGCGGGTTTGCCAAAAATGATAAAAATTCATGTCCGGACCTTACGAAAAATGCTTTTTTGGCCGGTTCGCCAAAAGTGCCGGAACGACAGTATTAGGTTAGGTTAGACTCAGAAGTTTGGTTAAAAGGAATGGAAAATATGACCCCAGGTTATTTTTTTGATGTCATGGATGACCAACACAAGGGGTTCTAAATTCAAGCTCACCAAGTAGTATTTTCTCGGTTTAACGAACTACAGTAATTCAAGCCACCCATGTTCATTAAATTGAAATTTCCACTAAATTGAGCTTTCCATTATGCTCACTTGATTTACAGAACTATTCCACTAAATTGAGTGCGATTCCCTTAAATTACACGTTGTGCGTCGGGTTTGTTTACATCCGCTTAGTCTGCGTCCTGCCGCCACCGTGCGTGTTGTTCGCTGCTACCTCTCGGTCAACTAAGTACACTGGAGCACCTTAGCTTTTGTCTTTATTCAAGACATCTTCAGAAGCAAATGAATTTACAGGGATGGAATGTCAGGTCACCCTTTCTTGGGTGGGGGATTAGCGGGTCTCAAGACCTGAAGATGTCTTGAATAAACACGAAAGCTAAAGTATTTTAAGGAGATTGTGGTAAACATAAGTATAAATGAGCAAAGTTGTATCCCTTCAACATTACATTACATAACATTTTAAAATATGGAGTGAGAAAGCAGAAAGGTGTGGGTGATTAGAGAGATGGAATGGAAATGAGTGATAACATGCAACGTGTTGCCAAGCGCTCCTCAACAGCTGATATTTATCTCGCCACCCGACGGTCACACAACAAGACCCTCACTGGATGCGTGTTGTCTTAATTCCTGTGTGTGTGTGTCAGGAACACACCTCAACATCACTTACAAACACCCCCACCACACACCCTCCAACACCACCAACATACACCCTCCACCCCCACCACCACCACCACACCCTCATACATTTATTACTGTACTATAAATTCTTGTATGATAAACCTCTTATGGTGTATATTTTATCACTGATAATATAAAATATGAAATACTACTATAGAAAAACTATAATATATAATTAGTAATTTGCATAAAAATTAAATGACAAGCCAAATAATAAGGTAAAAATAAGTATTTTATTGTATATGAAGGGCAATGGTATTAATAAGCTCAAATTATTTCAGTAACATATCTTTACTAATTAATTAATAAATGAACAATATTTTGTCGAGTTACAGTAGGAATGACAGAGACAGATGTGCGGGGTGGGAGACAAACCCTTTTGCCATAATATCCTGACCACTGGGGTTAGTTATACAGACTTTTCCCTGTGAAAAAGCCATAATTTTGAGCAACATATTACTGTATTTGCTTTGTACTCAAATGAACTATGCTAAAGGACTAAAAATTTTATCTCTTGTGCAAACTATAAGATGTTTATACTCATATTAATTGATATCTTGCAAGGATTCCAGCAATGCAAGTTATATTCTGCTAAGTCAAGTTTGTGATATTTTATAAGATAAAAACTTTATACCTAAAACCACCTTTACCCTCTAAAATATTTTATTACCTGCTGGCTGGGAGGAGGGGGGAGGGGGAGATGGGGTGTTGACAGCCAGGAGGGGAGATTACCGGGTAGTTGTCAGTGGAGGGGGCAGAGGTCAGGGACTCAGAATTATAAAAGACAGGTAGTTTATGTTTTTTGCTTATAAAATGCCACTGATTTGACTTAGCAGAATTAACTTGCATTGCTGGAATTCTTGCAAGATAGTAATGAATTTGGGTATACATCCCATAGTTTGCACTCGACATAAAAATTTAATACGTAATTAACTTAGTACATTTGAGTACAGGTTGTGATAACTTTTGAAGTTGCTCAGCAGTTGTGGTGGCAGTTTCAAGCTTTGTGCCATCACATATCAAATAATTTTAAAATAGAAATTATAAAGTAAAATGTTTTAAGACAATGTTTAGTAGTGCTATTAATATGTCTGCTGTGTAAGAGTCTTAGCATGTCACCTCACCACCTGACTAGCCACCTCACCACCTGACTCGTCGCCTCAGCTCAGTTACATTGAATTATTACTGTATTATTTTACTTTTTTAGTATTGCATGTACATTTAAAGAAATATTTGTGTGTGCACAGCAATTATAAAGACTCAGAGCAGAAAAATCCAGCATTACCCAAGCAGTTGGTCTTCCCACCCATGAACCAACCATGTAAGGATGCGGCTAAACATAGTGCAATCTTTCTAAACTCCAGGAACCTTTGTCCCCGGGCCCGGAACAGTACTTTGTACACTATGCTGGTCAGGCTCACTGGTCTATAATTATTCGTGGAGTGACAATCGCCCTTTTTGAATATAGGACTCACATAAGCCATTTTTCAGTCATCAGGGACCTTTTGTTCCAACAAGCATTTGCAGAACAGGATATTAATAGGCTCTGCAAGCTCATTACACAGCTCTCTTTAACACTCTGGGATGTACCATATCGGGGACGGGACTCTTGTGAATCTTTAGCTTAACAGTTTATTTCTTACAACCTCATCAGAGAACACAATGTGAGTCAGCACTGTGTCAAACCGTCTTTCCTCAAACGCAGGAAGATTGTTCGCATCCTCTCGTGAACACCGATGAAAAGAATTTGTTCAACTTCTCCGCCTTATCCTGGTCAGAATCTGCATAACTACCATCTTCAAGCCTCAGGTCCGATATGCCTACTCGCATTTTTAATTTTGACCTTGCGTAGTGGTAAAAAAAAAAAAACTTTGGGTTTGACTCTTTTTCAGCTCTTCTACATTCTGATTTTGCTTGGTTCTTGGATCTGGCATACAATATATCCTTCTGTCCTGCTCATCATTTATCCTAACAATTCTAAAGGTACACTGTAGATTTTTTAGCTAGATTTGCTCTAGCTAGAGTTCTCTAATTAGTGTAAACAGAAGTGACAGCGTTCTAGCTAGACTTAGTCTCTGATCTCGGTAGGGTTGTTGTAATCTAGCTAGTGTTGTAGTGGACACGAGGTGGAGAGTACGTGCCGAGACTGCTCTAGGTCTATTTGTTGATTTAAATAGATTTCTTTGTTCTATCTAGAGAACTGCTTTACCATGCGAGTAAAATGTCGTCCAATGAAAGATGGAAGTGGGATAGTGATAAGACAATGTTATTAATACAACAGTATGGAAGGTTCCCAGAACTGTGGAATGTGTCGTTGATGGAGTACCGCAATAAAGAAAAGAAGGCAAATGCTATTAAAGAAATAGCAGAGATATTAAATATTCCCGAATCAAAAATCACATGAAAGTGGCACAATTTGTGTTGCCAAATGAACAGGGAAATGAGAAAATTAAAAAAGAATGAAACTGGCATCGGGGCTGATGATGTGATTTTGAAAAGTACATGGGAATTCTTCGACGCTCTCCACTTCATGATTGGATGTAATAAACCGCAAGGAAGCACCAGTGCAAATATGGTAAGTAAAACAAACTATATTTTGTAATCAATGATCATATGTTTTAATCATACATATCAAAAGTACGACCAAAAACACTTACTTATATTTCACATACAGCCTATTTATTCAAAAATATTTATATTGCCATGGAACCTCACCCTTTTCTGTCATGAAATACTGTTTAAACTGATCACGAATATCTTTAGCCATCCTAGTAGAATTTTTAGTAGTAAGTGAATGTTGCAAGGAATGCAAAGTGCTGGCAGGCAAACCATCTTGTCTCCAACTTCCTGCAGTACAAATTCCATCATCTTCCGTATCGAACGTTACAGGAGGAGCATAAACACTGGCTGAATTATTTCGAGAGAGTAAAAAATTGTGTAGAGCACATATGCATAATACAATTTGCTTCACTCTTTCTGGGGCCACCTCCATCGGCCGTCTTATGATGTGGAATCGGGCAGATACCAATCCAAATGCGTTTTCCACTACTCAACGTGCTCTGGATAATCTGTAGTTATAAATGCGATTTGGAGCAGGTTGATTTGTGAAAGGAAATGGTTTCATGAGGTATGATTTCAATGCAAATGCATCGTCAGCAACAACAACGAATGGTACAGGGTCATCGTTATCAGTACAATCTAGCCGTCGTCCAATTGGTATATTCAAAAGATTGTCCTCTAAAGCTGTTGATAATGAGCAATTTGTAAATACTCCTCCGTCAGATATTAGCCCATTGCAACCGACATCAATGTATATGAATTTATAATTTGCATCAACCAATGCCAATAGCACAATGTTGTTGGTACCCTTGTAATTGAGGTATAAGCTTCCGCTGTTTTGTGGCTGTTTCATGACAACATGTTTGCCATCGAGTGCTCCTATGCAATTAGGAAACTGCCATTTCAATTCAAAATCTTGGGCCACTTTGTTCCATTCTTCATTCAAACTCGGAATCTGCAAAAACAAAAACATTACGTGTTCACAAATATTATCCTGGATGTGAATCAGAAAAAAATATTGTTACAGTATACTCCCTCGTATCTGGTACTCAAAGATAATTATTAAGAGATTCAAAGAATCAATTTCTACTTTGAATCTTTTAATAATTTTCTCTTTTATTGGGGTATTAATATTGTACTATATGTAACGTTGTACATCAACTGAGGCAGTAAAATCTTTATAGATTCTCTGTTTTCATAGGTGTTTATACTCATTTGAAAAAGGATTTTACAAGGATTTTGGTTTGGTAACTTTCATTCAGAAAAAAGTACTGCAATAAGCGAGGGAGTGTGATGTATGTACACCTCTCATCTCACCGGAATTTTCAGATATCCGACATGGCCTAAGTCCCATAGGTGCCGGATACGAGGGAGTCACCTATACTTGCTTTTAGTTTAGGAATTATGGTTTTTAAAAGCATCAGATTTCAAATTAATCTTAAGGAACTTAATTAATTAACCATTAATTGTCATATAGTTTTGTACAATATTTTATCTTTCTGTTTTTCAGGATCCGTCTTTCTCACAAAACGTAGTTAACGAAGAGTTCACACAACCTTCAGAGCAATGTCAGGATTTTGTCACACCATCTACTTCTGGTATAGAACACGACAAAAAGAAATGTAGCGGTAAAAAGAAAAAAGTTAAACATTTGGAAGAACAGGCTGCATTGAAAAAAGCAATCGATGTATTGAATAAACCACAAGATGACTACTCAGTGTTTGGAGACTATGTTGCTTCGGAATTACGCCAATTACATTACGATGAAAATAGGAAAATACTGAAACACATCATTATGAAAGCTATAATTGAAATAGCTATTCCCCCATGTTCATCTCCTGAATCTCATAGTAATTATGACGCTAATGTAGGCCATGGAACAACTACCCAAAGTTATGACAGTAATATCGGGTTGCAATGCCATTTTACCAATTTATAATTATTTCTTACCTTAAGATAATCTTCTTTCAGAACTTCGTATAGTGCCTCACAAACCTCGGGGATTATTTTCGAAATAGTTGTTACTGGTATGCGGAACGTGTACATCAGTGAGTGGTAACTGTCCCCTGAAAGAAATATTACAGGTCTGATAAATTCATGTTTGGCATTATTTACTAAAATATTTTATTTCCTTTCACGTACATGTATGCTTTGTAATAAATTTACAAATATATTCAAGGGTTTTATTCATTCATAGTACTTACCAGATGCTAGAAATCGAAGTGTAAGCATTAGCCTTTCTGAAGGGGTGATTGCTTTTCTGAGATGAGTATCTTGTCTTTTAATTTTAGGGGTTACTTTTTCCAGCAAATAATCATAATCTTCAGGACACATACGTAGAAAGTGCTTATAGGATACTGCATCCTCATCAAGCAATTCTCTTAACAGTTTTGCATGTGCTCCCTCTTCATTTCTTCTGGCTATCCATTCTCTGACCCACACACCTTTCTTTCTCTTCTTTTTCTTCAAATCCTTCATAATAACTAATGTCGCAGCTGCAGCAACTAGGCGCCTTGATTGTGACATCTCACCACACACAAGTCTCAAGTCTGACTGAGACTTCCTCGTCAAACACATTCCAACTCTTTCATCACCTTCGTTCACATAGACGCGGAGGGGGCGTTGCCCTCTTCTGTCAAGATGACCTACGCCCGTCACGCCTGGATGTTCAAGTCCCAGCAGATGTGGAAGCATTATGGGTACGTGTCGTGCTACGGGCCCACCCACGCAACACTGCTTCCATCATAATCTGTGTGGCATACCATCCACCTCGCTCACCCACCAGAGACACTCTTATCAATCATCTCATCACCACCTCAGACCACCTCAGAGTTAGGTACCCATGTGCCAAGTTAGTATTATGTGGGGATTTTAATGAAATTGACACCACTGATATCCAGGACCAGCTATCACTATCACAAGTTGTGACCTTCCCCACACACGGTCAAAATACCCTTGACCTTATCTTAACTGACTTAGCGGACCAGTACCAACCACCTCAACCAATGCCTCCTATCGGGTGTAGCACACACTTATCAGTGCTCTGGTCCCCAGCTGCCACTCCCACTCAAGTACAGAGACCCTACATCAAGACCTACAGGCCGATTACTGACTCTGCAGTGCGCCTCTTCGGGCAGTGGATAGTTCACCATCCCTGGACTGAAGTACTTAGCGTGGATGACGTGGAAACCAAATGGATAAATTATACCAACACCACCACTTCTTCCCCGAGAAGTCCGTCAGATCTCACCCAGCTGACTTGCCCTGGATCACACCTCGGATCAAAAGACTTATGCAACAGAGAGACAGAGCCTTTCATCTCAATGACCACATCCGCTACAGGTCCCTTCGCAACCGAGTCATCCGCGAAATACGCACTGCAAAGAAGTCCCACTACCCAACCAAATTACAACACCTGAAGCAGACCAACATCAGTCAATGGTATGGTAAGCTTAAAGAACTCTGTGGACTAAACAATAAGGCACACCCCCTCCCCTTCCTTAGCCATCTCACTAATGTTGACGCAGCTGAGCAAACAAACAACCATTTCGCTACTATATGCCAGACGCTCCCCCAGCTTGACACAACCACTCTCCCTGCTTACCTACCAGCCCCCCTTCCCACTGACTTAGTAGAAGAATTTGAAGTAGCAAAACGCCTGGACAAACTAAAATTAAAACGCTCTACCACCCCCATTGACTTACCAATGAAACTCTTCAAGGAGTTCTCCCCGGAGCTTGCTAAACCCCTATGCTCCATCATCAATGTTTCTCTCAGTCAAGCCAGATGCCCAGCTGACTGGAAGACCTCTTATGTATCACCAGTGCCCAAGTCAACCAGCTCACAATCCTTAAATCAGCTACGACCTATTGCAATCACCCCAATACCCAGCCTAATCTGTGAAAGCTTTGTATTCGACTGGGCTTATGCTGATATTGCAGGAGTCATAGACCCTCAGCAATTTGGCAACATGAAAACTTCCTCCACCACTCACTGTCTTGTCCGCTTTCTCGATTACATATACCGCCATCTCGAGAAACGAAAAACGTCTGTAGCTGTCGCCTTCATTGATTTCACTAAAGCGTTCGACCTAGTCGACCACAATATAATCATCAACAAAGCTATTGACCTCGGGCTTCGGAGAAGTCTTATACCATGGCTTACAGACTTCCTCAGTGACCGACGCCAAGCTGTACGCTCGAGGGCTGTCTCCACCTTTCAGTCACTCACCTGTGGCGTCCCCCAAGGCACCAAGATGGGACCACTCTGCTTCCTTATGCTCATCAATGATGCCCTAAGAGAAACCCCTGCTCGCTGGAAATATGTCGACGACTCCACCATTGGGATCAGCGTCAACAATTCTGCTCCCAACTATACCGCCCTTCAGGATTTATTGAACAGTCTCCAAAACTGGGCCACCAACAACCATGTCACCATCAACCATACCAAGACCATGGTTATGCACATCAACCTCTCCTCCGACATTGTCCCACCTCCTTCCATTACTCTAGGTCCGAACACACTCCAGGTTGTAGATTCCACGAAGCTCCTCGGCGTCACCATAGACAACAAACTAAATTGGAAACCACACGTCAGTGAAGTTGTCAAATCCTCCAGTTTCCGTCTCCACCTCCTCCGCCGACTCAAGTCCCTCGGAGTTCCTGCACCGAGCTCCTCAGTGTTTACACAACATTCATACTTCCCAAGCTCACCTATGCCTCCCCACCTGGTCTTCCTCCCTAAATGCCACACAACGTAAACACCTAGAAAAAGTGCAAAAGAGGGCATGCAAGATTATTCTCTCCCCTTCCTACTCCACATATCAAGAAGCGCTCAACACACTGACCCTTTCGACTCTCACTGACCATCACCACGACCTCATCTGCAAATTTGGTAAGAAGCTTCTACACCATCCCCGACACCGGCTCCTACTACCACCTGAGATCCCTAGTCCGAGAATTGCTGTTCGACACCACAACCGCATCCAGCCCATACGTGCACGAACTGATCGCTATAAGAACAGCCCAGTCCCAACCATTGTAAAAATTATCAATAACTTGTAATAAATCAGTGTATTCACTCCCAGTAAACACTACTCCTTGCACTGTCACTATGTTGAAATGAACTGTAGTTTGAGCTTTTCCCCATCTAGTTATTATATGTCTTATTTGTGTCACTCATGTTACTTGTATATTATTTGTAATTCGTAACCCATTCCCCAAATATGTAACTGTATATTTTCAGCCTTCTGGCTGCCAAGCTCTTTCAATAAACCGTTAATTATTATTATTATTATTATTATTTACAAACGGTAGAGCAATTTCGCCAGACTTAATCTAGCACCACTCTATCGAAGCTCTAGAAAGAGCAAATTTGGGTGTAGTGTACACACACTTTAGATTAGTCTCGCTAGAGAAAGCCAAGTCTAGCTAGATTTTAATCTACAGTGTACACGTACCTTAAGACAATTTATATTTTTCGAGTATTTTAACAGAAATTTACCAACAATATTACTTGTTTAAAGTGGGCAGGGCTTTGAAGTAGAGGGAAAATATGGTATAAAATACTAAAAGAAATAGTACGTAAACAGATTTTTGAAAACATGACCTAACATTTCCTAACCTTTAAAAATCCTAAAATTATAAAAAGTTTACCTTATTAGTGTTTTTGTTTTTTAGTATGTGCTGGTGTAGTTTTCGAAGCTCAGATGAGAAGGGATCCATAAACTCAAAAGTGTTTCTTAACATTTTAACAAGTCAGGAAATGTTAGGTAAGGTTTTCAAAAGTTTGTTTGGTGATCTTTTTAAGTATTTTACCCCACAATTTCCCTCTACTTCAAAGCCCTGCCCACTTTGAACAACTAATATTGTGGGTAATTTTATCGGTTAAAATACTAGAAAAATATTAATTTCCAATGGAAACGTTATTAAATGAATGAGGTTTATTTTTTTTATCTTTCTCCCTTTATAAGACTCATACCACGACTCAATATACAAATAGGTGTTGGCAACTTCTAAATACTAACTGGGTAAAAATATTATCTACAAATTATTATAAATAAATGGTGAGAATTACACTAGTAATAGGTGCTTAAATTCTTTATGTGCTATCCTCGAGGAATGGGTATTATTTCACTTGTTGCCATGAAACGAATCTAGGGAATTTTTTAGTTGTAATAAGTACCGTACTTTTGACAATTGACGAGTTGACGGTGAAATTTTTTTCGTAAGATGGCAGGTTAATGGGTTAAGAAAATGCTTAAATTCACTATGGTAATGATATTTTAAAATAAATTAGGCCAAAAAGTGTAAAAATTAAGAGTTAAAGTTGCTAAAAAGTTACATAGCTGTGAAAAGCTCTGTGATTGGTTGTGACATCACTGGTTCCTCGAGCTGCAGAGAGGGAGCGTAGAGGCAGCCAGCAGTGGTGGAATCCATGACAAAACCCCAACCCATTATATGAAAAGTGGACAAAACCCCAGTCACGATGCCGCAGAGCACAGAAGACCTTTGAAGAGTGTCTTGTGAACCTGTGTTCTGACCGTCAGTCAGAATCTAAGAGTGTGGAGGAGTTCCTGCAGGGTGTTGGTTTATGTATTCAATTCAAATAAACTGAAATATTTTCATGAATCCAGGAAAAACTCAAGAAAAAAGTCAACAGAAATAAAGGCACGCAAACATAAAAGTGTTTTATTTTATTTATGAGACTGGGGTTTTGTCCACTTTTCATATAATGGGTTTTGTCCGTTGGGGTTTTGTCCGTTGGGGTTTTGTCCGTATATCGCTGTGGTGTATATCCATTATTATGTGTTGTTTACCAGCAAAATTACAGGACATTTGGCCATATACAATGTTGATATACACAGGCATACCTTATTTTTAGGTTAAAATAAATTACTGCTCAAGTATCATCGTGTGTATTTACTTGCTGGGTGCCAGAATGATGCAAAAGACCGATAACTCCAACATGGAAGTTTTCATCACTGTTCTCCATTTCATGTTTGGAAATAATAAGTTTTCGTCACTGGTGTCTATATTTAATGTTGTGGAAGGACTTGGGATGACCATGGCCAGGGGATGGGCTTGAGATGATCAGATGACAGATTTAATTTAATGTGCTTCATAGCTGGTTGGCAAAATTCTTGATAATACTCTACAATCAAAAAGACATCTACATCTGCCTTGATGAACCCTGGAAGTAGTTGTCCAACCTTCTCGGCTGATCAGCTCTAAATAAATATTATTATATAATTAATTGTGCTTTACTGTGCAATATACAGTAATGCTATATTGAATATATAAATATTACTAAGCACATTAACAAATTAAATGGATATTAACTGCCCCTACTACAAATTTCATAGTACGTATAAACATTCCAAACAATATTGGTATTATTTTGGTTTTGGTCATCTGGGGAACCTGAAGATTCCAACTATGGGATTAAGTACATTAAAAAATAAGACAAATTATCTCTATGGGATTTCTGTTGCAAAACATTTTTCGATTGCATATGTTAGGTTAGGTATGATAAGTTATATTATAAGTTACAAGGTTAGCTTAACATACATCAGTAAGGGGTAGTAACTCAAAACTATTGATTTCCGATAGAATTGAAGGTCTAAATCGTCCATAACACATCACAAACCATCAGAGAAAAAAAACATAGTCTGCATGTCTAAGCACAGGGATGACCAAAACTTAAAATTTACCCAATATAGCCTGTCTCTAATCTAAGCATCCAAATAATTATGGTAGTTCAAGTTTAATTTTACTCATTAATTAATATAAATGATGATATATCTCAGTGGTTCATTAGTGAATCATCAAAACAATAACAACACTATGTTGTCATGTTTACCTAGCATCAGGAATTCTCAAAAACAAAGTTCACACAATGTCATTACAGTACTTCTAAATTGACTTGTATCTCCATCCGTACGTCGTCTGCAGGGTAAGTGGTGACGTCATTGCAAAACTGCTTTTCCAATGGTTTTCAATGTGTTCTGAACACTTTTAACCTTGACTTTCATAGCAAATCTCTATGTTAGATTCTGAGATGGGAGGGGGGCTTATCTTAAAAACTATTGATTTCAGTATTTTTGTATTAGTGCACACAACTTTCCTCCCCCAAATCTATTACCATATTCAAATAAGACGTCTAATTTTAAGATAATTTTCTTCTATTACTGTCGTAAACGTCTAATAACAGATAGCACATGCCAGATATTTCTCTTCAGCGTATTTTCTTCCATTAATCTTCTGCCATTATCGCCTACCCGACCTCCCACTCAGCGTGTCTCCTTCATAAATCCTCACGCACATGCATTCCCGTACATGTCACGCGGCCAATAAAATGTTATCTTTTTTGCCACCAATTAAAATGAATTGTGGTTTAATTCGCAGTATTTTTTGCCCAATCAAATTCGATTGTGATTTTGGGTCTCTCATATTTTAAAATTAAAATTCATTTCCGACCATGGAAGTCAGCGATGGGTGTCACTTCAATTACAGTATATGGAGTTGATTGGGCGTTTTGGGGAAAAAAAAAAGCTATAGCATTTTTAGATCTCATGGTGTTCTCCCGACCTCAGTAAAGTGTCCTAAGTGTAAGAACGAGTGTAAATTTCGTCAAGACCAACATAGTTGGCATCAACTTCAGCCACGTGTACTGATCTCAGAATCCGAATATGAACCTGAACCAAGCCATTAAGCTAAGAAATAAGTGATTCCATCATATGGTGAAAGTTAGGTTAGGTTAGGCTAGATCAGGTTAGGCTAGGTCAGGTTAGGCTAGGTCAGGTTAGGCAAGGTCAGGTTAGGCAAGGTTAGGTCAGGTTATCCAAAAACAGGTTCGGTTTATGTTTTTCTGGTGGTTTTTTTTGTATTCGCTTGGCCAGGATTTTTGTCGGTAAACGCCCAACCCAAAACACCCAATAACTAAAAAAACAAGGGATTTCCAACAGAAATCAAGGTCAGACCCAATCAAAACACACAAAAATAACTAGAAAAACATAGTTTTGACTTTCTAACAGAGTTGTGTGCACTAATACAAATTTACCTTGATTTCCGCCAGAAATGAAGGTGGTACAGCGGTAACGCGCAGAACTCTCGCCAGACACAAGTGAGAAGGGTATTATCCAGTGTGACCCTACCAAACATCACAGGTTTCCCGGTCTTCGGTTTCCTCCTGTACTAACAGTCTAACACTGGATAGACCGCCCAAACGGCTCATAAGTGGCGATTTACTATAGTGGCAACAAGTGAAAATGTACCGAGGAATGTTTATAATGTATGCATGATGTAACGGCTATAAATTTTTATCCAATGAAGTAAAATAAAATTGCTATTGATAAAAGTAAACTTGAGGATCAACTAAACGATCACACACACCTCACCAATTAACTGCTGACAGACTAAAGACGTTCACAGACAAGATGGTCACTAACTGAACCCCTCAAATAGTGTCTACTGTAAACATAGGCTACGGATACAATTTTTTTATGTATCATTTCATCACTAATCACCTTAAAGCCATTCAGCCGATTGTTCTGTTTTTTGCTACTTTGTTGACTGGATTTAATGGAGTTTAAATGTATTACAATATTCTCTGGCAGCACGGGAGGGTCCAAATTTTTTATAAGGGGGAAGCTTCCTCAAAAGTTGGGATAACAAGTATGCCAAAAATATCAAGGTTTTACATCTATAAAATAGCAATACGTCTAATATAAGACTTTGTATGTCGAAAAATGTTCCTTACTTAAAAGAATTAGGCTTCTAGCACCTCCGCGCCAAATTTGATTGACAAGTAACACGTAGGACAGAACATTGGCAGACTGAGCAAGTGAGTTATGAGATTTTTAACCTGTTCATATGAAAAGTTGGTTACATATACAAGGATGAATGAAACATCTAGATCGGCTTTATCCGAAAATAAAAATACGTTTAATGAATGTCAGAGTTTTATGAAAGTTACCTGGTGTTGCCGGGTTTGTTTTTGAGAGCCAGCTTATAAGTTATAAGCTGATCGTGACTACACCATCATCTACACTACATCAAATCCACTATAATTTACAGTGCATCAACTACACTCTAATCTTCACTACATTAACTACAATATTATGCTGTATGGCTCCTGGATCTTTTATTGTTAGATACAGGAAATACGACTGTCAATATGCTATTTTAATGTTTTAATTTGTAATTTAAAATAAAAACTGTTACTAATGGTATGATTACTATTATCTTTGTGACTTTCTGTGTGACTTGAATTACTCCATTCTTTTGTAAGCAGTCCGACGATTTTCCCATTTGTAACTTGCCTATTTTTCAATAGTTTTTGTCGTGTAAAGCAGACATAAGCAGGAATAAATGTAGTAGGTTCTTGGAAATGGAGCAAATAATTGATTAGCATTCATATACTTATTAATCATCTACTGACACAGCAAAAATATGGAGAGGACTGAGCATTTGCAAGTTGCTGCTCTACGGTGGCTGAATCACTCAGGCGGGCTGAAGCGACTGCGGTCCGCGCTTGTGGCCCGGACCGCCCTCTCTCCTGCCTCTAAGGTCCTCAGCACACCTGTCTACATCAATATTGCCCACCTGCGAGAAATAGACGGTAGGTGATGACCGCTGCTTCACCATGTTTTGAGGAGAAAACTGGTACATAATACAAGAATCTTTGTAATTGAGAAATAAAACGACCCTTTACCTCAAAATAATTGCATTGTTGTTTGCATTGATTCTCGACAGATTAGTTTGCCTTAAATAGATTGGCTGCGGATATTGTCGACATTAAGTGCCTTTAGAGTAATTAATGTTAATTTAATCCTATCATAGAGGAGCTAGCAAATTTAGTGATGAGTCGACCTGTGGTGGCCCAGCAGATGTTTCACCGCGTGGTACACGTCGCCTCTGTAGCCATCACCCTTAGCCTAAACATTCACTCACTTAACGATAACCTGGAGGAGTCTGGCATCGCCGAGGACGACCACTGTGCCCCAGGGCCCCTAACACATCTCCCTGACCCTACCGACCTCACCTCACTCTACCTGGACGAGGAAGACAAGTCTCACAAGACCTCAGCCCCGTCACACTCCTTCAAAAGAGACGCAGCCTTAAACAAAGTGGACCTCGATCTTACCCTGCAGTCCTTGGCGTCCAACCTACCTCTGGATAGCTCTGTGTCTGGGGCCTCCACCAGCGTCCTCACACCTGCCCAGGTACGGCTAACAACCTACCTATTTCTCTGTCTAGCCAATAATTTGTAGTTGTTCATATGATGGTGCTGGGGAAACATCTAAAATACTGTTATTCATAGTTTGCAGTTATGTCATGCCTACCCAGCATGCTATGCGCGGTCCGCCATCTTTGAGGTATAAGAGATTGTGTTTGAGTTAGGATGTCATAATATCAATGTATTTACGCTGCAGTCGGAGACCCTGAAGGAGAAATAACTAAACTACTATACAGAGATATGCAGATTCCTTTGACACCATTTCTAGGAGTAGAACACGACATAATGGTAAGCTTCAGCTGATCGAAGGCAATGACCCATACGAAATTTTGAAGGAGAGTGGTCAACCGATATAAATCTATGGCCGACGATTGTCTATCCTGACATAGTGAACTACCTTATAAATGCCCGAAGTGCATTGTGGGGTACGTGATGTTTGGTTCACACTCAGGATGGGATGGAGAAAGGAAACTCACAATGTGCTCTCTATATACATATTGTATTGGATGTACAATGCAGCTTGGTGCTGGGGGGTAGCAGCGTGAGTCCAAGCGTGATGTAGAGAGAGCTGGTTGGTGAGGGTGCTTAGAGGAGGACCAGCTTGTGGGTCGCCATGGTCGCCGGCGGGAACGAGGGCCGCCAGGCAGGAGGAGGAGGAGGTGTTGCTTGTTGGTTGGTGTAGGTAGAAAAGAGAGCGAGCTGGTTGGTGAGGATGCTCAGAGGAGGACCAGCTTGTGGGTCGCCATGCTCGCCGGCGGGAGCGAGGGCCGCCAGGCAGAAGCGGAGGAGGTGGTGTTGCTTGCTGGTTGCTGTAGGTAGAAAAGAGAGTGGTCACCACGAGGTCAGGTCTTATATAGTGGAGGTAGGCGTGGCTTAATAGTTGACCTCCGTCATGTAAGGCGGCGCTGGTTGACCTAGACCACGAGGCATACACTGGGGAATTCGCGGGGTCGGCTACTCAGCGACAAACAGCGTTTGTAGGGGAGGTATCCACTACAGCATACACACACACGTGATGAGTTGAAAGCTTGCAAGTCTCTGGATTCTTACAATTATTTCGTCAGTGGATGGATGAAGGAAGTGAGGCATTTGAATTTTGGAAGGAGCATATCGTTGATGTCTGGCAGAGTGGCTGGCAATGAGACAGTCTCAGGTAGGTTTATCAGCTGTCTATTTATTGTTACCTGGTCACTGCATCAGCCAAAGATTTATAGAGTTCGATGAACATTAACACCCATATTTGCAAAATTTATTATTTTGTGAGGAATCATTTACTTCTATTTTTTTACTTTTATCTTCTTCGCCACTGATCGGTTCATTAGCCGTTGGGTGGTCTATCACAAGGACTAATCCTTGGTCGGTCACGTCTCTGTTACGTACTGTTGGCAAGTACTGGCTCCTGAATGTATCTGAACCCGCTTCAGTGTTGGTCAAGTCTGGTCTTGAAACAGCTCACACTCGGTGCCGTCACAACAACACTCTCTGGCAGGTTGTTCCAAAAGTTCACCATTCTCACTCCGAAAAAGTTTGCCCTCACATTTTTCTGGACTGATCAACAATGGAGCAGGTTCCAATACATTCAGGAGCCAGTTGATGCCCAGTACTTGCCAGCAGTGCATTACCAGGCAGGGGCAGATCCAGGAATATCAAAGGGGGGGGGATCCAGGAATATCAAAGGGGGGGATCCAAGAAGTTGTGGATAGGGGAACAGGGCGAGTGCAGCGACCCCACTCAGCTGGGGAGGGGGGGGGGCTGTGCTGTATGTCCCCGATTTTTTTTTTTAAATCTGACCAATATCACAGGCATTGTGGGGCCATTTTGAAGCCATGTGCACTTGATATTAGGGGATATTCTGAAGTCAGTAGTAAATACTTTTTACTATACAAAAATGCCTGAGTACAATACTGCACTAACAAAAAAGTACTGGAATTTTCTGGTGAAAAGGAGGTTCGGGCCCCCAGGATCCGCACTTGAAGATATGACCAAACGCCCAAGTGGCTAACGAGCCGATCAGTGAAGAGGATAAAAGTAAAGAGGTAAGAGATATCCTTCTTGCCTTCGTATTTGAATTATTGTGACAGCCAAAGACAACACACGACTTACCATACATTATTCAATATTTATCAGCCAAATCAACCTCACTTGTTTACTACATCGCTTCGATAGGACTACTGCAAAGATAGCGGATTGGAAAAGATTGCGATGCATGCTGGGTACTGGTGACGTCATATGCAATGTGACAGTTCATTTTACTCTCTTATTACCATTGATAAATCCATTTTTAGTATATACCTGCGATAGATTCTATCAATTACAGTATAGGGGGGCGCTGGTGGTAGAGCGGTACCGCTCTTGCCTCGCAAGCAAGATGTCACGGGTTCAATTCCCGGGCCGGCGGAAGTTGTTTGGACACACTTCCTAGTCCCCTTGGTCCCTGTTCACCTAGCAGCAAAGTAGGTACCTGCTGTAAATCGAAAGTTGCGAATTCGTATTCAGGGACAAGTTGTTGGAGCTTCCAATAACTTGCTTAAACATAAACGATTGATTCTCCAGGCTACTACGCCCTTGACTCTTCAGGCTTCTACGCCCTTAACTCATGAGACATAAAGCAAGCAGGAACTTAGCATGCTTCCCTGTTGGGCGCTGTAAACGCTTCTGCGCTTCACCTTACACAAAGATGTACGGGAGTGCCCAATAAAAAAAAAAAAAGACAGTATAATACAGGTCGTCTACTCTTGGGCAGATCCACGCACCCCTCCGAGTGGATGGAATACCGTGGGTGAAGGAGTGGGTGGTGGGAGGAGTGAAGGATCTGCCGCTTCACCTGGAGGAGCCCATGTTGGCTCTTCTGTCCGGCAGGGTAATCTCCGTCACTCTACCAACCTCCTACACGTGAGTCGCCTTTTTGTTTTAGACGTGTCAACTCAAGATAATGTTTCTGTGAAATTAATAAAATTATAATAATCTTATTGAACAATAGAATATACGTACATATACTCATATTTACTTAATTGTTCTTCAGTTTAACACCAATAATACAGTAAATCACTAACTAGTAACTACCTCATTGCCATTGCATGGAGTAAGTTATTCTAAAGTAATAGGCTATGTGAGTGAAGGAAATTAATTATATTGTGAGTAGGCTTAATCGTTACATATAAAATTCATCTGAGATGCTGAGGGTTCAAAGCAAAAAAAAGTGAGCTGTTCAAGAAGATTTCAATAATTTCCAGAAATTAATATTGTAACCGGTTGGTATAAAAGTTACATGTAAGTCCAGTGAGAACAAATCAACTGGAGATTCTTATTATAAAATTACAAATAACTTATTCACTATAAGCTCCACCCACTCTTGTTCTCCTTATCTGTTGCCTTTCCTAGAGAAATGGTGGATGTTCAGTTGTGGCGTTACAATGGAAAAAAATAAATAAATAAAAAAAAAAAATATATATATATATATATATATATATATATATATATATATATATATATATATATATATATATATATAATCAACACCTCAACCCGCCAGGATTGAACCCACGGTCCACGAGCCCATGACTGTGACCGGGGAACGCTTCCGCTGGACCACCAGGATACTAAAAGCGGATTTGGTAAAACGTTACTCTGACCACCTAAGTGATACGGGTAGTCCCCATTAGAGGTTCACGGCGCCATAAGCTCGTTGAACAGGCTTTGTGTGAAATATAACAAAGTCTAGGACTGCTTTTAGTATCCTGGTGGTCCAGCGGTTTAGCGTTCCCCGGTCACAGTCATGTGAATGTATGTAGTCGTGTTTATTGGGCTAATGAAATATATATATATATATATATATATATATATATATATATATATATATATATATATATATATATATATATATATATATATATATATATATATATATATATATATATATATACTGTATATATATATATATATATATATATATATATATATATATATATATATATATATATATATATATATATATATATATATATATATATATATATATATATATATATATATATATATATATATATATATATATATATATATATATATATATATATATTTATACAGTGGTCCCTCGGTTAATGAGCACAATCCGTTCCAGCTGGTTGCTCGTTAACCGAAAAATTCGTTAACCGAAACCATTGTTTCCATGGGTTTTTGGGTAATTGGTTCCAGCTCACCGAAAATTGCCTATATTCAACAAAAAAGGTAGAAAAGTACACTTACTTTGAGGTGTGTATGTAGAAGGCTCCTGGATGATGGGAATTAGAATGGGGGTGGAGGAGAAGGGAGAAGAGAAGGCATTGGGGTGGAAGAGAAGTCACCCCATGGCACCATTTCACCCATAAAATTTTAGTTCCCTTGGTGTAATTCAAGATTATTTTCTTTAAATCAACACTGCACTGCATTATATATTGTCAATATGTAAAATAAATTTCAAAATGACTAATAATGTGCTTGGAAACACAGAAAAAAAGCATTTAGTTGAAGAGAGTCTCAAGCAAGATGTTACCTCCACTGAAAACAGAGAGAGACTTATGCCTGTCTGGTGTGTTAACAGGCTGGATGGCATGCCAGAAACTAGTTTCTTTACCTTCAATTATGTTCAATAATTGTTAAAATAACTAAAAAAGTTAATATTAAATTTTTTAAATTATTGAATGGTATAAACTTCTTGATATTTACTAAAATAGTGAGGAATTTAAGCCCTAAAACCGATTACTGTATTGGCGGACTAATACTACAGCTGGTGGACCGCCAAATGCAAGCGAAAACATGTTGAAGTCGGCTCGTAAAAAACTCGTTAATCGAGGGATTGCTCGTTAACCGAAGTTAAGAATCTTATGGAAGGTATATCGTTAACCAAAATCTCGTTAACCGAGGGATCACTGTATATACCAATGAAATGTCATGACTCACTTAACAACAGGCAACCAATCAACTTCTATTAGCTGCATGTATCAGTTGCTACGGTAACCAAAAGGAGGCACAGCCTAGTCCATAGGTCAATTAAACAAGACGATGTCAAAACATTTGGTCCGGATCCACAGATTCTTTGTCTTCATTTTGTTCCGAGGCCTGGCTGTTTTGATTTGCACAGCGACATCTTAACATCTGAGTGGAAATTAGGTCTGGATACCATTGCTGTAATATTTTCAAAGACAGTTCCAAGACGAACACTTGTAGTTGCCCTTCCTATTTTCTGTGGTGTACAAGATTTAACATTTGTCAAATCATCACTTTTAACCGATTGTCAGGGTGTGGGCGAGATATATGTGTAGCAGCGAAGGCTGTGTGGGGATGGCACGGGTCCTGCACGTTAGGGTGTTCGTTGTTGGGCGCCCTGAAGCAGACACCATCCACCAGCACCCTGTGTGTAGGTGAGAAACAATCCCAACCCCTGTTTTTGTTGTTGTTTTTTCTGTGACAAGAAAACATGATAAATAATGCTGCAGCTTAAACAAAATTTCGTGTGTGGGAACAATAGGATGGGAATACTTATATTGAACTACATCGTATTTCCGTATCTTTATAACTTTACCATGTTAAGCGTCGTTGAGCACTGACAGAGGATAACGGTGTGCAGGGTGTGCCACTCACCGCTGGTGGAGGACCTGTCGTCAAGGGAGCTGGGTGAGAAGACGACGGTTTTGGTACTTGGGGATGCCCAAGCCAGCGCCCTCACCAAGGATGCCCACACACGTGCCCAGGCTCTTAGGCTTGTCCTCAGAGGTCAGCAGCTCCCACACCTGTTGTTTCACATTGTCCTATATCAAGTATTATAATTTTGTGCGTGTAGTTACTAGGTAGTAGGCAGCTACCAAACAGGGAGGTACTACCGCCTGGGAAGATATTGGAAGCATAATGTGTTGTCTGTGGTAGACCCTGCTGCCATATGGCATCACAAAAATTGTGACCAAGTCCCAGGTTGCTGATCTGACTTTCTGCCTCATTTATACACAATTGCAGGGTCTCAATTGTTTCTCTTACTGTTGACAACACAACATTCATATATTGTTTCTCACTTTTGATATTTTTTTATATTTGTATTTCTTTATGGTTCTTTATTATTATTATTATTATTCCATTTTCGCCCCCCAGGCCCCAATGTGGGTCAGTGACCTGTGCCCAGGTGGGCTAATCCCCGCAAAAAAAAGAAGTTTTTGTGATATAGTCCAGAATGTCTAGCTTTATACCTAGGTATGTAAATGCCTAGCATTAACTTGCAAGGCCAACATGCAGGCAATTAAAACATCAAATAATCACTTAAATACCCCTGTACTGTACTTAATATTAGAACATGTTGCTACCTGGCATTTAATTGCAATTCTCAAAACCCCCTCCCGCACCCTCCATCACACGCCTTGCTACCGTCATCTCTTGCCCTAGAGCGAGCAGTAAACAAATGTCAACTCTCGAGGGGTGGAGATGGGTGGGATGTCGACGTCGCATTCTGGACTATATCACAAAAACTGGTTTTTAGAAGAAAAAAAACGGCTTTTTGTAATATAGGTATTGATGGAGTGCAACTATGAAGTGGATACTGTACTCGCCTCCTGTTCCATGGGTCGGTGGTTCAATCCCGGGCACTCTCAGTTCACCCAGCTGTAAATGGGTACCATAGTTTACAACCTGCTGAAGTGAATGCAGTCAAGAGCTGCCTCCTTGTGTACCAAAGGCTTAGTATACAGTGTTCTGTGTCCACACTGTCCCTAACGGGCAGTCATGCTTATGGGACCCACTATCTCTATCATGCAGGTATTCACTCTCTCTCTAGTTTCAAAGAAATCAACACTAGACTTATCACAACACTTAAAGGTGCTCATGTGAAAGGTAGGTAAAGCTTATTCAGAGGTAACAACATGCTTGGTCTAGATCCCCAGTCGATCATCTTCTTTACCCCCTCCCTCAAGTAAGAACATAAGAATGGAGGAAACTGCAGCGGGCCTATTGGCCCATACTGGGCAGTCCCGTTTACACCCAACTCCTATTACTCATATATCTGTCCAACCTATTTTGAAGCTACCAAGAGCATTTGAGTTGATGATGATGTTTGGTAACTTGTTCCACTTTGGCACTGCCACTACTCTATTTCCAAACCAATGTTTACCTATCTTGCGCCTAAATCTAAATTTGTCTAATTTAAAACCATTGTTACGAGTTTATTTCTGATTGGATAATTTAATACCTTTGTTTAACCCTGACTTCCATTTATACACCTCAATCATATCGCCCCTCACTCTACAGCTCTCGAGGAAGTGCAAATTCAGATGCTTTAATCGGTCTCTGTACTCAAGGTTCCTAATGTCAGGAAATAGTCTTGGCATCCTCCTCTGTATGCTCTCAAGGGATTCGACATCCATTCTGTAGTACGGTGACCAAAATTTAACTGCATAATCCAAGTGAGGTCTCACAAGTGCAAGATATAATTTTAAGATAACCTTGCTAGTCTTGTAACTTACACACCTTTGTATGAATCCAAGTTCTTTGTTAGCCTTGTTTCGAGCAAATACACATTGTTGTCTTGGTTTAAGATTCCTACTATCATTACACCTAAATCTTTCTCACAGTCAGATTTCTCAATATCAACTTTGTTCACTTGATATCTGGTTTCTGTTTACATCTCCTAGGCTAAGTACCTTACATTTGTCCACATTAAATTTCATCTGCCATTTTTCAGACCATGCAAAAAATTTGATTAGATCTTCCTGTAGTTTTGCGGAGTCCTTGTCATATTTAATTACCCGCCCTATTTTAGTGTCGCCAGCAAATTTACTTATGTTGCTGTCTACACCTATATCTATGTCGTTTATGTATATAATAAACAGTATTGTTCCAAGTACAAGTACTCCTCGACTTACAACCTACTCGACTTACGACCGCCGCAGTCGTATAAAATATTTTTCAAATCATGTATTTTCGAGTCCCGACGTTAGTGATCGCGCTGCGTACTGACAAAATTTTCGTTTGTAATTCCCTTTAAAATGGCTGGCAATTGTAAAAGTGAGAGTTCTTGTGGTGCTGAGAAAAAAAAGAGACACCCATTTCAGATTTTCTAGGTACAGGTATTATTTTCACCTTTTCGACTTACGACCAATTCGACTTATGACCTGGTCGTCGGTCCGGAACCCCGTCATAAGTCGAGGAGAGACTGTACTGAGCCTTGGGGTACTTCACCTGTGACGTCAACCCAATCAGATTTAGTGCCTTTAATGCTTACCCGCTGTTTCCTGTCCTGTAATCACACCCTAATCCAGTTTAGAACATATTCTCCAATTCCATGTGCCTCCACTTTGCGTATTAGTCTTTTGTGGGAGACCTGTCGAAGGCTTTGCTAAAGTCAAAGTAAACCACACCATAACCATGTCCATCTTCCACTGATTTGAAAACAGCTGAAAAGAATTATATTAGAGTGACAGTTTGGTGAATTTATTACTGATCTAGCCTACATTAAACAAATGAATGTACAGTACCTGTATTCCACCAGACGAGATGCTGCAGGGGTTGGAGCCTGGTCAGCAGCTAGCGGCCACGGTGATGGTGACTGCCAGGGACCTGCCGCTGCTGCCCTCACTGGAGGCCATCCTAGTGCATCCTCCCACGCCCCTTAGGCCACCTTCCTCCCTCCCACCAGTGTTCAGGTCATGCAGTAAACACTCCCTCCCAGCAGTATTCAAGCCACACACTACACACTCCTTCCCATTGGTGTTTACTGTTTAGGTAACACATTATACATAATTCTTCCAACCAGTATTCAAGTCACACTACACTCCCTCTCAACAATGCTCAGATCACACTACACTCCCTCTCACCAATGCTCAGGTCACACTACACTCCCTCTCACCAATGCTCAGATCACACTACACTCCCTCTCACCAATGCTCAGATCACACTACACTCCCTCTCACCAATGCTCAGGTCACACTACACTCCCTCTCACCAATGCTCAGGTCACACTACACTCCCTCTCACCAATGCTCAGGTCACACTACACTCCCTCTCACCAATGCTCAGCTCACACTACACTCTCTCTCACCAATGCTCACACTACACTCCCTCTCACCAATGCTCAGCTCACACTACACTCCCTCTCACCAATGCTCAGGTCACACTACACTCCCTCTCACCAATGCTCAGGTCACACTACACTCCCTCTCACCAATGCTCAGGTCACACTACACTCCCTCTCACCAATGCTCAGGTCACACTACACTCACTCTCACCAATGCTCAAGTCACACTACACTCCCTCTCACCACTGCTCAGGGCTCACACTACACACTCCCTACCCCCAGCATTCAGGTCACACACTACATGCTCACTACTACCAGCATTCAGGTCACATGCTACACACATGACCAGTATGTTAATACAGTATATGCTTATACAGTGTATTTTGCATACTTTATAATGTGTAATTTGAAAGAAATTACAGGCATTCAGAAGATATGAATAACCTTGAACACCTCACCATGCAGACGGCTGGTGGAGGACCGTGCCTCCTCCCCATGGTCACTGGTGAAGACGCTGGCCTACATGTTTGCTGCCTCTGTCACTCCAGCTGGCACATTCCACACCTTCAAACTGGCTCTCTTGCTATCCCTTGCTTCTTGTTCCTCAAATAAGGTTAGATTTGGGGAAAGTTAAGACATCATGACTGACTTATAGAAGATATTCATCTTCTAAAAGTGTCAATTCATATGTCAAATGATTAGAACACTGTACAGTATTTCAATTATATATTATTTCCTTCCATTCTTGATACAGTACTTGTTTCCTTTAATCCAGTCCACACCTGTAGGAACAGAGGAGACATAACAGACAATTAAATATAGATAAACACTGTAAATGATTAGGTTCCATTACCATCCATAATTATTACTTTTAATGCATAGTTAAGTTTTACTTTGGTTAATTCAACCTTCCACCAGTTTTGTGTAGGTGACATTCTGTTGTCTCTCTGCCCCTACAGACACTGGCAAATCCTTGGAGGGGGGGTCTACCTAACAGTCTCATCCCTCATCCACTTGTAAACATAAATATTCACTGACTTACTAAATAAAGTATCGTAGATTACAGACTGTACTTAAAATACAGGATACTGTATTATACAATAACTTTGCTGACAGGCAGGGTTAGCAGTGCTGGGAGTGGGTAGTAACACCACCCTGCTGCTACGGCTGTTGTGGTACAGTGCTCGCTACGCTCCTCACGCAGTTACCCATTCCTCCCTGAATGCTGTCACTGCTGCCTGTACCAAGGACCCGGATGGTATTGTGTGGGTTCAGGGAGGCTCGCTCCTCTTGGCTCATGGTGGAGTTTGTGTCTTGGGGGATTTCTCTAAGTTCAAAAAGGAGTCCAGGCAGTCAGTTTGCAGAGGTATGTTTTAGTCTTTTTTTATCCTCTGAAAGGTAATTTTCAGTACAAATATACTTTTTAGCCTATAAAATGAGCAAATGTTTTCCAGTTAATGTATGGGACATACATTTCTCTTGAGGCACTCAGCAAAGCTCTATTTAGATGTGGCAATGAATGGTCGGTGTTGGTGGGAAGGAGACAAATTTTTCTTATCTAAAGACAACAATTTTATGAGTGATAAAGCCAGCCAGTTTACAACTTTCATTCTATTACAATGACAGTAAAAATTCCCTCTCTTAATGGCAGTTCTGGAGAGTGGGGTAGTGCAGGTTGAGTGTGCCACACGTCTCCGTCAACATACACCCACCCTGAAGTATCCGCTACGTGCTGCAGCTTGGGCATGTTATGACCCTGCTCATACCCGCACCAGTACCACAAACACCAATCCTCTTGATAACTTCCTGCATGTACCACTTGGCGACCTCACCAAATCAATCACAGAGTGAGGTTATTATATTACTAAGTAACTGCTATTTAGTATAAAGTAAAATACCTGTTTAGTATTTTTTATTAATTCTTTTTTTTTAACAAATTCAAAATTAGTTTATAGTTTCTGAGTGGAAAAATCACTCGATACAATTGAAAATCCAAATCTGATGAGGGAAAAATCTTTGATTTTATATAATCAGGAATGAACTAACAGATGTTTTTTGTTAACTTACCAGGGGAGAGGGAGGCTATTTTCTACTTGCCATTTCAAGGTAAATTTACACTTCTTTTGTTCATTCTTTCATCAACAGACTAAGTGTGTATGCATCAAAACAATACAGTACCTTTTTGTTTTCTACCAGTTAACCCTCTTTGCTATAAGGACCTGATATAAAGTTATTGGTATCCACAATATAACCATAATTAATTACAAAATTTCTTTCCTTGTTTGTCAGTGTATTTGGACTAGTGGTGTATGCAGAGACTCCGGCGGGAGAGTGTGAGAGTGAGGCAGAAGAGGTGATCACCTTGCACACACTCCTGGAGGCCACCACACAGTATTCTCCACCTAAACCACTCCTTCCCCCAGATCAGCTCACCCAGGTGCCATAATCAATTACCATTTATATTTTAGTATAAGGTGCTGTACTGTATACAAAATCAAATTCAATGTTAAAATCATATACTGTACTGTATTGTACTGTACAGTACTTGTTTATTGCAGACTAAGCTAATTGTGTGTTTAACACATTTTTCTAATTTATTATTTGGAGGTCAGTAAATCTTTGGGGGAAAGATAAATTAGATTTAATCTGGGCTCTTACATGTACAGTATAGCCTGGACTTAACTTCAAGGTATCAAAAGAGATTATCAAACCACTGGTAGTAAAGGCACAATTTCTTTCAAGTCAACACTCACCACTTTTGGTTTGTGTATAAGAAATCTATACAGTATACTGTACAGTAAGAGGAAAGATAGTTAAGAATTCAGAGAAGGAAGGCATATACTGTACTTCATCTTACACTTAACATGGCAAAGGAAGGTTGAGAGGTAATGTCATGGTCACAATAGATTGGCTAGTCTGTTCAACACTTAATTATTCATATTATGCTTCACTGCCCACAAAACATGTGTAACACTGTTGAGTCCACCAGTTGAGATGTCCGTTTTCTCACCACTTCAGTACGTATTAGTCCTCCGTTTTCTCATGTACCTCAGACTCGGATATTTCTTATGACTTCATATGGTGTTCAGAGATTTGAGATTGAGAGTGAATGAATTTATTGTGCATTAAATCAGATATACCTACAGTGAAACACAGCATTCTAGGTGTATTGAGTATATGTTGAAGGCATCGTATATCTTTATGTGTAGAATACAATCGTGTTAAGACGTGCTTTGAGTATTCATCTGCCAGCAGTAAGTCAGTATGTTTCTTGTGAACTTATGGGATAGCAATTCAAAACTGAAGTCATCTTTTTTATCTATGAACATCAGAGAATTCGATTAGTATAGAAATTGTTGTCAGTCTTGTATTATAGAAAGTACATTGTGTTCTGTAATGTAAACAAGTCTTTTGCTTATCGCTGGAAACTTAACGGAAATATCTCATTTACAGTATCCGCTTGCAAAGCTCCGCATATAATACACTGCCATTCTTAGTACTTGACATCAGTTTAATTCTTGCCTTTGAAAGCTCAGTCACTGCTTAGTTTAAAAAAGTTAATCTTAGAAAATTAATAAGCTCAAAGCCTAATTTTCACACACCGATGTGTACAGTGAAGGAGTATGATGATATTATCTGTGAAAGTTCCGACTTGATAACTCAGAGGTTGTGAGAAGTTGGGAAAGGAGAGGGACTGACTCCTGACCTCACTCTCAAGCCTCTGCTCCTCTGTGTAACAGGTGCCTGATAGACCACAGGTGGTCGTTGTATGCCAGGACAATGGCCAGCATCATTGGAGAAGGATGGAGGCCATTAAGATCGGATAGCGTCGTGTAACACGGTGATGTGGTGAGCTGAGACCTCACGTACATCCAGCTGCTCAGAGGAGGTGGCCAGAATATGTTCACTGTCCACCTGATCTCACGTGAGGAGTAAACACGACCAGCTCATAGCAGTGTTATGAATGAGTCCACCACTAAGTAGAGTTATTTTGGGTGTGTTATTCATCAGAGTATCCATGTATGTTGTTGCCTTAGTTGTATGGGTGTCTGGAGTCAGCAAGTGTATGAGGGTTGCCACTTTATTTCTTGGCAAATGTAACAAGGTAGCTCTAGGAGGTTATTAGTTGTGGGGCTACTGCTAGTCCTGTTACTAATTAAGAGCTACAATTCTCAGGTAACCTGTATTGATGGTGCTCAAGTATGCTATGTAAGATTATAGTGTTGTGTGTTTATTAAAAGGTACACCAAGTAATGGTGTAAGTTGGAAAATGTACCTAGTTGAAAGTACAAAATGAGTGGAGCCCTAGAGTTGATCCTTGTGGTTGTGTTACTGAAAGTAGTCATAAGTCTAGCATTATTTTAATAAACCGTCTTAACACGATGTACTCTACACATAAAGATATATGATGCCTTCAACATATACCCTACTCAATACACCTAGAATGCTTTCTCTCACTGTAGGTATACCTGAATTAATGTAGAATAAATTCATTCACTCTCAATTTCAAATCTCTGAATGCCATATGAAGTATTAAGAAATATCAGATTCTCTGAGGTACACGAGAGAAAACGGAGGACTAATATGTACTGAAGTGGTGAGAAAACGGACATCTCAACTGGTGGACTCAACAGTGTTACACATGTTTTGTGGGCAGTGAAGCATAATATGAATAATTAAGTGTTGAACAGACTAGCCAATCTATTGTGACCATGACAGTAATACTGTATAGCACATGGAGCCTGGATGGAGGGAAGAGATATAAAGAACTGTGTAAGTGCGAGGGTTGTTAGCATAGTGAAGCAATGATAGGAATGTTTCACCCACTCTATGTCTACAGTATTGGAATAGAGTTCAGTATATACAGTACAGTGTTTCAGTAGAAAATTTTGATTATTTTGTATGATTATATTTCAATGATTTCTAATATTTTGCATGTGCTACTTAGGGCATAACATTGCTTCTCATATTTTCTGCATTTTCCCTTTGCAGTATTTGTGTATGGTAAGAGGCCTGCAGGTGGAGTTCAGTGTTTGTGCAGAGAAACTGATACGTGGTTACTATGTGGCCACCAGGAGGCTTCGTGGAGATTGTGTACAGGGGTCCTCAGTTCCTGTCACTGCTATACACACTCTGTATGTAGCATTCATTGTTTTAGGAAATATAACAGCATGGTTTTTCTTGTCCCAAAACAAGCAACTTTCAGCAAGACATGTTAAAACTAAAACAATCAATTTAGTCCATGTAATATACTGTAGTACAGTACTAAATACTAAACATCTAAATTTACAAATACCCCCTGTAACATCAAAATGGTAATAAAAGCCATACTATTAACATTTCCTTCTAGAACTCAAGTTGCTGCAAGTCATGCTCGTCTTGCTCTCCGTAGCACTGTAGAAGGATGGGATGCAGTTGCTGCAGTGTTACTATGTGAAGAAGCCTTGGCAGCACACTCAGGCTATTCACTTCTACAAATACAACCTACCCCTCACCTCCCACTTCACACTGACCTCCACACTCTAGTAGGGAGGAAGGTAAGATTTAAAAACAAATTACCCTAAAGTTTAAGATCCAAGAGATATAAGCTAGACATTCCAATCAATATTTGTGGTTATGTACCAGGTAAGTGTACAGCACTGTACTGCACTTTAAACCCGGTATCCAAACTACTGTATTTCTACTACTTGTTTGTGACCATAGCCTTTCATATTCATTATGGTATTTTGATATAATACAGTACTGTACTATATAAACTGGAGGATGGCATAGGAAGTGAACAGTGTTAATTACTGTATGTAGAGTGCCTGTATAAGCAAAATACACACACAAAAATAATAAATTTTAAAGAAAGTTTCACTGAAAATTTAATTGATGCTGTAATGTAAAAAGGAATATTCACTTTGTGAAATTTTTTCTCCCACTGTGCATTCTGCTTCATTTCTTTAGTTGTATTTTCTTTGTTGCAAATTAGAGATCAATAATATTTTGTGGAATTAATAATAGCACCGTTATAATAATATTCAGGATTGTCGTACTGTACTGTATCACCAGTTGCTCCTGTTCCCACTTTTCCTATTATAAACCTGCATTACTTAACCTTTAAAGAAGCCTATATATTTCTTTACATTTACATTTAAACACAGAATTTTATTTTAGTACAGTACTGTACTACAGTTGCAGTGAAAGCTACAGATGAGAGCAGAGGCACAATACTGAAATCTATTTTAGGAAAGATTTGATCTCAAAATTTATACTCTACATTCGCTCATGTTTGACCCATGAGGAATTGCTCTATTGTGTAATTTCTCTTTTGATGTCAGCAGTCTCCACACCTCCAAAATTATCTTCACCATCTAATTCCACACTTCTCTTAGAACTCTATACCCTTGTTGTACATTCATCCAAAAAATTTCTGCACCCCTGGGTCTGACTGCCTTGCAAGGATCACTGACTGAGGCCATGTTCATTTGGTAAAGTTGCTACTTCTGATTGTGATGTGACCAACACAGGTGTTGACCATTATATGATGGGGTTAGGGACATTGAAAAGCCCTCATACGGTGATTGATCGTATATTGATATTAATAACTTATGGGAGAAAATAGGTTCCGTTCTTGAGAACCTGAAAAGCCAGAGTTACCACTTAGACAGGTAATTTTCTTATTTTTTTCTTTTACTATATTGCATGCACACACAGTCTTTCATACAGCACGTGCAAAAAAATAAAATAAATAAAAATATAATATTACTGCACAAGGTCATAAACATAAAGGGAGTAAACAGTACTCCTTTTTTTTCCTGTTATATGCACACACAATCTTTCATAAAGTGATAAAAAATTAATTATCATATGGTCAAAAACAAAGGAATAAAAATTTCTTTGTTTAAGCTGTGATTATATATACAGCTGCTCCGCGACTTACGACGGGGGTTAGGGACCCAAATCCAGGCTGTAAGTCGAAAATGCAAAACATGATACATAGAAAATCTAATATGAAATACAGTACAGTAAAAGTAATCAATAATGAAGAATGAATACAGTGTTACTGTGCACTTACCTTTCATGTAGTCAGCTGAATGCACACGGGGCCTCCATAATTTTCTAATTATACATGGAGACTACATTAACTGGATGAAGCAGAGGAGGAGACAGGGCTGGGCAGGTCATCAATGTCGCTTTCTTCAGACAGGTTAACATACAGGGGAAACTTGCTTGTTGAAGGTATTGGATCATCTTTAGGGAGTGAAGAGGCAGCACTGGTGGGGCGTGAGGAAACAGCGATGGGGAACTTCGTAAAGTATATGTCCAATTTAGTCTGCACAGTTTGCGTTTTCTTTTCATTGTAAATCTCCCTGTAGCAAGCAAGTGCATCTTGAATCATTCTGTCAACTTTTGCAAAACGCTCAACATTTTGATCCACTTCTTCAAAAATTTGCATACCCAGTACCCTTATTAATAGTAGCAAATGCGTCTGCCATTTGTTTCACTGAAAAAGTTTTTGGGGGGTGCAGGTTCTTCTTCTACATTTTGACTCTCTTCTTCCTCTGCAATTATCTGTGCCTCCAGTTCAATAAGAACCTCATTACTTAGCTCTTCTGCTACTCTTTCAACCAACTGTTCAACATCTTCATTATCAATTTCTAACATCAGATGTTTACCTATCTGCACTATCTTGTTACTAATTGCAGAAATTACTTCATTTTCATTAAATCCTCTGAAACTGTTCACATATCTTTTCAGGACTTTCTTCCACATTCCATTCATGCACTGACCTGTAACCTCATCCCATGCTGCAACTATGTTCTTTATACATTTCAAAATGTTGTAGTCCTTGCAAAAAATGAGCGTTTTCTCACCTTTAGTAGCAGCAACAGCCCGAGCGAAGGTCGTACGTAAATAATTTGCTTAAAAAGCAGCAATAGCACCTTGATCCATGGGTTGGATGATAGAGGTAGTGTTAGGTGGAATGTAGACTACCTTAACATCAGGGTGCAGGTCATCCAGGTGTGGTGGGTGTCCTGGAGCATTATCCAAAATTAACAAAATCTTGAATGCAATCCCTTGTTGCAGACAATACTCCTTGGCTCGTGGAATGAAACAAGTCTGGAACATGCTTTCTTATTACTGCGATAAAACACTGGCAGTGTGTGCTTGCTGACATGTTTAAAAGTCCTTGGGTTCTCTGAATGATATATCATGAAGGGCTTTATCTTGAAACCAGCCACATTCCCCCAACAGAAGTGTGATTCCGTCCTTGAATGCCTTGAATCCTGGAATGGTTTTCGCCTTTGTGGATGTGTGTCCGTTCTGGCATGCGCTTCCATAAAATGCCAGTTTCATCCACATTACCGGTAAATATTTGCTCAGGCAAATAATTTCCCTCCACGATGACACGATCTAGCTCCTCCTTAAAAGCTTCAGCAGGGCCCACATCAGCACTTGCTGCCTCTCCACTCACCTTTACACTATGCAAACTGTAGCGGTTCTTAAACCTTTGGAACCACCCAAAACTTGCTGTGAAGGTTTGGTCGCACTCATCTCCTGCCTGCTCCTTCAGGCTTTCGAAAAGGCTTCTTGCCTTAGCCTGTATAGTTAGAAGGCTTAAGGGTACACGCTTTTGCAGCTGATCTACCATCCACATCACAAGTAATTTTTCCATCTCATGAATAGGACCTTGTCTTTTTTTCGTTATTATTGTTCCCTTTATAGATGCTGATCCTTTCACTACCTCACGAATACGTTCCTTGTCCTTTAAAATTGTCGATATGGTCGAGTGCAAGAAGCCTAGGTCACGTGAAATGGTTACTACCGTTTTTCCATTTTCATACTGTATTATTTTCTTCATTTTCGTCTCAAAAGTAATTGACGGTCTCCTTTTCTTCTGAGCACCACCAGCACTCTCACTTCTATGCTTGCCAGTCATTCTAAAGTGAATTAGATTCGAAAATATTGTCAGTACACAGCGCGATCACTATCGACAACAACAACAGCCAAACACCAACTAAGCGCTCTACGGCGTGGATGCTGTAGCCACGAGGCGACGCGACCCAGCCCACGCGATGCTCTCGTACGGGACAGAAACGTTTTGGTCAAGAAAATATGCACGTCATTTGAAAACTTTTTAGTACCGACTGAGGCGGTCGTATGTGCGGGTGGTTGTACCAACTGAGGCAGGTCGTATGTACGGGTGGTCGTAGGTCGAGTATGTCGTAAGTCGAGGAGTAGCTGTACAATGGTCTCTCGGTTAACGAACACAATTCGTTCCACTGAGTCGTTCGTTAACCGAATCCAATGTTTCAATGGGATATTAGGTAATTGGTTCCAGCTCACCGAAAAGTACATACAAAGCAGTAAAGTACACTTACTTAGAGGTGTGTATGTAGAAGGTTCCTGGTTGTTGATGATGATGGGAATTGGAAGTTCACTAGGTGTAATTCAAAATTATTTTATTTAAATCAACACTGCACTGCACTATATATTATCAATATGTTAACTAAATTTCAGAATGACCAATAATTTCAATGTAAAAATGCAACAATAATCAAGACACCAACAAAATAGATGTTCACTCCACTGTCAACAAAGCCCAACTGACGCCGGGTGGCCGAGTCAAGTGTCTGATGGGCGCACAAAAAATTAGTTCCCTATACTGCATATATTATCAATATGTTAAATAAATTTTAAAATGACTAATAATTTTAATGTAAAAAATTAAAAAATATTAACCCTTAAGCCCCGAGTTAGGGTGCTGGTGGCAGTACCCCTCACCCGGGGTTAAATAAAGAAAAATCAAATTTATATATTTTTTTAAGCCTTTTAAATGATCAAACAATAAAAAATAAGTAAGAAAAACTATATATTGACCCTCGAGAAACTTCTCTGGCCGCTAAGAGGGAGGGAGGAGGGAGGGAGATAAGGAGACAGTGTTGGCTTGACAGCTGATGCTCGTGGTCCCTCGGCACTTAGCAGCTATTTTTAGCTCGCCCTTGTGTCCGAAGTGGCCAATAATGAATGCATTTACTGATCTTAATACTTATTTGCTATAAATAATTAATTTAGAATATTTTATATGCATAATTTTTCATAAAAAAATGCTTGGCAACAATCACCAGTGGGTTGCCAGTCTGCCTGGCTGTCTTTGTGTTTGGTAGAGCAAGTAATGCATAAAATAATAATTATTCCACAAATAAAAACATTTATAAATAATCATAGCATTGTTTTACAGTAATACTACACTACAATACAACTACACTACTTATATCAATATTACTTTGATACAACATGATAAAATGGACAAACAATGAAAATGAAACACAAAAGTAGGTAATTATGTTCAGGAAGCTTCCCTGTGGTCGAATGTGTGGTGAGAGGCAAATAATCACACTGGAACCTGATAACCCACGCTGGGCATTTAAACAGTGGCGGGAATAGGCGCACGTTCTGGAATGTCACCCGGGGCGCGCTGGCAAGACGTTCTGGAATGTCACCCGGGGCGCGCTGGCAAGACGTTCTGGAATGTCACCCGGGGCGAGCTGGCAAGACGTTCTGGAATGTCACCCGGGGCGCGCTGGCAAGACGTTCTGGAATGTCACCCGGGGCCTAAGGGATAAAGAGCACAACTTTCTTGATATTAACTCCACTGAAAACAAATGTAAACATAGAACAGATTACCGAATTGGCAGACTAGTCCATCAGCTGATCAGCTAATGCTCACAACAAAACGTGATGTTCGTAAGGATTTCGTTAATCGAAGTTTTGTTCGTTAACCGAATTGAAGATCCTTATGGAAGGTAATTCATTAACCGAAATTGTAGCGTACTGTATGTGGCCAGTTGTCATTTCTCTTAGTATGGGCACACAAACGTACGTACATGTAGATATCTCACACTCAGGAATGAGGTAGGATAGAAACTCACAATGCGCTTTCTGTATATATGTTGTACAGCGCAGTGCTTAGGAGTGACTAGGTGAAGAGAAACTTGCTCAGAGGTCCTGTAGGGCGAGGAGGTTTCTGAGGATGCTGGGTGGTGAGGAGCTGTGAGAGATGTTGCTGGTCCGGTAGCCGAGTGTAGAATGGTCTCCCTGGCCAGGCATGGCCGTATTTATACAATTTACGAGGATCAGGATTTGGGGTGAGCGTAGCGAGAGGGCCAATCACAGCGTCTTAAGCGTAAGGTGTGAAACGCTCTGATCGTGAGCTGGAGGTTGAAGGTCGAGTCTAGGTCGGCGATCGTACCCCTACGTCCACTGCATAGACCTAGTCTCTCGGCGTAGCTGGCTGTACGCTGATTGGCTGGTAGGCGCGCAGCCGGAGCTCAGTTGGGAGTTGTAGGGGAGAGGAGCCACTACAAAATTTCGTTAATCGAGCCGTTCGTTAACCGAGGGACCAATATATATATATATATATATATATATATATATATATATATATATATATATATATATATATATATATATATATATATATATATATATATATATATATATATATATATATATATATATATATATATATATATATATATATGTATATATATATGTATATATATATATATATATATATATATATATATATATATATATATATATATATATATATATATATATATATATATATATATATATATATATATATATATATATATATATATATATATATATATATATATATATATATACAGCTCCTCCCCAACTTATGTCCATCCGCATTTACGACCTGCCTCGGTCGTACCAAAATTTGGTCAAATTACATATTTTCGAGTCCCTAAGTCAGCACACAGACAAAATTTTCATCTGTAATTCACTTTAAAATGGCTGGCAAGCTTTAAGCATATCCGACTTACCAACCTGGATGTCAGTCCCTGATCCCGTCATAAGTCGGGGAGCAGATGTATATATATATATATATATATATATATAATCACCAGTTAGTTTTTAGTAAAGTCTTGTTAGATCGATATTATTGTATAATGCAAATTTAAAATACCCTGAATACAGTATGTAGGAAACAATTGAGAAATAAGTTGTTTTGTGCACAAAAAAATCTGTACAGTATTCCCAATCAACAAAATTACAGTATTTCACTATAACCTATATACTGTATGGGTAACCATGAAACACATCTCTCTTTCAGAATGATGAACGGATGGTAAACTTTCAGAGGACACTTGAGGAATTTATAGAAACTCACACAGGTGATATACCTACAGTTACCTAAATATCAGATGAAGAGGATTTACCATAATACATAATAGCAGGAGAATACTTGATTTACCGTAATACATAATAGCAGAAGACTTACTGTACATAATTGAGAGGAAGTTGGATAGTTTTGTGTACGTACTGTACTGTGAATGGAAAAATTCAGTCAAACTTCAGTAGATTTTGAAATATATAAATAATAATGGTAAAAAGACACAGAATACATTATATTCTAAAATGTAATTTCAATATGTATGTGTGGCATTGGCTATTCTTGGTTTACTTATGGAATTGGTGTTCAAGTTGTTTTTTTTTAACTGGTACTGTACCAATTTAGATTGTGTACTGTGATGTCTTATCACATCAATACAACTCCCTTCATATTACAGGAAATAACATTCTAATGCAGTACTAGTACAATGCAATACAGGTATTGGGAACTACTATTCAGTATACTCTTTATGTGGAGTATACTGTACTGTATCACTAAATAGAGCACGGATTATCAAATGGGTTACATGATGTATTGTGCATGACACTGGATATGTGGTGAATCACTTAATTTGTGAGGATTATCTACAATTCTATCTTTTAATGAGGTAACAATTTGGTTGGCTATACATTGCAATACAAGTTCATTCCTGTATTAAGTTCCTTTTTATGGCATTATTTCATTTAACTGATGGTTTTCTTTCTCGCTTGCTACCATCATTTAGTTATTTACAGCACATTCCAATTTCTTTTTTTTATTTGCACCCTCTGTTTTATATAACTCCACTATTTCATTCTTCCTTTTTATTAATGTACCTACTATGCCTTATTAGCAGGGACATCATGACCCTTTCCAAATGTTTAGTTGCATCTTTCATAAAACATGAAGCAACTTACTGGGTATTTATTTCTGACCTGCTCAAGTAAACTAGAAAACTTAATTCTCAAGATTCCTATGTTTCTTGACACTAATACTTGTATATCTAAAGACATGGGACACAAAGGAATTTGGAGCACATTCCAAAGGAATCATCCTATATTACGTGAAAAAGTTCTAGGCAATGCAGACGATCAACTACAGTACTCAAGAAAAAAAAATACTATACAATGTTACTATGTTTTGAGGTAAAGAGGGTTTTCAGTGTATACAGGGGTCCCTGGGTTACGAAAGGGTTCCGTTCCTGAGGACGTTCGTAAGTCGGATTTGTACATAAGTCGTAACACATGCTATATGCATACTGTACTTACAAAACAATGTTTATATTCCCACTATATCATAACCTAAGTCCTTATATACATCAATCACTTAATTTAAGACAAAAAGAAATAGAATGACAAAATACAGTAAAAGTAAAGTAAAAAAGTCATCAGGTAAATAAAATACTGTACTATAAATTTCAATTTTAACCCCATTTGTATCGACGGGCGTTCGTAAGTGGGACGTCCGTAAGTCAGGGACCTCCTGTGTATGGATGCAACCGAATAATTTTTTCTAAATCTGACATGTGGAAGAACGAACCTGGTGTTATAAATATCGAGCCACAATCCCAGTTTGAAGTCAAAGGTCTGCACTTGGCAGTTTATCTCAATTACCTCTCTACTACTGTACCATCACCACTACAGTCTATCACTCCCACCATTATAATGTTCCCTCACGACCCAGATGACAGTATGTGTGTGTGTATCTCTTATCTTTATGATGAAAATGTTTACTTTACCTGTTACTAATTACTTGTATACCACATTACAGCCACAAGTACAGTTAACTTGTCCACAAACAACATGCACTACTGTAGTTTTGTCACATCTCAGATTGTTAATTCTGTATTGTACCGTAGATATATACTTTTCTCGTTGTACCTTCTAACTGGGTTTTTTCTTAATTTACCATTTTTTTTATTTTTGGTTCGTATTACAACTGAAATTGAAATACTATACTGTACTGTATCAGTTATATTTAAATAGATATTATTTACATTAAACTCACTCACAGTTACAAGGAATTTAAAAAGAAAGACAAATAATAAGATAAATTATATTTGTCTTGTTTTAATGATACCTTGGTGTTATTTACAAATTTTTCACTATAATACAAAAAATTGTATTCACACTGTCTGTTAACCCAAGCCATTTACAATTTCTCACATTACTGCTATTGCATGTAATAAAATTCACAAAGAACATATCGAAATATATCATGTAGTTAACAATGTGACTACAATTCTCATAAGATATTGGAGATTATTCGTGGATCACTTCAATTATTCATCATTAATGTAATCATCAGGGTTTTTCCTCATTAATTGCCCGTGCCTTTTTTCAACTCCATTGTAGATCATGTACGCAATAACGAAAGCTGTGAAGAAAATGGATAACCACATTAATATTATTTCTTAATTTAATATAAAGATATATAAAGTAGGATTTAAGGATTACAGAGAAATAAGACAAACATGAAAATATTATATAATAATAAATAATATTTAAAAATAACAAGCGATATCAGAAGCTTTTCTTAATCAACAATAACACTAACATTACAATACTGTGGTTCTTTACACAATAAATTAAGAGTAAATTACTGTATACAGTACAGTTAAACAGATTAAATGTTTTAGGGATTTTATGAGAAAGCAGCACATTCTAGGATTTATTCAACAAATGATTAATTGGCATAATGAGAAATACTGTAGTTGTAAAGGAAGTAAATTTGCGTGAGTACTGTACTCAAGTAAAATTTTTGGGCATTTTTAAAGTGTCTCAAATTTTTTCAGCACTTTTACTTTTACTCCAATACAATTGAAAAATAAAAAATCGTTACTCATTACATACCCTAAACAATAGTTTCACATATCCAAACACAGGACAAACTTGGAGGCTAACAAATCAAAAGCATTTTTTTTACTTTTGCTGCTTATGAACGTCTGTTTCATAATGTTGGGCTTATATTTAGGCCAAAGAGATCCTGATTGGACAGCCAGAATTTTGAGAACCAGTTATCGATTAATTTCAATAGAAAGATTTGTACATAAACAGGTATAAGTGTGTCTTTTAATTTTTATCTTTAGTCAACTAGTTTTTTATTTACTGTGGACTCCTTTTAATATTTCAGTCCTCAAGTACTTTATGAATGAGGTACTTGTTTACTTCTACTTGAATACATTAAACTTTGGATACTTTTATGTCTACTTGAGTAATATTTTGCCAATGTAACAATACTTTTAAGTAACAAAGTCTGGTACTTTTTTTTTTTATGGGGAATAGCCCACCCGGGCACAGGCCATCGACCCACAAAGGGGCCTGGGGCGAAAAAGAAATTAAAAATAGAAAAGAAAAAATTATATTAATCTACACCACGAAGATCCTGGAAAGCCAGCCTTTTGAAGTGAGACTGTTAATACCCAACTCACAAAATTTATCTCATTACTGCATAAAATGCAAATCATAAAACTGGAGATGAGGGAACAGCTCATTTAAAATGTGATAAGAAGGAATGAAGGCTAAAGTGGTGAACTGTGACTTTGATGGATTGTCATTTAGATAAGAAATGGTAATACCTGTACAGTACAATAAAGGTGTACATGTACTGAAGTGGTCCAAAAAGAATGGCTCACAGGAAAATTAGGCATTCCAACTTATTTCACTTCATGATTAAAGACTAATGATAACCTAACTGTTGGGGTGCCTAATCTTCACATGATCTAAATAAATTGCTGTAAAGTATACTATTGTACTGTTTGAAACTCATTTCTCCCAATGCAGATTCTTTTCTTATGGCAAAGTTTACACTACAAATTGGTGGAAATTATTGAACTTTGATGTTCTATTTATGCTTACAATTTATGAAATTTATACATTACTGTGTACATACTTTCACATTTTCAATATGGACATTAACAACATTTTCATAACACAAGATATCATCTTTTTTTTATCCTACATAAATATATGTAAATAAATGTTTCCCCTAACAAAAACTTTCACAATGATACTTAACAAATCTTCAAGCATTACATTAAAATTTACTTACGGGGAACAACACGGAGAACCTGACTACGGAATCTCCTGAACATGTTAGGGACTCCATAACTAAGGGCTCCAGCAAATGCTCTCTGCTCAAATGGAGACAGGGAATACTTGATGATCCCCCTCACATAGGCCAATTCACCAAATCCCTTTCCCATTTCTGGAAAATAATAGAATTTTAACAGTGGTACATAGTTACAATAAATATTGCATTACAATACATAAAAAGAACTTTCAACAGATTCTCTGAGAATTCATTAGAGGGTGCAAACAATCTCCCTGCTTTTAAGGAAAGATGGTTTGACACTGCTGATGCACATTAAGTTCTCAGAAGAGAATAAAGTATTAGAAACAAACTGTTAAAGTTAAAGGTTCATAAGAGCCCTGGCCCTGACAGCAGGCATCCCATGCTAAGAGTTATACAACAAGCTTGCTAAGACCCTTAAAATCCTGTTCTGCATATGCATGGAAGAGCAAAGGTTCCTAGCAACCGGAACATGACACATTTGAGCCCTATATTCAAACAGGAAGAGCGCCACTCCATGAACAATTATAGGCTGGTGAGTTTGACAACCATAGTGTGTAAAGTACTAGAGAGCATTATACATGATGCCACGATGGAACATCTACTATGAAATAACTTTGTAAAGAAAAGCTAATACTGTATGGTTTTATGCTGGGTGCTCCTGTTTGATGCAATTACTTAAGTTTCTGGATGTTTGGATTTAGATCCTGGAGCATGGTGATAATATCAACAATATACAGTACATCAAAGTAGCTGATGTTTGGCACAACATAAATTAGCAAATGCCTGTATATGTGGACTTTGGCATGACTTTCAACAGTGTACCATAAACCACAAAAGGCTGAAAATTAAACTGGAAGGGTGAGGCATTCAAAGGAGTGTCCTAGCATGGACAAGAGACTTAATTCATGACCACACGCAGTGTGTGGTGATTAATGACACAAAATGGTCATGTGTTCTGTGACATGCAGTGTACCATTGGGCAGTATGTATACTATTGGGCCCATTGTTGTTTGTTTATGGTACTTCATAAATGACATGTCAGAAGCTATACACTCCTCTATACAAATGTTTGTGGACAATGCCAAGTTATTCAGAGAAATTAAGAACCAAACAGATCATGAAGAGCGACAGAAAAATCTCTTGTCAGCTTCAAGAGCGGCCAAAGAAATGGCTGTTAAGATTCAATGTCGTGAAATGCAAGGCGATGCACCTAGATCATACCAACAGTAAGAAGGTGTATCACATGATCCAACGGTAAGATGAAACAGCATTATCGATGACCAAATGCGAAAAGGACCTGGATGTGCATGTTGAATACGAACTGAAGTTCTTGGACCATTGTGAGAAGGTGAATCAAGCTGTTCAAAAATGAGATGCTTTCCTGTTTGGAGTATTGTTAACCAGTCTGGTCCTTGATATATGCTAGAGAATGCCAGTTAATCGAAAACTTCCAAAGGAGGGTCATCAGACTGATGCCTGAACTATGGCACCTTAGTTACCCTGAGAGATTAGAATGCCTGCAGTAGTCCAGCTTATACTATAGGCAGGCAAGGGGATGACTTAACACTCTTGGGTTTGGATAGCCACTCTCCCATGAGACACTTTGGGTTCTGGCCTGTTACTCACCCCACAGTGCTAGACTGCACCACATGAGACATAATTGTACACAATGAGTAATAGCAAGTTTGCTATTTGATATAAAAAGGTGGGATTTGTTGCAATAGCATTGTTAATAAATTATCTACAAACAGTTATACTGTAAAGGAGTAATCATGATAAATAAAAAATATTTCTTTATGTAAGCATGTGTAGAACACAATTTTTTTTTATGCTTAATGAAAACGTTTATACATCACTTTATACCTTCCTTATTTCATGTGATTGCAATTTGAAACTTATTCTGTTATAAAGCTTACTGATTTAGCAAAAAATAGTTATATTTTGTTAGGGCTGTGTAAATTTTGCATTCTGATGCGTGTGCCCATGCCAGACAAGCTATCACTTACACCAGAAGGGCCAGGGACACCGGGAGAGGCATTTTTTACATTTTCCCTTTCCTTCACCCTTGTCAGCAACAAGAGACATGGTTAAAAACTCACAACACTGTTTTGAATAAATTAAATCACTGTGATGCACAAGAAATCAGCACAAGTAACAAGAAAATGTGTGGAATTTGTGGGTCAAGGTTATATCCTAGGTCCTTTAAACACAGATGGGAGACTGGTATGGTGTGGTAACCTTTGAGTGCAGTCTATATATAGTTGCCAGATCATGGCGTCGTTCCCAAATATGCGACTTGCATATCTAGACTTCATACGAAAGCAAAATTATTTTACTGTATATTGCAGCCTATAAGTCGACCGGGCATTTAAGACAACCATAATTATTTCAACTGAAATTGTTGATCTAGGCCTATACCTGGCAGGTAAGTTGACCCCCCCCACCCAAACTGCAATTTGAAAGTATCAGCTAAAATTGCCCACATATACTTTCTAATAGTTCTCCCAGGTTTTGTTTTGGTAATACAGTACAGATACACTGTGTTGGCAGTACAGTATATGCAGCAACAAACAAATGAAGTCTACACTCTCTGGTACTGGTAAATGAATAAAATATTTATTTATAACTAACACAATAAACTGTATACAGTACTGTACGGGGGGTCCCCGAGTTATGAAAGCCCAACTCACGAACACCCACTGATACAAACGAGGTCCCATAAGGTCAGTTATTTTAAGAGTCTGACATAGGTACAACTTGGTTCATAGTATTAACGTACGAGAACTAGTTGGCATGGCACAGCAACGAGGTGGAGCGGCGGGTGGGGAGTAATGCGCCACCCAGCCACGTGCCTTGAGGGAGCGTCAGTACGCCTTACCCTCACCTCAGTAATGTTTGTGATCAAGTGCACACTGTTGTTTTATTCTTATTAACTCAATTTTTCTGCCCTCATCATGTCTCCCAAATAGTAGTGATAGTAGTGCATCCAAGGAAAGGAAAACAATTACAGCGGAAGAGGAAAGTTGTTGTAATTAAAAGTTTTTAAAAAGGCAAAACACCCTCAGTCATTGGCAAAGCATTGGGCTTCAGTTGGTCAACTATCGGAACAATTTTGAAAGATAAACAGAAAATTCTTGGTATATGTAAAATGATCTACACCAATGCACTCAACTGTGATAAAAAAAAAAGTGGAATGTTAATTGAAAGGAAAGATTGTTATTGATACGGGTGGACGATCAGCCAGCTCAAGGTTTCAATGTACAGTATTTGCCGGCATATAAGACGTGTCTTACGGACGGGAGGCCGAGCGCCATAGGTGGTGGTGCCTAGCTAGGGAGTCTGGGACTAGCAGTAGTCCACTAAGCACAAAAATTGTGTTTCGATAGCGAGTTTTTTCCCAGCTGAGAAAAGATGCCCGCCCCCTCCTCAAGAGTTACAGCTGATTGGCTGTTGCAAATCTGTCCGATTTTGTCCTGAAGTAATGACGTATTTCTAAACGAGTTTATTCATAATCGTTGGGATGACCGTTTCTGATGAGAAAGATATTTAACTAAATTATATAAAAATGCATACATTCATTACTTCAAACATAAGCACGTAGGAAATATTACACAACCGTTAGCAGAGGCGGGAAAAACATGAAGTTGTTCGCAGTCATATTTCCCGCCTCGGCAAACGGTTGTGTAATATTTCAATGCGATTCTGAACTTTTAAAACGTTGTTTTTGCATAATGTAGTATTACTGATACGTAATTTGTCTTTGCATGCCTTATTGTGGGTAAAAATAAGTATATATTAAATGCATCCTCCGAAAGCATGAATTTGCTACCAGAGAACAGTAAATTCATGTATAATAGTTCTGATAAACTTCCTACGTGCTTATATTTCAAGTAATGAATGTATGTATGTTTATATAATTTAGCTAAATATCTTTCTCGTCAGAAACGGTCATCCCAACGATTATGAATAAACTCATTAAGAAATACATCATTACTTCAGGGCAAAATCGGACAGGTTTGCAACAGCCAATCAGCTGTAACTCTTGAGGAGGGGGCGGGGCATCTTTTCTCAGCTGAGAAAAAATGCACTATAACAATATTACTAATAATTAAATACTGAAAAACAAGCCAAATTATCACAATCTATTCTCACAAACTTACGGCAAATTTGCCGAAGACGTAAATAATGGCTTACATTGGCTTAACATCAGAGGGAAGCTCACAACATCTCACTGTACCTCCTTCCCGATATGTTAAATTGTTAAATTGCACCAGAAAATGAAGGTCAGATTTGAGTAAAATGCACCATAATACACACAAAAAAATTTGTATCAAAACCTGAGGATAGCCAATGAACGAATATTTACCAGCTATTTTACCGTGAGTGCGCCCTGATTGTACTTTGTATAATATGATCGGGTAAAATAACGTAGTACGAACTTAGCCGGTCACGGCAAAATATCCACTGCCTTTAAGGAATACACAGTTTACATACTAGGTATACTAGCTTTAAAGGTCAATATATAGGACTAACCACGGACGAGTTATTTTTATTACTGCTTATTTTCTTACATTATTTTCATCAGTGAGTTGTGGAACCCGCCAACACAGTAAATCACTCCACCGCCCGGGGCGCATAGACCGATGCAGCCGTATCATCTCACGTCCAGAAATGCCTCAAATTTCACAGTATCATAGTAAGTTCTTTCGGCGGAGACCCCCGGTAAGGAAGTTAGGTTAGGTAGGTTTGTTTGGTTAGGTTGGTGAGGTCTGTTTTTCACACCACAAATGTTAAGTAACGTTTATTTAAAAAAAAATTTCCACAAACTACAAGTGTCCACTATCATATAACAGTGAAAATCCGGCGTTTTTATAATTGTTTTCAATCAATTTCGCTCACAGGTTAGTCCTACATAATTACCGCTTTAAAATACTATAAGGCAAATCATACCATTAAATACACCCAAATCTTGTCACTTTCTTCATAATGACTTAATCTTGTTGGAGGCACCAGCTGACGAGTTGAGTCAAATGAGCGTTGGAGCTGAAACCACAATAATACCTAGAGCGCACTCACGGGAAAATAGGGTAAAGGTGTAGATAACGGCTACCACCAGAAGGAATTGTCCGAATTGGTTGAAATTTTTTCGACACACTAATATTAAGATATTAAACACAAAAATGGAAACGACAATGCATAAAACCTAATAGAGCCTGACCTAACTCCTAGCCAGGGCCTCTGCCCTCGGATCCCCGGCAGGCCTAACCTGGACCCCTGGTAGGCCTAGCTTAAACTAACCTAAATTTTTCAGTAGTTAAAAACGTTGGGGCGCGCCATATCTGAAAGTACAATACCTTAGTAAGAAGTGGAAGGACCAGGGATACGTAAGAATTGGATAGAATGATCGTCTTTCTCGTAAAACTCGGAAATACTTAAAATAATTGTAGGAGCACAAACGACAACCAACCTCCACCACAGCCATTGTGAAACTGGCCAAAAAAATTAAAATCATACCCAGGCTGCTTCCTTTGAGAAAAATCAAATGTAATTGGTCGAAAAAAATTTGTGTGATGATATCAATACCTCACTGGTCACAACTGGATAACGTCAGTCAACACTGCGCATGAGTGATGCTCAAATAACATCTCCTCACAATTGTGTCGCTACTATCCATTTCCGCCTGGTATATATGGGATTCAAAATGCTCAGAATAGTGAGATCTAAATGTTTCAGTAGTTTATAACTTTCGGGCGAGCTATGTCCGAAAGTAAAATAATACCAGTCTTTGGTCTGGGGCATGAACAACGGGTTAGGTTATGTTAGGTTTTCTTGGTTCGTTGGTAATATAATTTGTTATTTATTCTAAAAAAGAAATCCAACTTTTTCTGTTATGGTTGTTGGGTGGAGGGGAGGTTTCTCTATTTTATAAAAAGAAAAAATAAAGGATTTCCGGTGGAAATGAATATGAAATACTTTCGTTCGAAACTCATCAAAATACATAGGAAAAACCTTCTTTTTAATATCAAAATAAAGAGCTGGGTGTGATACTATAAATTAACCAAAAATTAAAATAAAATACGTAAAATCCTGACAGAAAGTTGTCGTTTCGGTATTATTGCGTTTACACACAGTTCATTCCTACCACTAATCTATTATCATATTCAAATAAGACGTCTAATTATAAGATAATTTTCATCTATTACATTACCGGCGGAAATGTATAGTAACGGAGATAGCTTTTCCAAAATTTTTTATTTTCTTCCATTAACCTCCCGCCATTATCGTCTGCCTCTCAACCAACACTGCGTGACTCTCGCGTCTCCTTCATAAATCATGACGCGCATGCATACCCGTACACATCACGCGGCTAATCAAAAGCATTTTTGCTTTTGGAACCAATTAAAATGATTTTGGGTTTAATTCAGAGTATATTTGGCCTAATCAAAATCGAGTTTTATTTTGGGTCTTATATTTTGAAATTCAAGTTCAGTTTCAACCATGGAAGTCTGCGATGGATGTCACTTAAAGTATATGGAGCTGATTGAGAGTTTTGGGGGGAAAAAAAGTAGAAACTATAGCATTTTTTCGATCACATGGTGTTCTTCCAACCTCAGTAAAGTGTACTAAGAGCAAGACTGAATGTAAATATCACAAAGACCAACATATGTGGTGTTGGGTAAGAATCCCAGAATGCAACGACGAACAAGAACCAGGCCAATAAGATGAGAAATAGGTGAGTCCATCATATGGTGGGAGTCAGTTTGGTTAGGTTTTTGTTTTTCTAGTGTTTTTTTTTTATTTTTTAGTAGCTTAGCCACTTTTTTTTCGGAAAACGTCAAACGAAAAAAAATCGCTAAAAAACCCGGCTAATCTCCGCCAAATATGAAGGTCATACTCGGTCTAAACACACACAAATACACCAGAAAAACATATTTTTGACTTGCTAAAAGTGAACGGTGTGACAATGCAAATTTACCGTCGTTTCTTCTAATATACTTAAAATAATCAAAGCAATAAGTACAGCAAGCATAAAGAAAATTAACAAACAACTTGTGGTGGGTGCCGTCTAAGCCGGTTACGGTAAAATATCCACTGTGATTGTTAATAAGACTGAGTATTGGCTCCCACTGCTAACCTTGTATACCAGGAGAGTTTTTCAATGTTCTTGCCATAAATAATTTAAGGAATACACAGCTTACGTACTAAGTATACTAGCTTTTATATATAAGGCAAATCATACCATTAAATACACCCAAAATTTGCTATTTTCTCTTTCTTACCGACAGCTTTAATTTGGTCAGAGGCACCAGCTGATGGGTTGAGTCAAATGAGAGTTTATTGTTCTATTGGGTAATACTATATTATTTAAAATCTCATAAGTTAATTAAATTATATTAATATAAACATATATCCAACTTATATTCAACATATCATTACAATAAAAATGATATTTCGTTAAGTATTTACAAATATTTACATTGCAGGACTTGATTTGATATTTGATTTTTTGTACACCGGCAAGCAAATTCGAGATCATTATTAATTATACAAGAACATACACGAATAAGTTTGGTCTAGAATGAATATCAGACTTTTTCCTACAAAAATTCTAAGGTACATTATTAAAAAATGTGCACGTGATACTTGGGTATTAGCAGACAACAAATCAGACGGTGCTAGCGTCAAATTCAGTCTACTTGGTAGTCCAATTTACAGTATATATATATATATATATATATATATATATATATATATATATATATATATATATATATATATATATATATATATATATATATATATATCATGTAGATCCACAATGAAAACGTTGATAAGCTAAATCTTGGCAAAATCACACAGGAAAAAGGGAAACAATAGAGTATCTTAGCTTTCGTCTTTATTCAAGACATCTTCAGAGGCAACTGAATTACAAGGACCAAGAGCATGAGGTCAGGTCATAAACACGACATCCACGAATCCGCACAGCAACACCACCACACACACAAAGGAGCTTAAACAAAAGGGTGACGTAACTAGTCATGTTAAGTCAGGTCAAAAATATGGGACCCACTAATCATCTATCCTACATCCAACTCGAATGTTTTCAAAGCATTTTTAACTTTGGGCCACTGACAAAGAAATTTGTATTACATATTATCACCCCAGAAATGGGTCACAGCTCAAGATTGAAGAAGCCGCAAGTTTAGAAAACGGCACCGAGTGTGAGTTCTTTCAAGACCAGACTTGACCAACACAGGAGCAGGTTCAGGTACATTCATAAGCCGGTGCATGCCCAGTACCTGCCAACAGTGCGTGACCCAGAGCCAGTACATGATTAGTACTTGCCAACAGTGCGTGACAGAGACGTGACCGATCGCCCAAGCGGCTAACGAGCCGATTAGTGGTAAAGAGGCTAAAAGTAAAAAGTTAACTAGTTTGAAAATGTGTCTTTAGATATTATCTTAGGTGTCAATCATATCCCCAAGTATTCTGCGATACAAAGTTAATGAAATCCCCCAGCTTCCTCTGAGTCTTAAGTTTTTCTTCAGCTCAGATACCAGTGCAGTTGTTTATCCCTCAGAATCACCAAGGAAACTGTTTCACAAATTTATCACTCTTTAGGATGTGCCACTCAATTGAATCTCCCATGGAAAAAATGCAAGGCGTCCAATTTTCAATCAAAATCCTTATGAGGATATTGTTTTCCAGTTTTAGTCAAAGGTGTAGTGGATTTCTCCCCTACAAACAGCGCTGTTTGTCGCTGAGTAGCCGACCCCGCGAATTCCCCAGTGTATGCCTTGTGGTCTGGGTCAACCAGCGCCGCCATACATCACGGAGGTCAACTACTAAGCCACGCCTACTCCGGCTATTTAAGACCTGACCTCGTGGTGACCTCTCTCTTCTTCTACTGTAGCTATAGCCGCAGCAAGCTACACCTCCTCCTCCGCCGCTGCCTGGCGGCCCTCGCTCCCGCCGGCGAGCATGGCGACCCACAAGCTGTCCTCCTCTGAGCATCCTCACCAACCAGCTCTCTCTACATCACGCTTGTAACCACGCTGCCACTTCCCAGCACCAAGCTGCATTGTACATCCAATATAACATGTATACAGAGAGCACATTGTGAGTTTCCTTTCTCTAACCATCCTGAGTGTGAACCCAAATAACCCGTACCCCACAAAGGCAGGGAAATGATGAAGCTGGAGCCCTGCTGGTTGCCAAACTGGAGCAAGTTGGGAAAGAGATCCTTGCTAAGACTGAGGAAATAGCAGATAGAATGGAGGTGGTTGCTAAGAGGAGTTATGCTGACATATTAGCAGGGCCACGTGAGAGGGCGGGGAGTAATGCAGGATCAGAACAGGTTCTACAGCAGATTGGGACTCTGAAGAAGTGTGTCGAAGAAATGAACACCAGGAACGTTTCCAGCGCAGGAACAATGTAATAGTTTTTGGAGTCCCAGAGAGCCAGGCGGAGGGAACTGTGAGTAAGGTAACACACGATAAGACGCTGTTTCAAAATATTTGTACAGAGGTTCTGAAGATTCCATCAACCCCTCAGGATGTGAGGAGGCTGGGACAAAAACAGGGGGATAAGCCTCGTCCCCTCAGGATCGCACTAGCGAGCGGGGAAGAGAAATGGCAGGTTATTCGGCAGGCAAAAAACTTAGCAAGGAGTGAGGCATTTCGGGATGTATTCATTCACCCAGATCGCACGGTAATACAGAGGGAACAGCACAAGAAGCTCCTGCAGGACTTGAAGCAGAAGAGTTAAGGAAGAACGGGGACGGGTGTACATGGGTTATACTCAGGGGGAGGGTAGTGGAAGCAAGTGTGCCGACACAGGGCCAGGGGGCACCAGTGCACCCTCCACCCGCTCTAACCCCAACCCGGGAGGCGGCACCAGCTCCGCCTACCGGACAGGAGAAGGCGAGCGCCGTGTAAACAATTACATTTCTAACCACACCCTGCAAAATACAGTGTACTTAGCAAATGGTGTAAAATTAAATTAAAGAGAGGGGACTTACTTATCGTCGGGTGTATCTACAGATCCCCAAACTGTGGCCCACTAAATCAAAGAAACTTAAGAACCTTAATAAACAACGCGGCAATGCTAAACACTAGCCACCTCTTTATCACGGGGGACTTTAACTATGGCGACATCGACTGGAGAAACGAGTCCACCCCAAATGACTTGAATAACCCTGCTACTCTTATTGTAGAAACTCTGAGAGATAATTTTCTGTTCCAACATTTTAGAGACCCGACACATTACAGAGGGGAGCAAACACCCAAGCAACTTGACCTCATCATAACAAACGAGGAGGGTATGGTAGCAAAACTGGAACACCTTGCCCCAGTTGGCACCAGTCACCATATAGTGTTGTCATTCAGATTTAACTGTTACCTAGTTCAGGATAAGGCCAGGCCAAGGTGCAAATATTACAAGGGAAATTACAACGGGATGAGGGAAGAGATGAGTGGTATCAACTGGCCTGACTCATTAAGGTACAAGAACACAGACACTACGTTGAATATCATAAAGTGACCCGTTTATCGATAAATATATACCCAAGACCCAGGGCAGGATTCAGGAGTGGGCAAAGTGGGCAGCTGCCCAGGGGCCTCCACATATTACAATATTTTATTCATTTGGATTATTTTTATTTTCATTCTTTAAAATTCATGTTTATCTTTTCCATCACTTAAAACCATGTTCAGCAAGAAGTGTGATAGAAATTAGGCTAGCTACTCCTTGAAATTCACGAATACCTGGTTTTCTATGAACAGTATATTTTTAATGAATGCTATTGTTTGTGTTGCTAATAATATATTTAGAATTCCACAAACATATATTGATTAAAAATGAACTACATGGAATAACGAAATTGAGATTAAAAAAAACAAATAAAATATTTGTTTCATTATCACTTCCATTACGAATGCCATCAGGGCTCTGTGTTTGTTAACAGTCGGTCGGAGGGAATTGGGAATTTGTACACTATCAATAAATATACAGTTAATTAAAAATTTCTCAATGTTCTAATTTCCTCAATATAACTGCATATGGCTTCAAAATTCTCCAAAGAAGTGTTCAAATTTCAAAATTTTCCCGGGGGGCTTACAGCGCCCCCCGGAACTCCCAGATGTTTAGGCTCGCTTCACTCGCCACACCACCCTCTTGGGTAGTTATAATGAGGGGGGCCTCCACAAAGAGGCTGCCCATGGGCCTCCACAGGTCTAAATCCGGCACTGTTCCTCCATGGAGCTAGCGAGGTCAAGTTGGGTCAACACTTTTCAACAACGACATCCTGTGAGGAGCACGGACAACAACCTGACGCGTATCCTGTAAGGCGCCTTGCCTCACAGGATGCGCGTGAGAGAGAGAGAGACTATCATATCACCTGTTACCCAGTGAACACTCACTTAAGTGTTCTCCTATAAGTGCACTAAGACATTTCCCTTAGTATAGAAGAGAAGGTACAATATACTCTCAACTGAACTCAGTACCTGTGAAACTATATTTTTCTTCAATAAAATAAAACCAACAAAGTCTTCAGCCCTGCTACTTATCAAATTAAGAACTAATATATATATATATATATATATATATATATATATATATATATATATATATATATATATATATATATATATATATATATATATATATATATATATATATATATACAAATATATATATTGTGTGACCAACACAATATCTCTCTTTGTTCTAAATGTGCAAAAACAACTGTCCTCAGAGTCCGTACAGTGACAGTGACACCTGGGGCCCTCGCATTTGTCCTACCAGGAGCGACGCCCCAAGGGGCTCTCTCAGGGGTGTTGGCGCTCCCAGGGGCCCTTACAGAGGCGGTGGTGCACACAGAAGCCCTCCCAGGGGCAGCGCACCCCCCCCCTTCCCACCCACGGGACGTCTCAGGGGTGTTGGCGACCGCAGGGACCTTTCCAAAGCGGGGGCGCTCCCAGGGGCCCTGCTAGGAGCAGTGGCACCCCTAGATGGCCCTTCCAGGGGCGGCGGAATCTCCAGGGGCCCTTCTGGGGGAGCGAAGCTACCAGGGGACCTCGCAGGGGTGGTAGCGACCCCAAGTGCGAGCCAAGGGGCGAAGGCGCCCCCAGGGCCATTCCTTAGAGGAAACGTCTCCGCCAACGACTCTCTTCATGGTCAGAGGGTGCCCCCAGGGGACCTTCCAGAGGCGGTGGCGCCCCAAGGGGCAGCTGTACCCTCATGGGCCCTCCCAAAGGCCCTACCAGAGGTGTCTCTTGCCTGGAGACTTATAGCTTTTGGTCGTATTGTTGTACATATTGCATACGTCCAGCAATCCCTTACT